CGCCTGGTAGCCAAGCAAAACACACACACACACACATACGCTCACTCACTCAAAGTGAGAGAGAGGTAGGAGACGGAAGTAGACTCACGATAGATGCGCACGCAACTTCCCCCATTTATGGGCAACTCCATTTGGTTGCCCCCTGCAACGATTCTGTGCGGCATGTCTGCGTCGCTGTGGAGGGGGATGAGCGCGCGCGCGTTGCTGCAGTTGTTGTTGTTATTGTTGACGGTACATGGAACTCGTAATAGTTCTGCTAGCGTCAGCGTTGACGTTTGCCGTCGCATTTCCAGTGTCAACATGCAATGTCGACGCACTCTTGACATTTCCAGACGCTGTTCAAGTAGCTCTGCTTGCTGCTGTTCGCTCATCTAATGTTCACTATTTTTAATTTGCGGGCCATTGGGGAAAAACTAACACAAAGCGCACGCGTTGCAGTTGCAGTTGCAGTTCCATTTTCGCTTGGTATCGTTTTTTGAGTGTTTGCCATAAGCGAAGAAATTTTGCATTTTTATGCTTATAAACGGGTCGATATGTGCTTTCGATGCTGATTTCAAAAGTATCGATGCCAAAGGCGTCGATCAGCCACTTTGTTTGTTTGCCACTGTCCCGCTGTTGTCACATCCAACAGCTGCCGATATGTATGTATGTTTAATGTTTTTATAGTGCCTACACTGCGCGACAAATTGTATACCTTAAAACACCTGTGCAAATGACTAAGTAAAGTTCTTAAAGCAAAATGATGGATTATTGGCAAATTAGCCATAACATGTTGTCAAGTAAATTAAGAGCTTATTCTTGTAACCTACCAACTGGACTTTTGCTGCGAATTGGAACTAGTTTAAGATTTTAGTATGAAGAGGTATTTAATTAGCTTTAAAATTAAAGTCTGAAAATGGGAGCTGACTTCACCTCTCTGATGTAAAGCTAAGCCTATCTGAGCTTAAAAGTAAATAAATTATTTGCAGCAGTTTGTTTTAATGAGCTAGTTCAAATGAACCAGCATGTGAACGATCCTTTTCTGTCTATTTAAATTGAGCCATTTATGCCCTCATATCCTTAAAAGTTCTAGGCGAAGTGCACCAACAGGTTTTTCTCACTCCAACTCCTGCTCTCTCTGACTCTCCATTTATTAGATATTTGCATAACACTATTTTCTTCAGTGTACGCTTCATACAAACACTAGCGCAGCAAACAAATTACTCGAGGCGACAAGACAATGCTGGGCTTGGCTAGGCCAAAAATAGATCAAGCAAACTATCGGCTCGGGAACGGGAACTGGATCGGCAATGCTCATAGGCAGAGGACCTAAACGCAGCTATGCATTTTCTTTGTTGTTGTTGTCGTGCGCCAAAGCGGGAAAATGCATCGGGGAACAGTTGGGAACAGCAGCAGCAGCCGCAGCAGCAAAAGTCAAGGATCCCCAGCAAACTGCATTAAACTACTTTCGGCATTCAGTTTATTGCGTCGTCTCGTCGTGTGTTTCTACTTTTAGCTGCTGGGAGCCCCCCGACTCCGACTCTAACTGTGAGAGAATCTTGAACTTGTGCTGCGTTCACTCTTTTGCTTGATGTTTACGTTTTTCCTTAGTTTTTCTTTATTGTTTTTTTTTCGATTTTTTTGTCGTTTGTTCTTTTCTCTTGTGGAAAGTGAAATGAAAAAGTGGAAAGGGGAGCTGCCGGCGACATATTTCAGTCGTATTTTCCAATTTAAATTGAAGCTGTTTTTGTTCCAGACATTGGCACTTAAATGCTTTGGGATGTGGTCACTCATTGGCGCTATATTTGGTATGCTTGCAGCATTTGATGCAACATGGAAGAGGCATGCTAATTCTGTCAACCAGCCCTGACATCAAATTACATTCGCATTACTCATTTACCAGGGGGAAAGGCAACTCAAGTAGAAGCTATCAATGTAGGGTATACTTAATTGATATAGGGTATACATTTATGATATAGGGTAAACTTAAATAATGCAGAGTATTTTTATATACATCGATCTAGTGTCAAAAATTGTAATTTGATTAAAATTTATTTTAATTAAAATTTTGTTCTTAATTTATATTTTCATAAAAATTATAAACACTTTCATAAGCTTTAGTTTTATGTGATCTCTGATTTATTACTATAATTCTTTTAATTCAATTTAAATATTTTATGATTTATTTGAAATATTTATAAAATTAAATAATATTTCTTTTTATACTTTAAAAATGTATTTTTAACTGATTTTTATTAATAAATATCAATAATATTTTAATAACTTAATCCATCGAAAATTCTTATTTTAAACAGATTTAAATAATTTTTTTTTTAATTTTGATGTTTTTAATATTTGTTCATAAATTAAAAATTGAAGTTTTTTTTAATATTTAGAATATATATTAGATTATTCAAATATTTAATGAATATGAATATATTATTTGACAAAAAAATATTTTATAAATATAAGTGGCATTAATTAAACATATAAAGTTAAATGTTATACTTAATTAAATAATGCAACAATTTTTCATACACACCTTTATAGCTATATTTTATTTTAAAACGATTTTTTCTTCTTAGTTATCTTTTCGAAATAAAGTAAATTCCAAAGTCCCCGCAGTTGTAAATTTGTGCATTAAGAGCTTTATAATATGAGTTTTAACACTAATTTTGTATATATATTTATGTGAGTTATCCTTTTTGATATTTTTGGTATGTTTTGATAGGAACCGAGCACAATTGTTTATCACTAATGCTTAAATTTCGTAGACACATTCACTGATAATCCAAGGCACAGCATTCATATTTGAAATCGTATACGTATATCTATATCTATATCCGTTTCGAATTGGCTGCCGTATCTGTTTCTCTCTCTCTATACCGAACGCGCGTTGGAATGCAATTGAATCGATGCTCGAGCTGTGAACACTGTGAACAGCCCAAAGCATCAGCCCTCGGCAACAAGAGACCCTCGGCTCCTAACTAGACGAAGACAAGGAGAAGTCAGAGCAGCACGAAGACGAAGGCGAAGACGAAAGGCATCTAAAAATAGTACCAGCCGTATCGGACGTGCAGTCGACGCGGGTCCGTCACTTTGCTGTTAGATTCCTTACCTCAGCAGACGCTCTGTCTGTCTATTTCGAAAGAGCTCGGAAATATGCAAATCCCGATTTTCTTCATTCTCTGACGACGAGTCTCTTTACAGAAGTATAGAAGTCAAAGTTTTTGTAAGTGATATATAAAAATTTAGTATGACCAATGACAAATCACTTTCAAAAACTTAGGCAGTAATAGATCTTATAAGCTTGCCCTTAAATGTTCTCCACGAGTCTCATATCTTTGTCAAAACACAGATCTGGTATGCAATATTTGATGTCTCTAAATGGCTTTAGCTCTGAATAAACTTAAATATTTTCTAAAGATTTTTCCAACTTATTTATATATCAACTTGAAAACAAGAGAATAAATCTGAAATTCCTGAAAGTAATCATTAAACATATTGCTTGTTTTTTAAATTTTAGATAGACATAGAGAGACACTTTCCAAATTATTTTATACAAAAATATTCAAAATTCAATTATACGTGAGCTAAGCTCCTTTACACTCCATATCACTATGTCACTATAAGCTCATTAATTGAATAAGATGAGACTAGTTAGCCGATGCAATAGATACATCTAAACATATTTTGCAGACTATTCAATAGATACAGCTAAACATATTTTGCAGACTCCAAAAATAAATGTACTTATATACAATATGTTTTTCAATTAATAGCATCAATTTTTTATAAACAGAACTCCAGTAAACAACGGAACGACAAACTCTTCGACAGCTAAGCAACTGTACCCACTGTGCCAGTGGCAACAAGTCTCTGTGGATGTCAGGATTCGTGCAAAGTTCATTGAACTCAGCAACAGGAGTTGTCGTACGGACGGAAATGGACACAAATATTTCATATTATATAGGTAGGGTGTTGAGCATTGGGAAGAAACCACAAGACGGGCGACGCATGCGCAGCAGAGTTTGTTCACCTCTTGCGCCTGCATCCGACAGATACAAAGATACAAAGATACAAAGATACACAGCGACACACGGAACGTACTAAGTAATTGCAGTTACGCACGGATTGTATTACACGAGACCAGGTTTTGCTTCAGTGGCTGTTGTTTTTGGGGAAACTAGATTCGTTGCTCTCGTCTTTGATTTTTCCAAGCAACTGTTTCAATCTCTGTGTGGCTTTCTATTTATCAACGACTTCACTAATATCATTTCCACTTTCCTCCACCGAAAAGGTGGGGTGGCCTTCGAGGGGCAAATGATTTGTGACACATTCCCGATGGCAACTTATCTGAAATTTCGTCTTTGATTTGTTCTCGTGATTAATTATGCTGGGAAAGTAGCATTCGAGAGATTTGGTATTTTATTTACTATATGATTTATATTTAATACATTTTCTTCATAGTTTTATTATCGGCAAAACTGGAAAATAAAATTTCAGATTGCAATATTAACAAATTATTATATTTATATTTTATAGGAAATTAAATATGAATCAATGAAATTCTAATAAAAATATTATTAATATTTCTATATAATATATAAATATATTAATTCAATATTTAATTAAACAATATTTAAATCAATTACAATAGCATTTAAAAATTTCCAAGGGATTATAAATGTCTTGAATTATTAAGAATAGCAAATAGAAATTGAATGAATATTTTTAGAAAATTTATTGCGCCCCAGAGTATGCAACATTTTTTGCTATAACTTGATAGATGCACGTAATTCTTTTAGCTCAGAATGTGAAACTTTTTGTGCTTAGAAAAGACTCATTTTATGTTTTCAATTTAAGAGTTAATAAAATGAACGCATGTTATATATGAAACGTCATCATTATATAACCACAGCCACACAAATTTATGAGGGAAATATACCAATTCGTGGCATGATAAGAGTATTTAAAGTAGCGAAACTTTGCGGACTGGTATCAGTGTTTAACACTTAAATATGAAGTCGGTTGTGTTCTTGTTGATCGCGCTAGTCGTGGCATCCAATCAGACGCTCAACTACGAGGATGTGCTTGCTGCCGAGTTTGAATTCTTCAAGATGGACTATGAGAAGAGCTACGAGAACAGCTACGAAGAGAAGCTGCGCAGCCAGATCTTTAAGCGCAACAAAGAAACCATCGACGAGCACAACGCACGCTATGCCAGAGGCGAGGAGACTTACATGATGGGCATCAACCAATTCTCAGATATGCTGGCAGAGGAGTTCCAGGAAATGATGCTGTCAAATGTGAACACCTCTGAATTTGCCTCCAGCATTGACTTCATCTATGCGCCTCATAACATTGACATACCCCACGAGATAGACTGGCGTGCAAAGGGCGCTGTTACCGCAGTGAAAAATCAGGGTGAATGCAGATCCTGTTGGGCGTTCTCTGCTACAGGTGCTCTGGAGGGGCAGCACTTTATAAGGACAAAGCAATTGATACCGCTATCCGAACAAAATTTAATGGACTGCTCCGCGCGGTATCAAAATTATGGCTGCCGCGGCGGCTGGCCGTCACATGCTTTAAAATATGTGGAGGATAATAGAGGCTTGGACAATGATCAGGCATATCCATATGAGGGCCACGTTGGAGAATGTCGTTTCCGTCGTTCAAGCATTGGAGCCACAGTCTCACGAGTGGCACAAGTGCGACGCGATGAAAATGCATTGGCCCAAGTTGTCGCAGAAAAGGGTCCTGTTTCGGTAGCAGTCGATGCAAGGAGATTACAGCATTATCGGAGCGGCGTCTTCAACGATCCGATCTGTGGCGATCCCGTGAATCATGCCATGCTGGCAGTTGGTTACGGCCACGACCAGCGTGGCGGCGACTTTTGGCTGCTCAAGAACTCCTGGGGTCGCTGGGGAGAAGAGGGCTACATGCGCTTGGCCCGCAACCACGGCAATATGTGTCAGGTGGCCAGCTATGCCATTCTGCCCATTGTCTGAAGGACATGGCAGCAATTAAAGTAACCCATCTTAGCCTCAAGTTCAAAACTTTTCTCAGTGTCTCAGTCCATGTCGGATTTGGAATAAAATTGAGTGTTTATTATATATAGACATCGATTCATATCAAATTAAACAAACCAGCATATGACTAACTTTTTAGATTTCATTAATCAGCGTTAATTAAATAGGCTTTTGAAATGGCATGAATCAAAATGTTGAGTGATATAAAATGCATTAGTAATTAAGAATCCAGTAAGAAGGGCTCATTGAGACTTATTAAGGCTTTTAAAGTTTTTCAAATTAATACAATAAAGAAGCGGAAATATATAAAAATTATTTAATATTTTTATTGCATTGCTAAAAATAGGGCACAAATTGTTTTGTCTTTTGTACACATTTGTAGAATAATAATAATACTATTATTACTTATTAAAAAATAATAAATCATTCATACATCGACGTTTATGTTACTGTTGCTATCCATTCTCGTTATGATGATTAGTTTATATATATATTTTTTCAATATATAATATATATATATATTGAAAAATAGTAAAGCCAAACACCCCTGACAAACCTAAAAACTGATCAGAAACCATTAAAAACGTTGTAATCGGGTGCAACCGACCGCATAATACTCGTTTAGATCCCAAAAATAACAAAATTTATTTTTTAATTTTTTATTTTATTATTTAAAAAAAAATATTTTTTAATAGGCCAGGCTAACATTAAGCAGAGCTATCTGTAAGTCGATTGAGATATATTTATATATATTTCTAATATGGCCAATCTTTAGAGAGGGTGAATAGTAGCTTCTCAAATATTGGCATTAGTATTAATATAATAGATATAAAATTATCTACATCCTTTTTATCTAAGGGATTTCCGAACGGGCAGCGAAGAGGACATTGCACCCAGCCAATATTCTCTTTTTGTTTCGTGGACGAGTATAACAATAATAAACGCTTAGCCACACAAATAAATTCAAATGTAATTTCGATACGGGCAAATTACATTATACGGGACATAATGGGTATATATAAAGGAGTAAACCTTTCCAAGCTGGCTTCATTGTTCAAGACTCAAAGCTGAAGATGAAGTCGATTGTTTTCTTGGTAGTCGTCCTAGCCGTGGCATACTGTAAGGCACTCAACTACGATGTGCTTGCTGTCGAGTTTGAGTCCTTCAAGGTGGACTATGAGAGGAGCTACGAGAACAGCTACGAAGAGAAGCTGCGCAGCCAGATCTTTAAGCGCAACAAAGAAACCATCGACGAGCACAACGCACGCTATGCCAGAGGCGAGGAGACCTACATGATGGGCATCAACCAATTCTCAGATATGCTGGCAGAGGAGTTCCAGGAAATAATGCTGTCAAATATGAACACCTCTGATTTTGCCTCCAGCATTGACTTCATCTATGCGCCTCATAACATTGACATACCCCACGAGATAGACTGGCGTGCAAAGGGCGCTGTTACCGCAGTGAAGAATCAAGGGAAATGCGGCTCTTGTTGGGCATTTTCCGCTGCGGGCACTCTGGAGGGTCAGCACTTTCTAAAGAGCAAGCAATTGATTCCGCTATCCGAACAAAATTTAATGGACTGCTCCGCGCGGTATCAAAATTATGGCTGCCGCGGCGGCTGGCCGTCACGTGCTTTAAAATATGTGGAGGATAATAGAGGCGTGGACAATGAACAGGCATATCCGTATGAGGGCTACGTTGGAAACTGTCGTTTCCGTCGCTCAAGCATTGGAGCCACAGTCTCACGAGTGGCACAAGTGCGACGCGATGAAAATGTATTGGCTCAAGTTGTCGCAGAAAAGGGTCCTGTTTCGGTAGCAGTCGATGCAAGCAGATTCCAGCATTATCGGGGCGGCATCTTCAACGACCCTTCCTGTGGCCAACATGTTAATCATGCCATGCTGGCCGTTGGTTACGGCCAGGACTTTTGGCTAATCAAGAACTCCTGGGGTGGCTGGGGAGAGGAGGGCTACATGCGCTTGGCCCGCAACCACGGCAATATGTGTCAGGTGGCCAGCTATGCCGTTCTGCCAATTGTGTAAAGTATGTGACAGCATTTTAGCTGCAAACAGACATAATTAAATAGTGTCTTAATCAATTCTTTTATGTAATGAATTCATATATTGATATATATTTATTGCATAATCTATCTAATTTTTCTCTCTCTTTTTGATTTGTAATGAAGTAACCCGTAAGTGATGCAACTAAAATCTAACGTAACTTAAGCTAATTGAACATAGAAAACATTATTAATATTTACAATTTACAATAAGTTATTCGATTGGGGTATAAATAGGAATGACATTGAACAAGTGAGATGTTCAGCAGTTAGAAACGTAGCTGAAACTTGGTTAAAGCCTAGGAATAGAGGTAAAAATCAGCTGCTATGGAAGAGTATTGAATTGTAGCTTTAGCTGTAGCTGTAGCTGTGTGCGTTGTCAACAATTCTGTTTGTAATCGAAGCTGCGATATGTTCATGTACTTTTTGCACTCAGTGTGCTCAGTTCAGTTACTTTGTCGTCGCCGTTCGACTCTACCAGCGGCGCAGTAACTTGTAAATGCAGCTCGTAATTAGGTGCTGCAAGAGTAGAAAATTTGACGCATTATTATCTATCTATATAATCGATTAAGCGTTGCTTACTCTGCTCGAGAATGAACTCCAGATCGTTGGGGCAATCTATTGTGGGAAAAACAATGTTTGTCGACTCTTTCAGTATGACGCTAATATCCTTGTCAGCGCTCATAAGAAACAGCGGTACATTCGCCTTGGCCAGCTCCTTGTGCAGATTACCCATGCCGCGTGCGGCTGTGAAATCAAAATCTAAGACGAAAACATGAAAGATTTTAGTGAATGGTATACAAAAATGTAGTCTCAATGGTGTACCATGAACTTGAGCGCAGTCCAGGACAACGGGTGCTGTGCCGTGCGTGGACAGCGCCTTAGAGATGCCAGAGCGAACCCATTCGATGGCAGGGAAATACAGCGAGCTATGCTTGGGCCTGATCAGGATGTAGCTAATGCCATTGATTGTCTGCAATTTGGATACAGTAAGCACGGGTCGTGCTGCGCGATAAACGAGAAAGGCCACATCTGAGCCAACACCAAGCAGCAAGCCGATCTCCACGCCCACTGCCAAGCTCATGACAAAGGTAATAGCACCCGGCAGCAATTCACGTCGGCTGCAGCGCCACAGCGGCCGAATGACCTCAAACTCAATCATAAATATCACAGCCGAAATGATGACAGCACTCAACGCCGCCTTGGGTATGTACTGAAAGTAAGGAGCCAGCAGACCCAAGGCCAGAAGCACTAGTAGACTCGTATAGCAGCCGCCAATGGGCGTGCGAACGCCACTCGCATGATTGACAGCGCTGCGTGAAAAGGAGCCTGTCACTGGCATCGAGCTGCAAAAAGCGCCGCAAATGTTGCTCAGGGAGAGTGCAACAAGCTCGCGCGTGGGACTCAATCCAGCGCCGCCAAAGGCCTTAGAAATGGCCACATTGCCAAGCACAGCAATTATGGGCAAGATCAGCATCGAGGGTCCCAGTTCCGAAAGCTGCAATGATAGACGAAATATATTAAGTATGACGAGCTGTGATCTATACCAACTGCTTAGCTTACCATATCCTCAAAGTCCTGTCGTTCCTCAGTGCCATTTTTGCCGAGTATTGTTGTCTCGAATTCGGGCAGCGCCAAACTTGGCAAGCCACTCTTCACCTTGCCCGTGAGTATGAATGGACAGCTCTCCTGCTGCCTGCATTGGCTGTACGCCAGGCCACTGGAGATTAGCACTACGAGTGCATTCCGTCCGGTGCATACAACCCAAATGCTGCCGCTAAGCAGCTGCTGAGCCCGCAAGTTTCTCACGCGGTTTGCCAGCTTGACGTTCTTCAACCTCTGTAAGATAAACGTGTTAAAGGTTAGAGCTCACAATTAGAATTGTATAAACGACTCACTCGCAGCAGCAAGAGCACAAAAATGGAGACCAGTCCCAGTGTCAGATCTCCACGGCGCACCTGCTGCAGATTGCCAAAGACGGAGCGCATGGTATTCAGGAAATCCGAACCAGAGCCACCACGCAAGCCCAACAAACCCTTCAGCTGCGAGGTGCCAATGATGACGGCCGTTGCCGAGGTGAAGCCCACGGTAACAGGCAACGAAATGAGGTCCACCAGGGCGCCCAACTTGAGCACAGCCATTGCCAGCTCCACAATGCCTGAGATCAGGCATAAGAGTATGCCATAAGCTGGACCCGAGTCCAAGCCAAAGCCCGTGTGGCGGCTGGTCATGAGAGCCAGCAATGCTGTCGGTCCGATTGTGACCTGGCGACAGCTGCCCAACAAAGCGTACACAATGCCGCCCACGAATGCGGAATAGAGGCCATATTGCGGCTCCAAGCCCGCCAGCGTCGCATAGGCCAAGCCCTGTGGCAGCACCGTCAAACCCACCGTAATGCCCGCTATCAGATCAGCCACCGCATCCTGTGCCGTATATCCTTGCAGCCACTTCAAGCCCGGCAGCAAAACACTCAAGCTCTTTAAAGGCATCTTGAGCTATCTGCAAAAATGTTCAAAGATATTTTAATTAATTATGTTTCACGTTCTTAATCGTTTAGATACTTTATGAATACACATTTTTGACTATATATTGTACTATATAGTATTCTAAAAACCGATTCGTCATTAATGCGATTTTCATGACTTACAAATTTCGTTTACCTGATACTTACATAACATAATTATTGATGTTAATTCATATAAACAAGCTGTATTATTCACTAATGCTCATACTGCTACACACTCTTAAATTTCATGAATCAATCTATCTCACTCTTCCAACCGCTATCGCCCTTCTGTGCAATTCTCAATAATTCAATTAAATATAATTGAAATACAGTCTAGCCTTCCCAGTCTAGATACATAATACATATTGTCGACAACTGTTTAGACTACTGAATTCTCTGGACCATTGAAATATTAAACTAGGTATTATGAAATTAAAAATAATATTCAGAGTATTTTAACAATTCTCTGTATTATGATAAAAACAAATACATTTTATATTATTTTCGTCTTTTTTAAACAATTATTAAGCTAAAATGTATTGTTTCATTTTCTTTCTCTGTGTCTCCCTCTTTGTCTCTCTATTTATATCCATTTATATCTATATATCTCTCTATTTATCTATCTCACTTTATATTAAGCCCTCCCTTTCTATCTCTATCAACATCTTTATATTTACTTCTCTCTCTACTTCTCTCTCTCTCTCTAGATTTCTCTCTCTATATATGTATAGAGAGAAATCTATACATATATGTCTCTCTCTCTATCTATCTATGTACGTCTACCTCTCTTTTTTTTTATGATCTACCTCTATGTCACTCTCTTTCTGTCTCGCTCTCTCTCTTTCTCTCTCGCTTTCTCTCTCGCTCTCTCTCTCTCTCTCTCTCTATCTCTCGCTTTCTCTCACTCTCTCCCAAGTTCTTTCTTTATCATTATCTCTCCTTCGTTATTTTCCTATCTTACCCTCTTCCCTATCTTACCCTCCTTCTCTTATACTTGCTTGTGATCCGTCCTTCCACTCCTTTCTATGCAATTCTCATCAATTCAACAAAAGATTAATTCAAATTTAATTACAAAACCCAATAACAAATTTAGCTTAAAATGGGAAGATACGTTGTTAGCACGAGCTGCAACACTCTTACATATTTCTTAAAATCCCATTGGCCGTCTTTTTTTTCAAATTTAAAAACAGAAATGTTTGCACAAATGTACCTTGGGAATATAAACACGTTGCACAACGTTAGACCAAACTACAAAATCTAAAATTCGGTGAAATTTATACAAGAAATTGATAACAAGTTGAGAGAGCGATCAGAATGACTCGACAGCTGCTCGGCGACTGACAATGTTTCAATGCAATCATCGATCGCGTGCAGAAATTGTTTATGTCACACGATTCGACTCAATTCATTTAATAAGAGTGCGACACAGAACGTGATCGTCGTGCGAACGATCAAATTCACATTGTACTACATACATAGTATATATATATATATGTATGAATATACTTGTATATATAGTGCAAACACATACGTCTACCAGTTGAACTAAAATTTCAGTTTTATTTACTTAATCATAAATATAATTATAGGCAAAATATTACCTTGACTTTAGTTGATTAGAGTTTCTATTTAGAACTTTGGTATACTCTATGAGTCGCCCCTGTTATATTACGAAACTATTTGCATTCATAATCAGAAACGAGCTACACGCGATAAGAACTTTACTTATTTAATATATAAATGTATCGAAACTTGAGTTCAAGGAGTGGCTGAAAGCAGCTTATTTTTTATTTATTTTCTAATTGTTTATTAATAATTTATTTTATTTAAGTGTTGATTTTATTGATCAATGTCATCAGTCTTATAATATTATTTTTTATTATACTTTATTTTTTATTAATAATAAAACTAAAAAAATTGTTGTAATGATGTTAGTTAAAATATTGTTTTATAAATTAAATTTTATTATTTGTTTATTATTGTTTAATATTATTTATTCTTTAATTGCTTTAATACTTAATCTATTATTATTATTATATTGTTTATTTTTCATTATTTATTTTTGTTTTTTTTTTTATGGTTATTTTTTATTTGATTATTGTTTTCATTATTGAAGCCAGAAGCATTCCTATATCCTATGTTATATTAAATGATATATATATGAGGGTCATAATATAATTGATTTAAACATTTTCGTAAATAGTTCTCAGCTCTAGGTTAATGCCACATCAAGACACATTTCAGACACATTATTATCACACTATTTACAAGACAATTGAACAAGTGTCTTCATGTAAATGGGTGTATGCATGTGTGTGTGGCTCAATGGAACGCCCGCCTTTTTTAACCGCTAAAGCTCTCACTCGCATGTCAATGCCCAATTGATTGCTTGAAATTGGCAAGATAAGAGAAAACTAGTTTTGGTTGAGGCACATAAGCAAACAAACGAAAAGCAGAGAGTCAATCAATTCGTCTCAATTGACTATGTGCAAAAGTGGAAAAACAGTATTTAACAACACTACAAGCATCTCTTTCGCTTAAACAGTTTACTGTCAACAATACCAAAAAATTAGGCCAAGTGAAAGATGCTAAGAAATTACTCACTGATGACGCGGACATGAAAACTCAGCATTAAAATCATACACTTAGCAAATCATTTATTTCAAATTAAGTGTACACTTGTTTAAGTTTCCCATATTTAACACTTACTTATTGCTTTCAAAACAACTATGAAACTGGGCGCAGTAGCTGCCGGCAACAAAGCGCTGTGGTATCTAATTCCCTACTGAATGCATGGGTTAAGATAGGTACGCTGCTCACTCACTACACATGAGGATCTATAATTTAGCCAAAAGCATTTATGTGACATAATCCCTATATGAAAATACTAAAATTGCACATCTTACTCACTTATTAAGTAACGTTTTATTTTCAATATACTTAACAAATTCTGTAACGACCTACGTATTGCGCATAAAAAATAAAACAGCTGTTTGTGAAGCATTGCCAGCTCAGCCACAGACAGCAGCGCCATCTATTTGACATGATTGAAATTGTAAGGCATTTAAAATAAACAACGAAAGTTATAGTAAAATTAAACCTAGTAAGTCATTGATAATGAAAATATTTTTGTTTGTTTATTTTAAATACTTATTCACAGTAAGACATAGCTAAACAAAATTCCAAAAAAAGAGCCACAAGTTATTGTGCAGCCCAGGTTTTTGTCTCTTGGTTTCTCGTTGTGCAACACTAGAAACATTGCGCTGTTTTTAACACTATCACAGATTCATTTCTTTCATTATGGCACTTTAACATAAACAACATTCACGCCAATTAATTTATTTAACGCCACAGTCGTCGCTCTAATACCGGACTTCATTTCGGTTACCATTCTCAAAAGCCGCAAAACGTCTTAGCGCTAACTGCAGCGATACAAAAATATATTAAGCCCGAAAGCCCGAAAGCCCGAAAAGTGAAATTCATTCGGCAGCAGCAGCCAAAAAAGCATTTTGTAAAATAACAAGCATACTATGAAATGGGTAAGTTTCCAGAGGCAAGGTAATGCCAAATCACTTATTTTTTAGGCCATTGGCAGGCATAAGGGCTTCCTTGTTACAACGGTGGCGGCCTTCGATTTTCATGTTCAACTGCACACATTTTCTCCATATGCGTGTGTTGATTACAATCACTTATGCATATATACATCTGTGTGCGCTTGGCTGTCTCATACACATACGTCTATGTAAACAGTGTGTAATATAAAAAAGGCGGTTGCAATTTAAAGCGCGGCAAAAAATTGTCGCCCATTCAGTCGTGCCCCAGTTTAAATTGTGCTGCTAAACGTCTTCTGTTTTTTTTATCTCTTTTTTTGTGATTTATGTGTCGCCATTATTTTGCAAATGCAAATCACATGACCTTTAACCGCACCCCATGCAGGCGGTATGCAAGCAAGTGCCCAAAATGCCTTTCATGCATATACATACGTACATATACGCACATATCGGAGTGTCATCTCTAATAGTGTATTGACACTTGTAAGTTCTTTCTCTATTCCTTTCACTCTCGCTGAGAGAAATGTCAAATTGAAGCGAGAGAGCATGATGGGAAGAGATGGCAATTTGATTGGATTATTTATTTGGATTCTTTGTCTATGAGAGGATTAGCAAGAGAGATTACCAAATCTTAATAAATGTTCGTTTTTTATTACCTTTCTATATTGATTACAAATAACAGTTGTTTAAGTATTCAAATTTCGCTAGCCTTGAAGTCAACGTTACTTAACGTTCTCTTACAGGCAATGCTGTGAGCACAATAAACAGCTCAGAGAACTAAATTCAAACTATATATTAAACAAACACACACGAAAAAAAAAAGAAAAAAAGAAAAAAAAAATACTTATACATAGCTTAAGGTTAACTTTGGTGAGAAGGTGGCTGAAGCGGCTCTGCAGCGGCAGCAACAGACGGCGACCGTCGACGATGTAAGTAGCGCCCAAGTAACTCCCAATCACAAAGTAAACCAATCCTTAAAAAAAAAAAAACAATCAATTAAATTTCTCTTTTGCCATTTTAATTTTATGTGTATTTGTTTTTCTTTAGCAGCGAGCAAAATTTTTAGCACCTTTCTAACTGCAGAATTGGCAAAAGTTTTTCAATAACTATTCGCACCAAAAAAAACCAACAAAAACAAAAAAAAAAACCAATTTCTTTGATTCCGACTGTGTTTACCAATTGGCCTGGCTACTTCGTATATCTTTATGTTGCTAACATCCTATTTATGAAATTTCTATATGGACACATCTATATATACACATAAATAAATACACTCAAATGGAGCCCTGTTGAACCATATGATAATCGTATATTTTAAAGATAGTCAACAACGAAATTTATGTGTGGGAAATTTTTTATATAACTGTATTAGCTAGAGAGAAACCAAACAATAAAGTATTCTTAAAGTCTATCCAAGCTCTTCAGCAAGGAGTCAAGATACATTTTCCAGTTTCCGTTTTATGCCTGAAAAAAGATTCCACAATTAATTTTTATACAAAAAAAGTCTAGTCGAGGAAGAAAAGACTTCCACTAATCGCGCAAAATCTACTTGTCGATATGCTAGATATTATACTCAGCGACGTACCGCTTCGCTTTACATACTGCAGAACCTACGTTTTTGTCAGGTTTCGAATAGAACTTACGAACGTATGAAACGATGTCGAGAGATCGAGTCGTCTGTTGATTATGCTTATGAATAACTTGTATGTATATTTTAAGTATATAGGGCCAGAGACTTCTTTGTCTATAATTTTGAAAATATGATATATATACATATATATATATATATAATACATATATTTAAAAATATATGTATATATGTATATATATTGTGAAAGAAACAAAAAAAATAAAAGAATTCGAATGAAGACAAATGGCTGTGAGGAATTCTTAATCATACGAATCATTCAAATGGGCTCCAACAACCGCAACACCAACATTCACATATTTTCACGAATATATATATTTTTCAAAAGGTGTTATACAAAGCTTAACCATTCACAGACAATGCCATCGGCCATCAGCGGCGGCGCGCATGGCCAGGTGCATATACCCAGCAACGAGGAGTGCGGCATACGGGACGTGTGGAAACATAATCTGGAGGAGGAATTTCGTACCATACGTAAGGTAGTGCAGAAGTATCATTTTGTTGCCATGGACACAGAATTCCCAGGCGTTGTAGCGCGACCCGTTGGCGAATTTCGTTCCACCGCCGATTATCATTATCAATTGCTGCGATGCAATGTTGACTTACTAAGGATTATACAGCTGGGACTTACATTTATGGATGATGATGGCAAAACGCCGCCGGGCTACTCCACATGGCAATTCAATTTTAAATTCAATCTAAGGTGAGCTTCTGTCGTGTTGGTGTATGCGAACGATATAACGTACTTAACTCTGGTACTCTTTGTAGCGAGGATATGTACGCGCAAGACTCGATCGATTTGCTTCAGAATTCGGGCATTCAATTTAAGAAGCATGAAGAGGATGGCATTGACCCAATTGATTTCGCCGAGCTGCTCATGAGCTCGGGCATTGTGCTGATGGATAATATCAAATGGCTTTGCTTTCACTCCGGCTACGATTTTGGATATCTGCTTAAGCTGCTCACCGATCAGAATCTACCCGCCGATGAGAGCGATTTCTTTGAGCTGCTGCATATCTATTTCCCCAACATTTTTGATATCAAATACTTGATGAAGTCGTGCAAGAATCTGAAGGGCGGTCTGCAGGAAGTGGCCGATCAGCTGGAGCTGCGACGCGTCGGTCCACAACATCAGGCCGGTTCGGATGCGCTACTAACGGGCATGGCCTTCTTCAAAATGCGTGAGGTACAACACACATTTGGTATACACTTTGACATTGAAGAGCCTTGCGCATTCTTTCCCCATGTGCTTGAGCATGCCATGCACCTTAAGTCGGTTGTTATGGTCAGCTTGCGTAGCAACAACTTTGTTGCCGTCACCAGTGGCAGCTACGACGACAACAGCGACAACAGCAGCTGCAGCAATCCCAGCACAGCAACAACAACGACAACAACAACTAAATCAAACGGCGATAGCAATAGCCTATCCATGTCACAAATACTCTCGCGCTCTCAGTCAGTGGGCTTCACTATTACAGTCTATACACGCACCGTAACACCACCGCCCACATCTGCAGCGCAGAGTCTTTTGGGCAACACTAGCAACAGCAGCAGCAGCAGCATCAACAAGATGTAGACTTGCTACAGCTGCTGTTGCTGCTGCTGCTGTTGTTGTCGTCGTCATCATATGTTGTTGTTGTGCTGATGTATTGCAATTAACTTGCTTTTCCATTACCTACTTATCATTTATCAGTTGTTAAGGCTAAATGTTTCTTAATCACATCTCTTCTCACATCAATTTTTCATAATCCCTCATTGTGTACATAGTTTCTCCTTCTACTATTTTTTTTGTTTCTCATTATGTACTTATAATACTCCTAATTAGCATTTAGACGCCGCTGGACACATACGAAATGCATTTTATTTGTTATGCTGCATGCAACGCATTTTCATCGGCTAAACCTAACCCAACCACACAATTTTGTAAAAATCCAAACTTAATTCGATGAAGGAAAACAAAAACAAAACACACTTGCTGTAACGTTTTTTAGTTAGTTACAGTTGTAAAAAAAAAAAAAACAAAAAAAAAATAGGAAATCATGTGAAACATGTTGTTAATTTTGAAAAGAAAAAAACGAAAAAAAATTTAAAAACAAAAAACCAAAAAAAAAAAGAAAAATGAAGAAATTAGTGCAACGAATGAAGTTTGCTGAAATTTGAATAGAAAATTAAAAAAATGAATTGAAATTCAATAATTTTCATTTTCATTTCTGGTTTCTGGGCTTTACGTACACACACACTGACACATATCATCTTATTTTTATGTATTGCTCACAGTTTTTATTTTGCACAACTATTTTTAATAACTTTATCGTCTGCTTGCACACTTGCTTCGTTATTTAGCTTAAGTATTTTATTTTTACTGCTTGCCACTTTGCTTTATTTTGACTTAACAAATTTATTTTTCTTTTCGGTATATCTGATAGTGATAAAAAAACAATTTATATAGTCATATAAATCTCATTATCGATCTAGTCAAAATTGATTTGTGATGCATAGATAAACTCCTTCAAATATATAACAGATAACAGTTGTTAGTTTAGATATCGTGATATATCTTGACTACTTAATATATATTTATTTTTTTTTTAGATTTGTATTTTAAGTTAATTAGCTTTAAGCTGGTGTTTACTTACTTTTAACAATTTGTTTCTAATACCTAAGAGTATTTTTTTGTTTTTATAATTTTAAGCGAAATGGAAAAATGTTTTCATGCAGTTTCCACTGCATTGTGGAATGTTAAGTATAGCAAGTGTTTAACCCGTTGCAAATAGTTTTTAAAAAAAGAAATCGTAAAATCGAAGCAAAATTAATAAAATTAATACTGAAAGACAACACAAATTGGTAAATGGTATGTAAATTGAAATTTATTTAACAACTATGTAAAAATCTCTTCCATTTTTGTTTGTAGCTGCACACTTAATCTATACACTCATCCATCTATATATATATATATAAATTGTCTATATATATGTATAGATATATTTTATTGTCTGTTAATGTTGCTTATCATTCACGCTTTACTAACTCAACCTAAAAAAGAACAATTGATCCGCTTCTTTGCCCAATCTAAAATAGTAAGCAAACTGTTATACAAAAATGTGTTATACACAAAAACTGTTATACACACACTCGCAGACAAGAAGTTTATTATATATTATTAAATTTTATTCGTTTTGGCCCCTTTGCAGATGTTCTTTGAGGATAATATCGATCATGCCAAATATTCGGGTCATCTTTATGGCCTGGGTACCTCGTTCATTGTAAATGGCACTAATTTCCATGAGAGCAACGGCGAATCGAACAGCGCCTCATGATTCATACTGATGAAGAACGCTGTCGTGCACGACAAGAAATTCGAACAAGCTGCTGGAGTTGCTGCCGACTCTCTCCCAGCCCAGTTATGAGCAGGAGGCGCTTTGCCCATGTTTTCCACAACAACAACTACATAAATAACAATATCAATATGAATAGATATAGAACCCGAACACATCCGTAATTATGATATCGCGATAAAAAATAATTTACTTAAAAGATATTTTCTACGCTTCTAAAGAGAATTTCCCACTCTGTAGATGTTTTACAACAAAAAATTAAAAACAATTATAAAAAAAGAGAACAAAGAACACATCAAACCCAAAATAGAAAAATACAAAGTAAAAACTAAGCGAAACAGAAATAATAAAATACCACTGTTAAGGAATCACTCTCAAGATCTGTATGTCTTAAATATGTTAAGATAACAAATTATAAAAAATAAGCTAATATGTATAGGCCAACGTGTATTTGTATAAAAAACCAGCAAATTAATATATAAAAGTTTAAAAATTAGAATTTAATTTGAACCCTTTATTGCGTCGTTGAGCAGACTAACATGTGTAGTCTATTTTTTCATTCGCAGTGTTTTCAAGCAGGTTAAGCTTTAAGGAACGTCATACTCACCACTTCCACCCTTCCTTAAACCACCTTATTAGCACAAATGAAACTGTGTTGCGCGCGCCGTTTATAAAAAATAACATTCAATTAACATATCGTATTAATGCTAACAAATATTTTAATCGTACACAGCTTAATAGCTATATTGACTTGTCCTTTTTATAATTATCGATATATGGCATTAGTTAATCGATATGGCAGATAGCACATCACTAGCGTTGGTTTTTGTTGCATACAAGAGACGGATGGGCTTCCGTAAAATATAAAAGAATACAAGTTATTTAGGCTTTAGTTCGATGTATTTAAACAATTCAAGCGCTTATTTTCTTATACGTTGTGCTAGTTTTGAATTTTCAAAGATCGCAAGTGATGGGTGCCCAGTGAAAGTGAAGTTGCAGGCATTTCCATATCCATGTCCGCGGCAGCCACAGCAACAACAAAAGCGAAACGAAAGAAAAGTGAAATTTGAGCAAAAGGAATAGCGCATGCTAGTCAAAACAACAAAGAAATGGAAAATTTGAAAATTAGTGAAAAGCTATTCGAGGATGTGATATATTATGTGCTCGGCAGCTTGGATGATGAGGTAAACACTGAGACTCCGTGGACCTAGGGCTGTACGTGCGCCCGTGGTTGTATTATTTGGCATTCTTTGTTTGTGTGTGTGGTACATGTGTGCGCGCGTGTACGCCTGTGGTTAAGTGTGAGTGTGTTGTGTGCTGGTGCAGCTGTACAGGCCAGAGGGCGACTCTAACTAATGCAATTGCCAAATATGCATTGAACGCGTCATATGGGCATCGAAATACTGTGCATAAATATTGAATTCATTGCGAATTATATGTGCGAAAAACTTGCCAGTGCTGGCAACACAGGGAGTTTCATGCTTGTGCACGTCCAAATTCGCGCCATAAAATGTTGCCGGCAAATTTCTAGGTGTATGAGTGTGTGTGTATATGTGTCCAAATAGAGATGAGCGATATATTGGGAACTGTGACTAGCGGAACATATAAATTTCAAAATATTTAAATGTCTTAAAAGATAAAACTACATTCTGATCATTAATTATGATCAATATTAATATATACAAGTTTGTATGTATTAATAATTTAGGTATCTAGTTAGTCTTTTATGTTTATCAATTTATGAAATATTGCTCATCTCTAAAGTTATTATGTCAAAAAACAATTGAATAAATCTTCTGTTCTGTGATTTTTTGCAGAGCGAACGATTGCTTAAGAACGGCGGGGCACAATCGAAGCTTTATCTCTCAGACCAAATCACGCATTTGATATGTGCCAGCAACTACTCCGAGGAGGAGCTGTCCATGAATCTGGACCTCTACAATGTGATACCTGTGATCGAGCAATGGATATCGCACAGCGTCAAATTAGGTCGCATGGCCTCCACGCGTGCTTTCGATCCCAGTCAGCCACGTTTCCTGCGCGGCATACGCGTCGCCATCACGAACGTTGTGCCCAGCGATCGCAGGCGCCTCTTTGCCATGTTGACCTTCCACGGAGCCGTTGTTACCAGCACGTATGGAGCAACCAATACGCATCTGGTATGCGGCGCCGCCACTGGGACCATTTACAATAAAGCGCTGGCGCTGCCCAAAAATGCGATGAACATTGTCACGCCTGACTGGGTCACCGATTGCCTTAAATTCAAAAGCTGCCTGTCATGCGAACCCTATCATCCCAGATTGTTGAAGCCGATTGAAAAGCAACGCGCTCAGAAGCAGCAGCAACAGCAACAGCAACAAAATCTACAGCAGCAGCAGCAACAACAGCATCAACAGCAGCAGCAACAACTGCAACAGCAATTAGCACAACAACAACAACAGCAGCAACAACAACATATGGTACAGCAATTACCACCACCACAACAACAACAGCAGCAACAACAACAACAGCCTCCTCCAGCTGCTACGCAGCTGTCTGATATACTGGGCTTTGGCGATGACAACGCCGCCAAGAGCATAGCCAGCATTAAATCCCAGTTGCAGGCGTCGGCAGAGCGTGCCGCAGCCGAGCAACAGCAGCTGCAGCAGCAACAATTACCACAGCCAGCGCAACAGCAAGTTGTCTTTGTGCGGCCACGCAATCTGCAGCAACAACAACAATTGCAACAGCAGTTGCAGCAACAGAATGCACCGCAAGCGCCGCCACCACCACCGCCGCCCACGCAACAGCAGCAACAACAACAAATCATAATACAACAACAAAAAATCATACCAGCCAACCTACAGCAACAGCAGCAGCAACAACAGATCAAAAATATTTTGCAGCAACAGCGACAAATGAAGAGTACGCAACAACAACAACAGCAGCAACAACAACAACAGCAGCAGCAGCAACAACAAATGCAACTGATGCAACAGGAGCAACAGCAACAAAACCTGCAGCAGCAGCAACAGCAACAAAACCTGCAACAGCAACAACAGCAACAAAATCTGCAGCAGCAGCAGCAACAGCAACAACTTCTGCTTCAGCAACAACAACAACAACAGCAACAGCCTCGTCTGCCGACCACACCCACTATGCCACAGCCACCCATGCCCAGTGGACGACAAACTCCGCGCACTCCGCAACCTGCAACAACACCACAGCCCGTTCAATCTCCGCAGCAACAAGTGGCGCAACAGCAACAGGTACCGCAGCAACAACAGCAGTCGGTGCCCGTCTCCCCCCAAGTTCTGCATCAGCACATAATAAATAAGCAGCAGATGTTGCAGCAGCAGCAGATGCAACTGCATCAACACATACAAAGTGGCCAGAGTTTGACGTCACAACAACAGGCGTTACAGCGGCAAATACAGCAGCAACAACAGCAACTGTTGCAGCAGCAACAGCAGCTGCAAATGCAAATGCAGCAAATGCAACAGCAGCAACAACAGCAGCAGCAGCAACAACCGCAGCAGCAATCTCCACGTTTGGTTCAAAATCGATCGCCAGTCATGCCGCCCGGCACACCATCACCTTCGCTGCAGCAGCAACAGCACTTGATCGCAAGCAGCAGCAACATGTTGCCACCTCAATCGCCGCGGCAATTGCAATCGCCCGCGCCACAAATGACGCCGCCACCGCCACCCTCACCACAGAGTGCACAGCAGCATTTGCGTCAGCAACAGCAACAATTGCAGCAGAATCGCCAGCAGCAGCAGCAGCAACACATGATGGGTAGTCCGCAACAGCAGCCGACGCCAACATCCATGATGTCACCACAACAACAGCCATTTCAACAACCGGTGCATCAGCAACAACGCATGCAATTGCAGCAGCAGCAACAGCAACAACAACTTGCACAACAGCAACAGCAGCAACAAAGTCCGCAGCACATTTCAGCGCCGCAATCACCGCAAATATCACAAACACCACCCATGGGCAACAAACAACAGCAGCAGACAGCACAGCATCAGCAGCAGCAACAGCAACAGCAATCCTTTGTCCAGCCCATCGATCCAACAGATCCTGTGCAAGTGGCTCAAGTGCTCAGTCGTTCTACGTTGACAAGCAATCAAGATTCGCTGATAATGCGGCAGCAACAACTGAAGCAACAGCAGTTGCAGCAGCAGCAACAGCAGCAGCAGCAGCAACAACAGCAGCAGCAGCAGCAACAACAACAACAAATGCCAACACAGCAACACACACCCTCACCGCGACAATCGCCGTTGCATCAGCAGCAAACAACGCAACAGCAACAACAACCAGAAAGGGTAAGTATAGGAATGGAAATATCTGCGACATATACTTACATTAATGTTTCTTTCTAGTCTGTACAGCAAGTGCAACCACAACAACAACAACTGCAACAGCCGCAACAAATACCCCAACAACTTGCTACTGGGCAACAGCAGCAACAACAACAGCAGCAGCAGCAACAAGTCATCACCCAGCGACACGTAATAAACACTTCAACTGCGCAGGGACAGCAGATAATCCAGAGTCATATGATGAGCATACAACAGCAGCAGCAGAAACAGCAGCAAATGTTGCAGCTGCAACAACAACAGCAGCAACAGCAGATGATACCTCAGCAGCAGCAGCAGGCACAACAACAGCAATTGCCACAGCAACAGCAGCTTCAGCCACAGCCGCAACAACAGCTTCAGCCACAGCCGCAACAGCAGCAACAGCAAGTGCAGTTTACCCAACAACAAAACATTGCGTTGGGTAGTGGCGGTCAGGTGCGCATCATACAGCAAACCATACAGCCGCCACAACAACAGCAACAGTTGTTGGGGCAACAGTTTACGCAGCAGCCACAGCAACAACAACAGCAGCAGCAGCAGCAGCAAGTGTTGACGCAGCAGCCTCAGCAACATGTAAGCTTATTTATCAATTGGTTGTTGATACGCGTTTAATGTATTTTGTATTCAATCTGATTTTAGCCATTGCAACAACAGCAGCCACAACCAACCATGCAGACCAAAAAGTTTATTATAAGTCAACAACAATTCAGCCAGCTCAGCGCACAGCAGCAGCAGCAAATTTTGGCACAGAATCAGCAAAACCAAAATGTGTTCATAGTGAATTCCACAAATCTATCGCAGCAACAACAGCAGCAGCAACAACAACTTGTGCAGCAGCGACAACTGCTACAGCAACAGCAACAACAACAGCAGCAGCAACAACAGCAAATGCCCCAAAATCAAATGATGTTGACACAGCAGCAACAATCACCACAACAGCAGCAGGCACCTCCACAAATGCAACAGCAGCTGCTAACGCAGCAGCAACAACAGCAACGGCTGCAAATGCAACAGCAGCAGCAACCCCCACAACAGCAACAACAAATTGTGATCAATCAGCAAGTTATCAGCGATCCGCAGCGTTTGCAATATTTACAGCAACAGCAATTGTTGCAGCAGAAACAGCAGCAGCAGCAACAGCAACATCTTGTTGGACCGCCGCAGCAACAACAGCAAATACTTATTCAACAGCAACAGCCAGTGTCACAACAACAGCAGCCGCCGCAGCAAATCATGCAACAAGTGCTCATTAAGCAACAGCACTTGCCACAACGAACACCACCGCCGCAGTCTCCACAGCAACAACAGCAGCAGCAACTGATGTTGCAACAGCAATCGCCGCAGCACCATACGCAACTGCAACAGCAGCAGCCACACTGGTCGCCTCAAAGCCCTGTGACTAATCAGTTGCCGCCCACCACGCCGGGCACGCCCACTACGAGCATGGGCATGCAGTCACCATTGCCGGGCACGCCCACAACGCCCCAACAGCAGGCGCCACAATTTGCGCCACGTGGACTGCGCCCGCAAACACCGTGGCCCGCACAACAGCAGCAGCAGCAGCCACAGCAGTCTCAACAACAGCCGCAGCAGCAACAGCAACAGCAAATTGTGCTGCCACCGCCACAGCAACAGCAGCAGCAGCGCCAGCTAATACAATTGGACGAGAAAATGCATGCGCACTTCATGTCGCTGGATGCGCACAAACGTGCCGAGTATATAACGAAACTGAATCAAAGCAAGCCACGTGTCATGCTGCGCCAGCAGGTGGCATATCAGCCGCGTCCGGGTGCGCCCGGCAACGTGGTAGCAACACGTGCGCAAGGACCAGTGCCGGTGCCAGGGCCAGGCACATCGCATATCATTGTGCAAAGCCAAATGCCCGGGGGACTAACGCAGCAGGAGCAAATGATCTGGCTGCAGCAGCAGGGCACACGACCAGTGGTAGTGCGTGCGGGTGGTGCACCCGGCTTGAGTCCCATTACACAGCAACAGCAGCAGCAACAGCCTCCTGGCGGTGCACCGCAGCAACTACCTCAGCAACAGCAACCGTTTAATCCCAATGATCCCAACCAGCAAATGTTGTTACAACGCCAACAGTTGCGTGTGCAACAAATTCCCATGCAAGCGGCGCCGGCGCCGCAACTGGGCAAGCAGACGGTGCAGCTCATACCCGGACCCAATGGCCAGCTAATCGAGCAGCAAACCATTGTGCAACAGCAAGCCCAACAACAGCAGCCACCTACACCGGGCACGCCTACCACGCCCGGAACAGGCGTAGTTGTGGGTGGTCCGCCAGGAGGCAATATAATGACACAAACATTAGTCATGTCAGCAACAGGTGAGTTCGTATTTGCATCCGCTTTCCGGATTTAGCAATCAATGCATATTCTGCTCCTACTGCAGCGCCTGATGGGCAACAGCAGCAACAGACGCCGCAGCAGATGAACCTGAAGACGAAAACCGCTTTGGCCAATATGCTAAGCAATCGCCTGGGCAACAATGGACAGCAGGCGCCGCCACAACAGCAGCAGCAACTTATTTCTATGAACGATGTACAGCAACAGCAACAGCAGCAGCAGCAACAACAGCAGCAGCAACAGCAGCAGCAGATTGTGCAACAAGTGGTTGTTAGTGATGCCACGCGACAACAACAGCAACAACAATTGCTGCTGCAGCAACAGCAGCAGCAGCAACAGTTGGTTGTGGCTCAGCAACAACAGTTGTCATCTGGACAGCAACAACATGTGGAGACACCCTCTGCCGCTGGCACATTGCGCATGATGGGACAGCAGCATAATGCTGCTGTCGGCGTGCCCGGCCCACCACGCACACCGCAGGAGCTATTGATGCTGCAGCAACAACAGCAGCAACAACAACAGCAGCAGCAGCAACAACAGCAATTGTTACAACAGCATCCTCAGCAAATGCGACGTGTTGTCGGCGTGTCGCAGCAGCAGTTGCCACAACAACATCTCGTACAACAACAAATTGTGGTCGCACCGCCCAACATGCAGCAGCAACAGTTGCCTGTAGGCGTGCCCGTACAAGTGGCCGGCGGACCACCGCATGTTTATATGCAGGTGCGTCCCGGTCAGCCGCCCATTCCGATGCCGCCGCGTCCACAATTCTATGGCCACAATCCGAATTTGAAACTGCCCGCAGATCTGTTCCTGGTTGGTTGCACTTTCTACATTGTGGAGTACGACGAGACGGACAGCGATGAGCTGCCCATATGGCTGGACACCATACGACAATTTGGCGGCGACATCGAGCGCGTCTACTGCGCGCGCGTGACCCACGTCATCTGTCGCACTCAACGGCATGGTATGGTAATGCAGGCACTACGCGATGCCAAGCGCTGTGTGACCGCCTACTGGCTAAGCGATATCTGCTTGAAGCGACAGCTGACGCCGCCGTGGCAGCCCCTGCATTTGCCCTTCCCCAGTCAGTTTGGCTATCGCAAGCCCCTGGAGCGCTACATTATCACATCGGAGGGATTCGAGGGCGAGGAGGTGGTGCGCTTGCAACAAATGGCCGAGGAATGTGGCGCCATTTACACCTCCTACTTATCAAAGGTGAACACGCTAGTCGTCTGCAAGCAACTGGAAGGCAACAAATTCAACGCCGCCAAAGAATGGAACATTCCAATGGTAAATGCCCTCTGGCTGAGCGATGTATGCATCGGCAATCTGAGTGGATTAACCCAGTACGAGAATCCCAAGTATCAGCAGTACAATCTGGGAACACCATTCCGCATTGAATGCAATCTGGTGCAGCATTTGCTAGGTGAGAAATGAGAAATGATATTAACTATTCAGAATGATACTCCAACTGCTTCACTTGCCGTTTCTTTGTAGCCGCTTGGAAGGCGCCCATCAATCTTACACAGGAAGCGCATGAGCGTGTCAAGCGACATCTGTCCGATCCGTATGCCAATGAGCAGAAGCTGAAACGACAGAAATTGTGCGTCTATCAGGAGCATCTTCCCGAGCAAATTGTTTGCATTGAATATCCACAGACAACAAAACCGCCCAAGGTCATTTTCTCCCAGGTCGCCGATGCGGACGCGCTCAAGAAAGCTGTCGAGTAAGTTGATAATATATAGTTCTTGACATATTAATATCATCTACAATTTCAATAGACTGCTGGGCGGCATTGTTGTGGACAGTCCAATGGATGCAACACATTTGGTCATGACACGCGAGAGTCGCACCTGCAAATTGATTCAGGCGTGTTGCCATGTTGACTATGTGCTCAAGTCTACCTGGTTGGTGGATAGCGCCAAGGCGGGCAAATTCGTGCCGCCGGATGAGTATCGCATACGGCACATACCCGTCGATGAGAATTTGCAGTTCGACTTGGATGCAGTTCTGTGTGCGCCGACACGCTCTACGCTCTTTGCGGGCAGATACTTTTATGTTACTCCGGATGTATTTCCGGCACGAGATGAAATCATACGCATGATCGAATCATCCGGCGGCAAAGTGGAGCTTAAACGACGCAGCGGTGCAGCTGTTGCCGAGGCGCATGTTCAAGCGCCAGACTCATATATCATTGTTACCTGCCCAACGGATATGCATTTGTGCGCGGATCTGACGCGTCATGGCAATCCCAAGTGCCATATTGTCTCCACGGAGTTTGTAATGAGCTCCATACTGCGGCAACAGCTGGAAATTGAGCCCAATTTGATACCTTATTTGTACAACAACAACATTTCCAACAGTAGCAACAACAACAACAACAAATCCTAGCGACAAGCTGTATTCTTTTATTTGTTGCTCAAAGCTTGATCATAATCGTTGTTAAACATCTATATATGCATATATAGATATGATGTATATATGTATATGTCTGTGTGTGTTGTCACGCAACAAACCCATTTTCATCGAGCCTGTGAGCTGTGAATACGAATCTAGTCCGCTGATTGCGTCAACACTGATGAAAATCGGGTCGAATCGATTATATATATATGCAAGCGGGCTCGTTATCAAAACAAATTGATAAAAACTCTGCTACAGTTATTTTTTGTAAGCACCAACTCAAACTGTTTGCAGTTCAGCTGCAAATCGAGTCATTTAAAACGATCTATCACATCTATATATTAGCTAGTTACAATCTTACTCTAAGCATAAAGTACATTTATATATATATGTATGTGTTTATATATATATATATATTTTTGTAAACTAGACTTAGGAATATATATATGCATATGTATATATATATATATATATATATATAGGAGTATACGACACGTTTCACAGAAATTTCAATCGGCTGGCTATTAGAATTTTAAGCACTTTTTCGATTTGGATTAAGTCCATGTTGTTCAAGTCAACTAAATGTTAGTTAGGTATACTCAACAAATAAAGCTTATGTTATATATGTAAAAACAACCCATTGACACATTTGTTAGAAGATATGCTGAGATCTTGCCAACTGTTTTACATTCATAATGCATTTGGAATGCTTTATTTATTATAAATTCTATTTGTTGTTGTACATGGAGGCTATGGCCGGATCTTCTGTCTCGTATAAGATCAGAACGTCGCGGAACTTGTCGAGCAGCTGCAGCAGCTGAGAGCGACGCAAGTTCTCAAAATACATAATCTCCTCCAGATGGTGTTCGCTCTTGAAGTAGCCCATCTGATAGAGCTTGACCAACAGCGACAGATCGTCCACGTTGAGGGAGGCGGGTATGCGACGTATGGCAGCGCGGTCCGCATCGTTGAAGACATGGAGCAGTTCCTTGAGCTTCTGCTCATCCTCCATAGAGTCGAGACTATCACAATTGTCCGTGCTCATGGAGGCCGTCATACTGAAGTTCGACTTGTGGCTGGACGATGGCTGCACCGCAATATTATCCGAGGCAATGGAGAAATGATCGTCCGTCAGAGTGCGACGGTGCGAGTTCACGGGCATGGGCAACGGTTGGCTGGACATGCTCAGCATGGAGCCACCATGCACGGGATCATCATCAGGATCCCGGTCACGATTCAACTCTTCCTCGGTGTGATTACTATCCTGCTCCTCCTCGGTGAGATTGCCGGTGGCCACATGCGCACACGAAGCGGAGTCCCCAAATTCGTCGTCCACGTCGCTGGGCATGAACTGCACATAGGTGTGCAGCTGCATGAGCAGGTGATGCTGCAGCATCCAGAGCACCATCTGAGCGAGTATGCCCTGTCGCGCCGGCTGCTGCAAAGGCGTCGTCAAATGCCCAATGGACGTGGGCAACGAGAAGTCCGAAATCACCTCGAACAGCGAAATGCCCGCAAACCGTGTCGAGAACTTCTCCACCAGATGGGAGCGTGTGTGCAGTGGTGCATCCGGTGCTATTACATACACATTTGTCTCGCACAAAGGATAGATAATGGTTGCCTTGGCCCAGTAGACCAAATGGGAGACCAACTTGTACACATGCTCGATGCTCAGATCCGCATTGGATGCCATGCTCTGCAGGCTGATCAACGGATTGTAGGCATCCACCAACTGCCACAGCATGCGAGCGCCAGTCGGTGGCACGCAGTCGAGCAGCTCCGCGAAGTCCACCAGCAGCAGCATGCCATGATAAGGCTTCAATGCGCGCAGACAGCGATCGATTGTCTCTGGATCTACCATGCTGCCCTTCTTGTGCAGCTGATGCGCCTTGGCCGGCAGGCAAAAGGTCAACGTTAGATTCTGATTCAATGTGGTGCTCAGCAGTCCAGTGGTGCACAGATCATTGCAAATGGATTTCAAGGCCTGCGCCAGGCTGCACCGCTCGGCAATCAGCTCCAGCGTCCGCTCCAGTGGCTGCTGCTGTTGCTCGTCGTGTGTGCGCGCCATCAGAGCCGTCTGCTCGGTTAGATAGCCGCTGTGTTGCTCCTCGAACTTGAGCGCCAATCCTAAGCGCTTGCTCAGCTCATGATAGCACTTGACTATGGAGTAGCTGGCCTGTGCATGCAGCGCAAACACAATGTTTATTAGCATTTGTTGCTTCTTGGCCGCACTCGCGGCTGTTGAGCTGGTTGCAAGGGTCTGATTGTTGCTCGCGTTTGCTTGAACTGTGGAAGCTGAACTAATTAAAGTTGGATGGCTAACGAAGCGTACGTCATTTAGTTTAAGCTCAAACTTCTGATTGCACAATTGGGGCTTGACAGCAAATAGTGCGGATAGTACATCATCTGCAAAGCCCTGCAGCTGTCCTGTGCCTTGATTTTGGCTTTGTTGCGTGGGCGTCTGCAGTAAATCGTCTGTGTGAGCGACAGCGAAGGGATTTCGTTTCTTGTTGACTAATTCCTCTCGCGGCTCTTCTAACTTGTGCGGTTGGCCGAGTGTATGGTAGGGATACCGATACAGCAGGCGGTCGCCTTTGCTATCGAAGTAAACAAGTATAACAGCCAAAGGATTTACTTCCATCGCAGCATTATTTATTTATTATTATTTCTCTCACGCTAAAAAAAAGTATCAGCTGCTATAATTAACAAGTTGGCAGCGCCATATATTCCGATAATACCCGCTTTTATGACAGTGCTGCAAGCCGCTCAAATATTCCCTCTACAACACTGTACCCATGCATTTGTTACGAATATGAGCTCTGTTAACCACTTAAAAGTCTCATTTGAGTCAAATATATGGCTAACATAGGCATAAGTTAACATTCTTGCGTTTACACTTAAGAAAGAAGAAGAGTCGGAGTAACGCGGAGTGTGAAACGCGTTTAAAGGTGTTAAAACAACAAATAAATTGTTAAAAAATAGTTTTGTGCACTGTTTTCAGGTGCTACTTACGCAATACACTAAAATGTAATGGTGAAACGTATTAGTTATAGCTTAAAATGTAGTTTTAAAATTTATCTTATTAGCGTGTTGGTAAAGATGAAAAACACATAGGACGTGAAAGGTAAAATGCGTATAAAGCGTTAGAGCAAGCGAGATGCCATTAAAGTGTTGTAGCAGCGGTCTATATACATACATACATACATTGTATATTTTTAAGCGTGTGCTTGTGTGCGAGTACGAAACGAGGTACAAAATGTAACGAATTGTACAAATGTAGTAACAAATATTTTTTATCAAACTGGTTTGATTTTCTTATTGTAAATTTGAAAGAAAAGTTGCAGATAGTTCACTTTTAAGTGTATGTGAATATTGGCTCTTAAGCAGTTAACTTGTGTCGAATCGTATTTTCTTAGTTGGCGGTTATGTTTACCCTAAAAAATCATATTGTATATCAATATTAAAATATAACAAATTTTGTGTATAAGAGCGGCAATATCCGCGTATAGATTTTCATATACGTACGTAGGTACATATTTCAGTGGCGCCGTGTGTGTACATGCATGCATATATGTATGTATCGACGAACAGACAGAAAGACAAAATTAATGTACGTACAGCACTATAAAGTACACTACGGAATGGCAGGCGCAGTAGTAATAGGCTAAAGAAAGACAAGGTAGAAGAAGCAGCAACGCGAACAAAATAAAATAGCCGATAATAGGTAGGATTTGTACTAGTTGGCATGCTTATGTCTGTAGGCTGAAACGGCCACACTATATGTAGCTGTCATAATACAAGTGCGCGCGCAGCACAATACATAATGGTTATCTCGCTCTGACACACGCTAAATACGTGTTTTTGTGCGCATTTTCGTTGTTTCTTATGCCATACGTATTAATAATAAAATTGATTAATCAAAGTGGAAACGTTTATTTAAGCAGGCAGCAAACGTTTAAACAACGCCGCGTTTTACAACCACAAACCCTGCAAGCCAAATTACAGTGTGTGCGTTTCGAATTTGTGAAAATGTAAAATTAAAAAAAAACCCAAAGCAGCAAATGAATGCAACACAAAATTAAAGTGCCGAATAAAGCAAAGCGACACACTAAACCAAAATCATTTGCCATTAAAATCGTGTTGTGTACAATGAAGTGAAACTATATAATAATAGACGGTGAGTAAAATATTTTTCTAAACAAAACAGGAATGCGCGCGTAAATTCGTTTGCATTCATATGAGAATATCAGTTGATTAATTCATTTGCCACTTGAAGTTTAAAGTACTCATACGAGTAATCTTTGTGGGCTACGAGTTAAGTTGTGTATTATTTACTAGCATTTATGTTGTCAAATTAAGTGTTTACGGTGCTATTGTCATTTTCGAGGTCTTTTTTTTCGCACAGTGGGTCGCCATATTTAATTTCGTATTTTTCCCCCACAATGTAAGCATATACTGTGCTCTGTCCCACTAACGTGAATGGCATATAGCTTGCGCATTCGTTTGTTTTGCTTGCGATTTTCTTTTGTGCAACGTGAAGTTAGTTGTGCATAATAGAGATCCACAGAGTTGCCAGCTATGCATAGAATTTATACGTATATTAAATGTGGACAATCTTTTTAGTAATATTTGTGCACAAAATTTATGAATTAGAATCTACGAAAATTGTCCATACATCTACTACGAATTTTTAAAAAGCGAATGCACTTATGTAGGAGCATTTCATCATAATCTACCACCACTTTGTGTTTCTTTCTCACCTTGTATTGTTTTGACATGCGCAGAAACAACGAAACAAAATAAAATAATGGCAACATTTTATTTACAAAAATATTTGTTTTAAATAAGTTATGATAAAGGTATTTGCAATTTTCCGCCATTTTGAAATTGCGTTTCATACTAATTTTATATGCTAGAACAGTACCGCCGTTGCTTAGATTTTTTCTTTTCAATTTCCTTTGATTTTTCATTTTTGCTGTACACTCCAAGCGTATGTTATGTTTTCGTTAAATGATTTATTCCCAATTCTTGCTATTACTCGCCTATACTCCATTAAGTTGGTTGCTGTTGTACACTTTATTGGTATGTGTTTCATATGTTTGTCTCTGTTTTGCGCATGGTCCATTCTACACGCCGCTAATGCTACTCTTTACGCATACGTGATTTTTGCCTCGCCTGCTATGTACGATTTTTCTCTACTTTCTGAGGTATGAGCAAAAATGAAAGCAAAAGTCGACGGACAAGTTTTTAATATGTATATTTGTATTCGTTTGGCGCATACGAAACTTATATGCACAAACCCCCAATCTGGACAATGCAAGGGAAAATAAGAAAAATATTCGATATTTCAAGGGATGTCAGTATTTGCCGCGAATACACCCCCGCCAAAAATATATGCATGCGTATTAAGTGTATGTACGCATTAATACATATGCACCCACATACATGCATGCATTTTGTCGTATGTGTTGGTATTATAGGCGCAAGCGGATGTGCAAGAAGGTTCTAAATGTGTAACCTATTAGATTACATTCTTATATATGAACATATGTATATTTATTTTATGAATATTAATCTATTTGTTACAAGTCTTGAATGTATTGTGTTTAATATTATTTTCGTATAGCGATGCAATTTAGCAGATGGAAAAGTGAGGCTGTACTAAGCTTATCCGATAGAACTATTCAAACAAGCCCAGTGGGGCATGGGTATAGAAGCGTATAAAGTACGCGCGACAACAAAAAATAAGACGCAATTAGTTGACACTCGCAACACGGAGAGGTGGCATCATGAACAACAATCTCATATGCAAAGCACTAACAGATATTGTGTACCATGAAATGTGTAGGTGTGTGGGTCTGGGTGTGGGGCTGCACATGATGTATTTGTCTACATGATGGCAATGCAACGCCAAAATTAGCTAGCCCTATTGTTATAGTAATATCACGTATTGATTCATTTTCATCGAGTGTGAGTAGTCGATAAGCAGTGCTGGTGATATTGTTATCGATCGTTGCTCCGATTAGATTTTCTCTCTTGAAATTGGGAAGCTTTGATTTGCTTGTGACCTGACGCCGTGCCCAACCTTTGCTGTTCTAGACAGTGATATTTTTCTTTCTCTTTTCAACATCAGCACAGCTTATAGAAAACCACGGTGGCCATTCGTAGAGTGGGTATGCATGTGTGTGTTTGTGTCAATATGTTTTAATGTGCATTCAAACATGCTCTCTCGTAATTTGCTATTTAAACACACACACTAACACCGATTTTACGCGAAATTGTTTATGGCGCGCATTTAAGAAGATGGTTGGGGTAGGGTTAAAGCTTTTGCTTACACAGTTGTTTTTCGCATTAAAACTTAAATGACGTGTGTGCTTATTTGTATGTACGTATTTGTATGTGTTGGAAATTTTATCTGAATTGCGTTACAACATTGAAATGCTTGCTTGTTTTGTTATATGTTGGCTCTTTTAAAACGATGTTTTTATATACATATACATATATGTACACATGCCCGACCAACCAGCCCGAGTCCAAAATATTTGTTGCTTCTGCTATCTTGTGGCTGGGCGAACTTTGTTGTTGCTATTGGGAAACACAAAATCAAACGGAAATAATTCATGTGCTCACACATACAGTATACATATATGTAGTTAGTTATTTATATGTGTAAAAAGAAATCCCATTTTTATTTAAAAATCGCAGAATCTCTAATAATACGTCACATGATACTATATGGGATGAATATTATTTTAACCATATGCTATACTCATATGTACCGAGTGTGTAACAGCAGGCATTGCACCATTACATAACTGACTAAATAAGCTGTTATACATTGTTAATTTGTGTTATACGTTTGGCAAAACATTTACATACATGCATATTTATAACACATATCATGGGGTTACATAAACACATTGACTGTGCAATTAGCATTTCGCAATTCTGGTGAATTTTGCGGTTTATTCTCGCTTTTTTATTTCTGTTACAATTGATGGCAAAGTAAAGGCAAACAGAAAAGAACAACAAAATAAACACATGCATCGCATTCAATTGAGCAGCAGCAGATGCAAATGTATATTGCCCTCGCTCGCTAGCTCCGTCTCAATTAGAAATGAAATTTCAATAGGCGCGCACTCAGTAACTGCGAGAGCCAAGTGCATCCCAAGAGGAGACAAGACAACTAGCAATAGATACTAGAAAAAACAGCAGCAACAATAACAACAATGCAGAGGCAACTAAGACGATGTCGTCGACTGCCGTGAATGCCGCGCCGGATGCCAAGGCAAAATTAGTGCATTCACTTTTTGCTTTGGCTTTGGCAACTGACAAAAGCAAAAGCAAACCACTCACATACACACATATACACTTATACTTACAGTACGGTATATCTATAGCTATGTGTGTGAATTGTAAATGCGAATAGCTAGGTGCAGAGAAACTGCAAAAAAATACTATAAACTTAGAGAAACATGCGCATAGCAGAAATGCCAAACAATAAGTCTAAGTAGAAAGAGAAATAAACTAAATAAGATAATGCCGATTGACGGATGTAAACAACAATCACCCTTTTATATTTTAAAAACTAGAAGGGTGTTGATTTGAAACAATTAATTAATAAATGTTAAATAAGCATTTTAAATAGCCTAATAAGAACTTGATACTGAAACTGAATTATATATATATATATATATATATATATAATAATAATAATGTATTATAGTGTTTCTTCTTACGTATTAGAAGTGCCCATAAATATGATTGACTGACCTGAGTTAGTGTCAAAATAACAGGTTTTATTTGCTTGAGCATAAGTGCACAGTGTTATTGGTCGCTATACAAAGAGGGCAATGGTTTGGCTTCACTGTACTCCACTGTAGGCATACAAATGTAAACAATGCAGGTTCATAAAGTATTTCTTTGGTCTGCTTTGGCAGCTTTGATGTTCGCGGTGTTTCTGTGTTGGCTCTCTCTCTCTATTAACGAGTTGACGGGTTGGTTTCTAGTCGCTGCAAACGGCACAGAAAAGCATACGAAAAAATATACAGCAAGAATTTGTGACGCGCATGCGTTTGGTTTTTGTCATTACATAAGCTTCAGACTGGCATCTGGCAACACTGTGCGATAAATCAGAGATAGATGAGTACGCTAATCGATAAGCAGTTGTAGAATTTAAATTTGATTTTATATAATATTAATATTTATTTATTCTTGTTTATTTTTATTTATATTTCTGTACTTGTTCTGTTATTGCAGCAAATGGAACATACAACGAAGGATCGTTTAATGAGCTAAACTTAAAGCAGTTTCGTTGTGCTGGACAACAACAAGAATAACAAAGAACAACGATACGACCGATAACAAGAACAACGAGTGTTAAAATAAAACTTGTTAAGCTAAAGTTAACAGGAGGCGCAATAAAAAGGAAGCGTCGACTTTGAAGAGAAGAGAGAGAAGTAGAAGTAGAAGAGAAAGAAACAGAAGCAGAAACAATACACGCACCGTTATGTTTGTAATGGCTAACAATGTAATGTGGTACAGTGTTGGAAATCGTTTATGCAATTTGAATGCGCGCCACCCACAATTAGCAGCCGCCAGCAGCGGTCAGGCAAACGCCGCCGAAAAGAGCATTTCTGGTTATGCATTAGGCCCCCAAAGGTTTGGGGGCACCATCACCAATAGAAGCAGCAGCAGCAGCAATAGCAATAGAAACTGCAGTGCAACACGACTAAAGTCACAAAATCAAAAACTACTAAAGAAACAGCAAAAACAACAGCAGCATCATCGGCGGCCGCAGAGGCAAAAGCTTCTAGTGAATAAGATGTCTAGTGAGGTAGTGTTGTGAAATGCCAAAAGTTAATACGCAGCAGCAGCAGAAGCAGGAAAACATAACAAAAAGAAGAGCAACAAAAACTTAGCACCAGTTAAAAGCAGCCTCCCGCCCCGTCTAATACATAAAACCTTAGTTTAAAAGCGATCAACCACTTCTATAAATATATATATAGAAAACAAATATAAGAAATATTATTTTGTGAGCAATTAAATTTCGTAAAAATGCCTATGTCCAGGCACGACACGGTCTTCGTGGAACCTGTCGTCGGCAGCAGCGGCAACAACAGCAACACCAGCAACAGCAGCGCCAGCACACGAATTGGTATCAGTGGTCCGCAGCAGCAGCAGCATCCGCCACATATTGTGATCGATGGCAGCAGCTTAGCAACGCAGGCACAGCTGAAGCGGATCATGCAGCGGCGCATGTCCATTCAAGCGCAGCCCGCCCAAAAGTACGCGGTGCGTACGACAACAGCGCAACAGCAGCATTTGCCACAGCAGCAGCAGCAGCAACATGAATTGCTTAATCCGCAAATCTACAAAATTGTTACGACCGATGGCAGCACAAGCAATGTCATCATCGATACCTCCGCTGCAGCACCGCCGCATAACTCGAAGCTCCTGCTTAGTAATCTCACGGTGCTGTCTAAACAGGCGCCAGCCATGTCCTCCCAGTCACAACATCAGCAGCAGCAGCTCAGCTATGTCAACGCCAAGAATTTACCCTACGTGACGGCAACGCCCGCGCTTAAGCAGCAACAACAGCAAAAGTTTGGCACAATTGGCGCTTACAAAGCTGTGAATGCCAGCGGCAATGCTAAACAGTTGCAAGGGTATGCGCAGGCAACGCAACAGGCGGGCACCACGCCGGTAATGCAAAAAGTGACATTGGGCTCACGGGTTGTGACGCGACTCCAATCATATGTACCGCCTCAGCAACAGCAGCCGCCACAGATCATTGTGCAGCCAGCATCAGCGACGCAGCAGAAATATGTTAGCTCTGTGGGCAATCGGCCGGCGATAACGACGACAGCAGCGGCGTTGCTTAAGAAAGCCAATCAGAAAATAACTGTCAAAAGTGTTGGCAACATGTTGCATCAGCAGCAGCAACATCAGCAGCAACAGCAGCAGCAACAACAACAGCAGCAACAACAACAACAGTTAAAGGCTTTCATCTCCTCGCAGCAGGCAACACACAAAGCAGGCGTCAAAACCAAATTTGTTAAGCAGTACAACAGCGGATCCACTGGCTTGTCCATTGCTGCGGTCCCACAGCAACAGCAGCAGAATGTCTATGGCAAACAGCAACAACAATTGACGCCCAATAAGCTGAACAAACTGACTGCCAGCAGCACAACGAAATATGTATTGCAACAGCAGCCGCTGCAACAGTTGGCCGCCAATTTGCCACAAGGCACGCAGTTGCAGCAGAAAACAACAACGGCTGCGGGCAATGGAGGATACATGTTGCAGCAGTCGACAGCGGGCGCGATTAAGTTTGTTAACTCCCACGGCACCGTCATACAGCAGCATCCGCCCCAGGGCCAGGTCAAGCGCATTCACTACAACAGCAGCAGCAGTGACAGCAGTACCGATCATCATCAGCAGCAGCAGCAGCAACATAACCATCAATCGTCCTTGATCACAGATGATGTGATGATTGTGAATGGCACGCAGATGACAGATGAGCTATCGGCACGCATCTTGCAGAGCATGGCTCAAAAATCCTTTAGCCAGCAGCAGCAGCGCTTTCAGCAGCAAACAACGCCAACAGCAGCGGCAACATCAGCAGCAACAAACACAAGCATGCCGCCGCCGCAGCCAACGTCAACGCCTACGCAGATTATATACGGCGGTAGCAGTACCAACAACAGCAGTAGCAGTAGCAGCAGCAGCAACAGCAACGCTGTGGCAGCAACGACGAGCAATCTGCTGCTGAGCCACTATCAAGCAGCAGCTGCAGCAGCCGGCATGTCACCAAGCTCGTCAGCAGCAACCCTAACGCCGGCCTCATCGCCATCGCCATCGCCATCATCGTCATCAACAGCGTCTGCATCATATTTGACGGTGACTTCCTCCAGCACGCCCTCGGTAAGCATCTCCTCGCACGGGTTTGCCAGCGGCAGTGCCGCAATGTCCTCCTACATGTCGGCCACGGCAGCGCGTCGTCAATCGGTCAGTGCACCAAGCAGCCGAGCAACATCGCTCGAGCGCAAACAAATACAGCAGCAGCAACAACAACTGCTACACGAGGCTGTCACAGCAGCAACAATACGCAAACCGCCGCCCAGCGTGGTCGAGTATTATAAACACAGGTGAGTAATTAGCTATGGAAACATAATCCTCTAACATATCAGTCTGCATTTAAATTACCCTCGCTTCCTACGTCTACCTATCGATGCAGTTTCAATTGGCAACAAAATTGTTTGCCAAAGTCCAAAGCGAAACCTGTATTTAAATCGAAAATGTGAACCATAACTAATAAAGTTTAGCATTTCCAATTGAAGTCTTTAAAATAAATTCGATATTTATTGACACAAATAAATTGAGCTAGTCAGTCTGGACAGAGAAACAAAAACCTTGTATTGAAAGAATTGATTTGATTAAGAATTTATGTTTCTTGGAAGATAAAGTGTGTTGAGAGGATTCTCCTATTCTCCCAAAACATACATTTGCAGAACTTAAAGAATATATTATTAATTGATGTATATAAGAAAGAATATCTTTACTTACTTTTATACCAAACGGAAGAAGTCTTCAATAAACTCAAATGGACACATAATAAGTAATTAGCCAAGCTGAATTTGAAATGAAATATTTTCTGATCTAGTTTGTTTTTCATATTCATGCCACTTGACAGTTTGTTGAGCATAAATTGCCTAAAGACAGAAAATAACATTGTTGTCGAGTACATTTCGATACGGAAAAGTTGCCCTGATTCTGAGCACCATGCAGCTGTGCTACCAACCTACTGTGTACAGATTCATCTGTAGCTATCGATATCGAGCTCTGTTTACTTCTGTGCCGATATCGAAACGGACAGGTTTTGTTTATAAGTCGAGCCTTTCCAAAAAATTTCAACGCGCACAACTAACGAAACAATTTTATTTGAAATTTTGCCTTCTCCTGCAGTCTGAGTCACAACAGCAGCAACAGCTTAAGCAACCTAAGCAGTAGTCTGCGCAGCAACTCCAACACGAGCCTACATACGACGGCGACAACGTTGGTTTCATCAGCGGCTCCACATTTGACACCCGTGCACGTGGAGGCAACGACGCTGATGATGAAGCCTCAGCAGCAGCAGCCACATTCACAACAGCAGCAGCAGCAACTGAATGCAAATGAGGAAGAGCTGTATATAGAGGAAGTGCGTCCAGTGCCTGTGCACACGCAGGACTTAAGGTTGCAGCAATTGCATGCCATTATGCAGGATCACACTTACGCCTCTCAGCAGCAGCAACAGCAGCAACAACAGCAGCAGCAGCAGCAGCAGCAGCAGTCAGCGATGGCTGGCACCACATCCGCGCAGCAACTACAACAGCAACCACAGCAATGGTCCCTTGGTGGCATTGGTGTCACAGTCACCGGCCCCGCTACTACTCCTAGTGGCTTCAATAGCTTTTATGGACAACAGAGTGAGTTATGCGCAAGGGAGAATTGCCGGCAACGATTTGCTAAATATTTGTCTTTCTTTTCAGTTGGACGCCATGTGCCGCATGATGATGATGCTCACTCGGCTATAAGCGGAAGCTCACGCTTGGCCGGTGCCGATATTGATCCTGGAGAGGAGACGGAAACGGCGCCCGAAGCAGAAGCTGAGGATGATTCAGTTACTCGCTGCATTTGTGAGCTAACGCATGACGATGGTTACATGATATGCTGCGACAAGTGCTCGTAAGTGTACCGATGCTCAAGCTTGTTGCGTTTACTAATCGAAATTATTTATTTGCATCAACAGCGCCTGGCAGCATGTGGACTGCATGGGCATTGATCGTCTCAACATACCCGAAGAGTATCAGTGCGAGCTGTGCCAGCCGCGACCCGTGGACAAGGCCAGGGCTCGTGCGCTGCAGCGTCAAAAGCGTCGAGAGCATATGTTGCTCGTAGCTACACAGGCAGCAAGTGGTGCTCCGCCTTCCACGGCAACAGCGGCAGCCGCGGTTGCCGCTTCGGTCGCAGCATCAGCAGCTAATCCAATGGGCGTTGCAGGAACAGCAGCGGGCACACTGCTGTACAACAGCCAAGAGCTGTCACAACAGCAACAGCAGCAGCAGCAACAACAGCATCAGCAGCAGCAGCAACAACGGCTTGGAGCTGGGCCTAACGGTGGCTTTGGTCCTGCTGCAGGTGGCATAACTAAGAAATCAAAGAAAACCAAAGATGGTGCAGCCGGGTCGCTCAAGAAGAGTAAGAAGAGTGGCGACAAGCTAAATGCCAGTGGCGGCTCAACCGGCGGCACAGCAAGCTCCAAGTCGACGAAAAAGAGCAGCAAGCGCAAGAGTAAGTCCGGCGCCGATGGCGTCGGCGGCAGCAGTCCTGCTTTGACTGCCGCAGAGAAGCATGCAGCGAATTTGCGCCAGTGGATCGAGCACTATGAATACGCCGTCACAAATCATTATTCGCCGGAATTGCGCGCCCGTCTGCATGCCATACAAAAGCAACCCAGCTTACTGCAGAGCATACAGAATACAGAGAATAAGGCGTTGCGTCTGATTGCTGCAGGATGTGCCACGGAACTGGATAAGCGTGCCCAGTTGATACCATATGCGGGTGCCAAGGTGCTGATCAGCAGCGTGGACCTGGCACCGCATGCCCCCATCCATGAGCTGCGTGGCAAGTACATGTTGACTACACAGTTCCGGACACAGAATCCCACCGTGAACATGAATACTCCGCCGCCGAGTAACTATTTAAACAGCTTCAAGGTGCACAAAACGCCCGGACAGTTTGTGTTCTTCTATCAGCTGCCCGGCGTGGAGGCGCCCATGCAAACGCATCCACAGTTGGCGAACCATCAGCCGCCGCCACCGTTGCCCGCCTACCTCAAGGGACCCGAAGTGTGCGTCGATACGCGTACCTATGGCAATGATGCCCGCTTTGTGCGTCGCTCGTGCCGGCCCAATGCCGAACTGCAGCATTACTTTGAGAAAGGTACACTGCATCTGTATATTGTGGCGTTGACGCACATTCGAGCCCAAACGGAGATAACGGTGCGGCATGAACCGCATGATTTGGCTGCTGTGGACCAGAAAAAGTCCCACTCGGCTGTCATACAGCCAACAAGTACGCGCTGTGCTTGTGACCTGGGCAGCGACTGTTTGTTCTCCCTGCCGCTTGCTGTGCAACAGCAGCTCCAGGCGCCGCCCGCCCAGCCGCGCAGCAGTCATCGCAACAAGGTAGCCGCTGCAGCGGCGGCAGCAGCAACTGCTGCCAACAGCGCCGCAGCGATACAGCTGACCATGGGTTTAGGCCGCACAGTATCAGCTGCTGCAGTGGCGGCAGCATCAACAGCACGCAACCGCTCCACCTCGTCTAGTGGGGAGAGCAGCAGTCATATGGGCCTCAATAGTCCGCAGTTGAGCCAGTTGAATTTGGGCTTTAAGCCCAGTGCAGCTGCATTGACGGCCACTATTGGAAACGGCTCGACGGCAGCGGCAACTGCTGCTGCAATGCTCTGCAATAGCAATAGCAACAGTGGCAACAGCAACAATTCGTGTTCTGTTTCCATGTCCAGTGTGCTGCACGATTCGGGCATTTGTACATCATCTTCGTCGCCGTCAGTGTCCATTCCATCGCCGACACCTGCGCAATTGCAGTCGCCTACGTTGCAGCAGCAGCCGGCGCAGCAACAAACATCGCTACTGCAACGAAGTCCAACCCAGCAGCAACAGCAGATACTCGCTGCACTGCCAACGCCTATGTTGCTATCGCCGCAGCTGCTGCAGAAGCCGACAGCGCAACAACCTTCACTTTTGCAACATCAGCAACAGCAACAACACCAACAACAACAACAGCAGGAGCCGCTAGCTGTAATTGCAGCTGCAGCAGCGGCGCAGCGTCCAATGGCTACTTTCTATTTGCAGCCGCAACATCAGCAGCAGCAACCTCAGCAGCAGCAACAAATCAATTTGCAGCGACAACAGCAACAAGAACAATTGCACGCACAGCAGCACCAACAGCAGCAGCAACAACAGCAACAGCAACAGCAGCAACAACAACAACAACAACAACAGCAGCAGCAGCAGCAACAGCAGCAGCAGCAGCAACAACAGCAGCAGCAGCAACAACAACAACCACAACAACAGCAACAACAACAGCAACAACAACAGCAACAACAACAGCAACAACAACAGCCACAACAGCCACAACAACAGCAGCAACAACAGCAGCAACAGCAGCAGTATGCACAGCAGCAGCAACAGTTGGCTGATGAGGCACGCATGGCAGTTAGTGCACTACAAACTTTGCATGCCACGCCCACAGCGCACATGGTGACGCCTATAAAAATTACAACAACGCAGCCGCTTAAGCAACAACCGTCTCAGCAGCAGCAGCAGCAACTGCAGCAATTCCAACTGCAACAGCAACAGCCACAGCAACAACAGCAGCCATCGCCACTGCCACAAGCACAGATTTATCACGCAGCGGTGTCGCCCACAAAAACGCCTTCAAAATCGCAGCTCAACAACTGTAGCAACAATAATAACAACAACAATAATAATACTACAACTCCAACAACGCGTAAAACGCCCGCAAAAGCGGCAGCTGCAGCAGCAACAACAACACCAACAATCAGCAGCCCCGCACAGGAGGTCAAGGAGGAGGAGTCGGCAGCCGCAGCAACAGCTAGCGCGCCGGCAACATCGACGCCCGCTGCCAAAAAGGACAAACCGAAGTCTCGAGAGGAACGCAAGTTAGAAGCCATACTGCGTGCCATTGATAAAATGGAGAAACAGGAGGCGCGTGGTAAGAAGGCTGGCGGAGCAGCTGCTGGCACTGAAAGTCGTCAGGTGGGTGGCAAGCAGCGCATGAGCAATTCGCCAGCATCGCCGCGCAAACGCAATGCCAGCAGCAATTCCATAAGTGAATCGGCCGACTGCAGTTCCCTGGGCTTGGGCACACCTACCAGCACCAACAACAACAATAATAACAGCAAGGGTAGCGCAGCGAGACGCAACAAAAAGAAGCGCAAAGTGAGTCGCAGCTACAACAATAACAACAACAACAACACCAAGCGTAGAAAAAGTCTGAGTGAATCAGACGCCGAATCGCACACCGAATCGGAGCTAGCTTCACCAGCTTTACAGAATCAAAATGCAATGCAACACAACAGCAACAACGCCTTGCAACAGCAACAGCAGCTGCAGCAGCAGCAACAACAATCGGCAGATCAGGCTGCGGGCTTACTTCTAGCGCTGGCTCAAAACTGCGAACCGTTCAAGCCGCCAGCCGCAACATCTGCGGTGAGCAGCGCTTGTTTGCTAATTGAGGCAGCAATGGGTCCGCTGGAGCAGCAGCCAGAGCAACAGCAATCGCTGCAATCTCCATCTGTGGGAGAGTTCAAATATCCGCCGAGTGGCGCAAAGACAAAAAAGTCGCTTATGTCCAGCTGGTTTCAATCGGAACAATGCGAGCAACAATCCGGCTTAGACAGTCTTGTGCAGGCCGCCATGAGCGAAATAAATGGCTCCAGGGAGCAACTACAACAGCAACAGCAACAACAGCAGCAGCAACAGCAACAGATGCAGCAAATCCCTCCACAGCAGCCGCAGCAACTGCAAATAGATGCTCCGGCGCTGCTCAAAGTTGAGCAGTTCATACATCAAGTAGAGGCCACTGAGCGTTCGCAGATGCCCTCAGTGCAAAACAATTCATCGGTTAAGAAGCGTTGGCTGCGCCAAGCCATTAGCGAAGAGACTACCGATGAGAATCAGCCCCAGGCACCGGTTACGCCCACTCCCAGCATATCGCCACTGCAGCAACAGCAGCAACAGACGCCACCTCTACTCTCGAATGGTTTTAGCACGCCCTTAAAGAAGCGACGTCTGGTGGTCATCAGCAATGGTGGACTTGAGGCGACGGCAGTAGAGGAGCCGCACATTGATGTTATTGGCAGCGCCGGCGAGGAGGAGCACAAAGTGGAACAATTGGAGCAATCGCAGACGGAAGTACTAAAAGTTGAGACACATCAGCACTTCGAACAGGATGACGATGTGGATATTTTGCGCTCACCCAGTCCAGGCGCACAGCAGATTGTTGCCGAGGACAATCTGGTTAAGATAGAGCCGGAGGACACAAGTGCAGCAGCTGACGATGTCAAGATTGATGTGGAGCGTGAGGAGAGTCAAGCGTGTGATAAGTTCGAAGAATTACTCAATGTTAAACGCGAGCAAGAGGAGCAACAACAACAACAGCAACAACAACAAGCCAAATCGGAGGCAGTGCCAGAAGAGAAGCAGCGAGTGGCTAAAGTGGAACCCAAGGCAGAGATTAAACCAGAGCCAGCAGCTAAGCTGACGGCCAGCAAGGTGGAGTCAATGCCGGAGCCTAAGCCGGGTGAATCATTGCTACGCACAGCAGCAATAGCTGTAATGCCAGCAAATGCAGCAACAACCACTGCAAGCTCTACGACTGAGGCAGATTCGGCAAAGGCGAATATCAAACCGCGCTCCGCAGCCGTAAAAGATGAGGAGGAACCGCTCAAAAAGAAACCCAAGTTGGAAACCAACTCAGCATCGGCAGCCACAGCCGCAGCCGCAGTAACAGGAACAACACCTCCAACTGTTACTACGGTCGCAACGCCAATCCCTACGCCACCGGCAACAGCACCAGCAATAACAACGCCTGCTGCCAGCAGCAAAAATCTAACCGAGCTGGATATACAGGAGCGCCTCTTATCCTTCCATGCTGAGAATATATCCTATTTGCAATCGCGCAATAAAAAGGCAACCAGCAGTTGTTCTGGCAAGAGCAACAATAGCAGCAGCAGCAATAGTATCGCAGCCAGCGTTGACTTGCCCGCCAAGAAGTCCAGCAACAAGGAGAAGGATGAGAAGCGCGACAGAGACAAGCAGATAAAGAAATCGAAAAAGGAAAAAAAGAAGTCAAAGGAAAAAGATAAACTAAAGGCAGCAGCCATAGCAGCAGCCTTGGCAGTTGCGGCGCCTGAGACCAAAAAGAAGCAGCCCAAAGAGAGTAAGCAGCAATTCCAACAACTGCCAGCAATAGTATCCACACCCACGCCTGCAATACTCACGCCAGTGGCAGCGGCAACTGTAACAGCAGCAACCACGAATGGCAAGACCAAGCACCACAGCAACATGCTTGAGCAACAGCAGTTGCAGCTGCAGCAGCAATCAGCACTGCGACGGCGCACCATGTCCATGTGTGTTACACCAGCCACGCCTGCAACGCCCACAGTGCCAACAACTCCCATTCTAGCAACAACAAAGAAGCGACAAACCAACTTTGAACAGGAGCTGACCAAACCCAACAGCCAAATACTCAGCAGCAGTTTGTTGCTTAATACCAGCAAAGCACCGCAGCAACATCAGCAAACAGCGCTCACAGCAGCAACAGTGGCCGGTGCAATCGTTGCGCCAACAACGGCACAGCAGCAGCATCGCAAGGAAAACAATCATCATCATCACCATCACCACCATCAGCAGCAGCAACAGCAGCAGGAGGCAACCGGTTCGATGAGCTTGGCAGCGGCCATAGCCAGCGGCAAATTGACGCCGATCAGTAGACGACGAGAGTCTATGTGCGGCAGTCGGCAGCAGGCGCTCATTGCGGCAGCGATCAAGAAGGATAAAAAGGAGAAGAAGAAGAGTAAGAAAAAGGACCGCGAAAAGAAGCAAAAGGAAAAGGTGAAAGGCAAGCAAAAGGATAAAGACAAGGACAAGGACACAACAAAGGTAAAGGGCAACAATCAACAGAAGCAACAGCAGCAGCAAACGACTACAGCAGGCGTAAATGCAATGCCCAAGGCAGCATTAGCTAAGGCCGCTATAACAAAGCCTTCCACACCCACTGTGCATCCTGCGCCCATATCAGCTGCACCGATACCCGTGCTAATCACGCAACCAACATTGGCAACACCAACAGCAATGCCAATGCCAATGCCTGCGTCTGTGTCTGTGCCACTTGTTGCCAGCGGTGCCGCAAAGCAATTACCCTTCTACAATACCATTTATGGCAAATTGCAGGAGCCGCCCGTGTTGCCATCCAGTGCTTCATTGGTATCTTCGCTGACCAAAATAAGCAGCAACATACCTAGTTTAGCTGAGTACTTGGAAGCAACGAAAGCAAAGGCAGCGGGTGCAGCGACGGCGCAAACAGTCGTTGCTGTTCCACCAACAATAGCAACAGCAGCAACAGCAACAATTGCCGCGTCCGCCAACAACGGAGTGGCTGCAGCGCTGGAGAGCATGCCGCCGCCATCAACAACACCGCTTAAACTCTACACACGCACTGCCAGCCATGATCCGAGACTGAATCCCATGCTTACAGTGCCGGAGCCAGCGCCAATGCCGAAACGCAAGCTTTCGATTAGCGAATATCGCATGCGCCATCGTCCTTCGGTCGATACCGCGCCTACGACTCCGACAACGCCCACAACGCCAACGGAGCGCTGCTTTGCCAAGCCGCAGACCATTAACAAATGTTCGCTGCAGTCACCGGAACGCTACCAGGCGATGCGTGATCGACGCAATTCAATTAGCGTCCACCAGAATCAGAACAACAGCAACATCAAAAATCATCACTACCAGCAACAGTTGCCACATCAGCAGCAGCAGCCATCTGCATCGGCGCTTAAAAGCAACATGAAGAACTCCGTAATAAACTCCGCAGCGGCCACGCTTAGCACCGTCAACAGCATCCTGAGCACTGCCCACAAGCTGCACATGTTCGATGACAAGCCCAAGGGTAAGCACTGAATCGCATCTAGAAATCCATTTGCTAAACATTCTGTTTTGCAGGTGGCCACTTTAATGCAGCGCCTACATTGCTTGAGCAGCAGCAGGAGAAGATGAGCGAACGTTCGCGTTGTCTGCAGCGCACAATTTCCTGTGATTCCCGTGTCATCGAGCGCCTGGGCGCCGGGACAACAGCTGCAGGTAGCGCCAGTCTTGCCGACAAGGCGACTGGGATGAGCGCCAGGCGAGATGGAACATAAGAGCTACTGAAAGGTAAGATAATAATAATAATAATAATTAAACCATAATAAAGTGTATTGCACCATAGGAATTACCTCGAAATGAAGACATCGGAAGACCCCTTGGATAAACAAAAAATGCAACCTCAACTCGAAATAGCAATCAAAATCTGAATGTGGAAAATATCGATGGCGTACCCAAGGACATAGATATTTATATATTTGTTTATGTTTATGCTAAGCGCGTTTTTCCTATCTAAACAAATGTACAGCAAATCCGGACATAGAAGAGCAAAGGCAGTCACAGCGAAATTCAATCCTTATTATTTGTGTTGTAAACGCTATAACTCGCTATAATTAATACTACCTAAATATATATATATATATATGTATATATATGTATATATATATATGTATGTATATATATTTATATATATCTATGTAATTGGTTTGAGTTTGGGAGAAGAAACGATGACAGGAATATAGTGAAAAGCCTTCTGCTAAACTAACTAGCAGTTCAACTGGTCGCGTTTTTTCGTAACAATCGATCAACTTATCTAATTCTACTCCATAAATATATATCTTTATAAAGTAGTATATATATAAATACTATACATAGCGCTATAGACGTATATAATGCTTAGATATACAAAAGAATCACACAAACTAATTGAAAAGTTTAGCAAGCTGTAAGCATTAGATTTCCTTTTGTTTTTAAAATAATTTAAATGCATAATGTATTAATCTAACTTTATTATTTAACACTTTAAGTTGCGTAGAGCTTCAAGAATTTATACACTTATTTTAACTAATTGAAATATGCAAACAAAAACTCCGTGTACACAAAATATGATTACTGTTTTCTCTTTCTTTTTTTTCGTAGTTTAATTAAATATTATATGAGAATAATAACAAACGAATACATAAATTACCACAATTAATAAAGAAAAGAAAGAATTGATAACAACATAACCAGGCTTAAAACGCAAGCAATACTATAAACCAAAATAAATGGAACTAAACTGTAAATAGGAATTTGCAAAAGTAAAAGCGAATCGCATATTGTTAAATATTGTACATAAAATCTAGAGAAAAAATTAACTCGTTTAATTGATAGCATCAACAGGAAACAACAATGCTACTTTAGTATGTAAGCGACACATTGAAAAAAAAGAGTACAAAAGGCGAGTTAATTGAACGTAATTAAATTTAAGTAATGCCTAAAAACAATTACAAATTTAAAATTTAAATGTAAATAAAGAAAGGCTCTTAGCAAGGCCGTCGCGTATTTAGTTTTAAGACTAACATAAAACTTGATATCTTTTTAAATGCAACCGAAAGTAACATCAACAATTTTTCATTCTCTTTGATAATTGATTTCAATATTTTGATAATTCTTCCTTAAATGCCCGAATGTATCCTAAATGGTTCTATTTGGGTAGAAACAAATTAAAATAATCATTTAGCCCTGTGAATATGTATAATTATTTACTTATTAAGACATTTTGAAAACCCAAATTAATTTCTTTTTAATTTGATGTTTTTACAAATTTACTTTGAATTTTGTATATACCAACAACAGTTTTTACATTTCACATTTATGAGGTTTAAATCGTTTAGGTTCAAAGAATTTTAACATTAATTAATCTAGAGAACAACAAGAATTCTTGAGTATATGCTGTTAAAGATGGTTCAAAAATAAATATTCATTTGTCATGTTTATGATGGCTCAGGCTGATTCATTTATGTTTTTGGGTCATATTCAATGACTATTATAACCTTTTCTATCTATAAACATAGTTTCGATTAGAATTGATTTTAGGGTTTCTTGTCGTAAAATTCTATACTTAGATTGTATCCCAAATAAAGTTATAAATTCTAAAAAACTTGTACGCCTAACTTTCGACAAGTATTGCTGTAACAGTTTCTTAAGATATTTATATTTTGTATCCAAATATTACAAATTCAATACAAACTAAAGTTCAGTTCGAAAACCAGCCTAAAGAAAACAGATTATTTTGTAAAAGAATTTATTCTAATATATTTAAATGCTCTCGTTAACATGTAATATCGGTAGGAACGTTGGAGTAGGAGTATAAAAATTAGATATTAACTTTTTAAGCATATGTTGTTTTTTATGGGGTTTTCTTTATGTATATATACGAAAAACAGAAAACATTTTTTTTTTGTAACGAAGAAAGTGTAAAATACATAATGCAAATTTAAGAAGCCGATTTTATATAAAAAACTATATTGTTAATTTATTTAAGATCTGTATAATACTAAAAATTACATTTAGACATAAAATACATTTACAAACGAAATTTCGTAATGAAAATTGAAAACAGAAAATAAAAAAAAAATAAACAATAAAAAAAAACAAAATTAGTTTTATAGCATTACAAACAGCAATTACGTATAAATTATTTGAAGAAAATTCAATATAATCATTTTTACTGTAAATTAAGTATTTTGCATAAATTTTAAGTGCGAATTTTGAATAATAAGAGTAGAGTTTTTAGCCTTAACATTTGGTTTAACTGATGTACATTAAATATGTTAATTATTTACTAAAAGAAAACAGAAAAACAAACAAACACACAGAAAAAATGGGGCGAATCTTAATAACACTTCCGTCTGTAAAATACATTAAAAAATTGGATTCGTAAGATTCTTTACCATAATAAAAAGAAAAACGAAAAACACAAATAAAACGAAATAAAATTAAAAACTTTAAATGTGTTTTCTTGCTGTTATGGGAGTTTCCTTTAATAGTGTCTCAGTCACATTGTATAGTTCAAGCAAGTTGCTAAATTGGCCAATCTCTTATTTCTATCAGGCAATACGTGATATTAACTCATCGTGAATAACAAAAGACGAGATAAAGTGAACAAAGTGCAGTGCATAGCTGGTCATTGTCATCTAAAACTTATCGCTAGAGCGTAGTTGAGGTCAGAGAGAATGGCATAGAGATATAGTTGTGGAGTCGTAGAACTTTATAGAGCTATATGCCCTAGTTCGCGATAAGAAGCCAAAGACTTGGGTTATGTAGAGTATTGACATATGCTTTATTGCTTGTTCATTTTAAAGCCCTTGGGGCGTGGCATAACATATAGAAATGAAATTTTACAATATATGTATATGTAATTACAAATGTATCTGAGACTTTACATTTCCACATAGGTGGGCGTGGTCATGACGCCGCAGTTGTTTTTGCGTGCAGACATCAAAATGTAACCATCGTTGCCCCAGTAAGTGGACCAGGAGTTCTTCACTAGCCAGTAATCCTCGCCATTGATGGTGCCATAGCCAACGGCCAGCACGGCATGGTCAAGGCCATCCGGATCGTTCTTGCATTCTGGCTCATAGTAGACTCCATTCGAGTAAAAGCTAAATGTCTTGGGCGAGGCGTCAATTGCTACTGAGAGAGGACCGTGCTTGAGCAGGGCCAATTTGAAGGCGTTGGGGTCGTTGGTGGTGACATTGACAAAGCCTTTGATTGGTGCGACAAGCGTCACGTTGTTCACATGGCAGTAACCATCCTGACCCAAATAGGGACCATATTCCTCCTCCGTGGGCACGCCACCCACTTGCATCATCCATTGGTAGACGCGGAAGTCCTCGCCACCATCGCATCCATTGTTGCCATAGCCCCAGGAGCAATCGATCAACGCCTGCTGCGAGAGACGGACCAAATTTCCACCGTTCTTGAGGAAGAACGCGCCCTCCAGATGACCCACAGTTCCAAACGACCAGCACGACCCGCACACCGATTGATCTGTGCATGGAAAAGTCATCGTTGTAGAAATTAAAGGAATGTTTGAAGCGGGTTAGCACTTACCCTTAACGGGACTGACAGCTCCAAAGAGACGCCAATCGTATTGAGAGGGTATCTCATCTTTGAACTTATTCACATCATAGGGAAAAGGTTTACCCGAGTTGTAGCCACCGGATGACTTATAGCCACGACGAGCCCTCATCTCCTCTTCTGTCTTATCAGCCAGGTGATTGACGGCCAGTTTGTAGGTTAGCTTGGCACGATTCTTGGAATGAATGTATCGCAAGTTCTGTCGGAAAATATTCTTGCGATGCTCATGCTCCTTCTCGTTGCTATAGTCGATGCTATGCTTGCGCTTAAAGTGATGGAATGCCTTGTCCACATGCTCATCGCTGCCGGAGATGAACTCATGCATCGGATTGAAGGTGGCAAAATGACCCGGGCCTGGGAAGCCAGTGCAGGTGAGGCTATCATCAATCTCAAAGACTTCATTGGGTATATCATCATGCTCATAGCTATCATAGTCCAGATAATAATGATCATAATGGGAGCCCAACAGTGTATTGTAGCCGCGCATCTCGTAGCGCACTGGAATGGGCATTCGACTAGCTGGATAATGCGGCGACTTCTTGTAACGCACCCACAGGGTATAGACGTTCTTCTTCTGACCAATCGTCTGCTCCAAGCGGAACTTATCGCACGTATAGCCGAGGAAAGTTTCGGTGCCCACCAGACTAAATGGCTTCGCATCGGGCAATATACTTTGGATTTCCACAGCCTGCTCGGCGGTTCCATTTACCTGCAGGCAGCTCAGTTTGTTTAATTCTTCCTTATTGGAAATGGGCGCCAGCTTCAAAGCAGTGCCATATTGACCCTCGCCGGCCAGCTGATAGGTTTTCACCATGCCGCCATAATAATCAATGCGAGAGCGTTTCGTGTTCTTGTCGTACCAGGCGTAAAAAGGTTCGGCTATCTCAGCATAGGGTATATAAAGAGTGCCCTTTACTATGTAATTGGGATCCCAGCGAGGCGGCTTTGTTCCCTGAGCTGGAAAATATATACATAAAAAACAAACGGCACTTTAGCAAACTATAGCGGTACCAGCAGCCATTGCCACACACACACACGAGCACACGGGCTCACGCCACGATTTAAATACTCATAAACCTTCATATACACGTATTCATATATTACAAACACATACAAAACTAACACATGCCAATAGAAAAAGCCGCATAAATGACATTCAATCTCCGTCTGGTTTTTAATAAGTTTGAGTTTAATTAAAATTACTCACCTGCCAGTGCTAAGCACACCAGAAGTGCTAAAATTAACCACGAACGCATTCTTTGTGTTTCAATGTAAATGTTTATTATTTTACTTGCACTTTACTTCAAAATAAAATGCACTTGTGTTAAAAGTCGAAAACCTATTGAGCTACTGCTGTGGCGTATCAAACGACGAAAGCTAGCATGAGCACAGAGAGACTAAGTGAGAGGCAGAAAGAGAGAGATAGTCGAATTACGCTGTTAAATCTAACAGCTGTTAAGTAAATGATTTGATCGTAAATTTAGTGTGTGACCAGCCAAGCTAATTAACAGAGTGTATGAGGGAGATAGATTGTACAGCTTATGATAGCCACTGTCAATAGTCAAATGGATCATATTAACACGAGGGTGTGACCAAAACTAACAAACTGTTAAATACCAATTCTTAACGTTCATCTGTTAAAAATGGCGCGAGATTTAAACTCAAGTAAGGATAATAGAGACCAGCTGTTGTTTGTAGGTTTTTAATATGTTACTCTCAGTTATCTAGGCGCACTCTCACTGCTGGCTGGTCTCTTCGTTGCGAGCTTTATAAGGCTGGCTGCCCAGGACCCGAACAGATGCCAAGCAACCACCAAGCGAGCAGCATTGCCTTCATCCAAGACTCAAACGTCCGTGCAGTGACAGTGTACCACAACAACACGAGTGAAAAGTGCACAACTATATAAAAGCACACATACACACATACATATCCATGTCTCTATAGTACATATTTGCCGTAGCCCCAAAAAGAGTGCTACATAAATGATTTAGTGCGATTAGCCGCCGTGCAAGACGTGGAAGTGTGCACTGTGAATAAACGTACACACATACATACGTACACACTTGCAATGCATTAAGTATCCGTACAAGTGCGTGTAGCGAAAACAATTCCATTACGCTTTAACGGCATTTTATTTTTAGAAATTTGAAATGTGTAAACAAAAAAAACTCAATCAAAAGTTGTGAAAATAAAGTGAAATTTACGAATAGCTAACTAATATAACAAATAATTAAATGCGAATGTTCTACATTTTCCTGGGTAAGCATATATCTATTGTTGTTGTTTATCTCAACTATATGGCTGTGTATACAGCTCCTATATATACCTACAAATTTATATGGATGTGTATACAGATTCTGGCTGTGTATCGGCATCTTTGACATTATTTGCCCTTACCTTAGTTGTTATGTTTCGAATGAAAATTTAAATTGACCTAAAAATATTTGATAGTAAATTATGTAAAACTAGTTAAGCTGTAATTAAGGGTGATTCGCTTGCGAGTGTAGGAAGAGAGATGTGAAATATGAAATAAGAGTACCGTTAGTTATGTCCCTTACTCAAATCTGACAATGAAATACCCCAAGAAATATGATTTTTTTGGCAGCCTACAATATTTCATTTCAAACAAAAGCCTGCATTAAAAACTCCAGAGAAAAGCCTTTGACAAGCGCATTTGAAAGGAAACTATTTTACGTATGCAAGCATATACATACACATATATATATGTATGTATATGCATACGTATAATGTGTGCATATGTGTGTGTACTAGGAGATGTTTCGCTGTGTGTAACCTACATTTTAAGCGACAACTACAACAAATACATATGCATACACTCACACAATCACTCTTCCAGCACAAGTCAAATCCGTGACCGATGTCGTAGTCGTTGTCGTAGGCGCTGCACTGTAGGAGGCGGGGTTCAAGCTGTGACGGCGGCACATGTAAATTTGCTTTTATCAGTGCCTAAAAACGAACACACACTTGCACTCACACTCGCACACGCACACTCACACTCACACAGCATACAAATGCATGCTTCACAAAATCTTATATACCGTTTGCCCAGCACTGCTCTCGAGGGCACGACGCGCACTCTCGTGAGAGTTGCCAAATACGAAGCGAAGTCGTTGCGTCTCTCACTCGGTCGCTCGCCATTTCACACTCACACACACACACACACAACCAATTATACGCGTGTTATGGGCGCGCGTTGTCCACTAAAGGCAAAGTGGCCTCCCCCCTTTCTGTTACTCTCTTTCTCTTTCTGCCTCGCTTGCTCTCGCTTCCATTGCCTTGGCCAACCTGGTTGTTGTTGTGCGTGCTGCATTTGCAATTTCCGTTTTTCCACGCGGTTAGAATTTCCACGCAGAACGTTTTGGATTATGGACTTTTTCTTTAATGGCTTGCAGAGACGTACAAATAAATTGCATATGAGCCATTTATTTTGTTGCAATTCTTTTAACTTTAATTGCATTTACCACTTACCATTTGCCCACAGCCGTGCGTAATATATCATAATTAAATTATTATCACTTATGTAATTTATGGAGATTTATGACGACGGCCACACAGCAATAAAATGTCAGTTAAAATGTGAAACTTAACGTCATTAAAATAGTTTCTTGTACGAAGTAAATGACAGCGCGTTAAAGTTATATAAATTTGATTGGTTTTTTTATTTGATTTTCATTAATTATAAATTTGATTATAAATTTGATTATAAATTAAAAACGTAAAAAGTGAAAATTTAAAAAATGAATGAAATCTTAATAAACTATATTGAATATAGTTATAGAAAATAGAGACAATATAACCTTCCTAAGTTTTTCATTCAAATAAAAATATCACATTTACTTTAATAAATTATAATACTATGAATAGGATATACATATTAGATGCAGTACTTCCGATAAGTGGTATATTTAGAAAGTAGGGAGTTTAAATATGTCAAATTATAAAGTTCATATGCTTCGATCTATTCGCTTAATCAAAAGTACATTTAAAGACTCATCTCCAATATAAAGCGTTGCCTTAAGTGCTGAAACAAACATCATTCAGTTGTACTTAAATTTAAGTGTTACTTTAATAGAATATAAATATTAATTTGATATAAAAAGCATAAATCAAATCAGCGCCTACACAGAGGTTCTCTATCCTCGCCAAAGAAATATATAATTTAATCTGAAATCCACTTGCGACGCCCACACACGCACCCACAAAGCCCACTTGTTATAGGCGGCTATTTTTATGGCTTTCGTTCATTGTTTAGAACACATTATCACATTTTGCTCTCAAGGCATCAGCTACAGATATTAACAGTGACTGAGAGGCAGTGTTTTTTGTTTTTTGCTAGCGTTGAGGAAAAGGAGAACGGAAAGGAAGAGCATCTACTAAAACGATGATTCAGATTGTTGCCACACTTTGGCACACTAAGCTGCCTCAGCGGGTGGCAGCGAGTGTTGCGGCAGTTGAAGTGTCTATGCAATTGCTGAATGCTGTGGGTGGGTGTGTGGATGTGTTAACAATGGGTGGTAAGTGGGCTGAGTGTGATGGCTCGACTAACACTATCTGCCAGACAAACACTTGGATACGATGATGTGGTTTCTATACTCGTCCACAAAGAAACACGAGTATATTGGCTAAGCTAAGTGTTTCTATAGGGGGACGTGGCACATCACAAAATATTATGTCTTCCACAATTTTGATGTGGATTATCAAAGTTTCTTAAGGCAAGAAAATCACTTTGATTCATGAACGAGTATTGTGCAGTCAGTTACGACCAACTATAACGCGCTGACTTGCCGCAGCACAGCGCAGTGAATTTCTAGTTGGCATTGTCAATGTCAGGATGTTGGGTTTGAAGTCAAAACAATGGAATCATTGTTGCTGCACTTTATTGTTATTGTTGTTGCTACTGCTGTTGCTGTTGGTGTTGCTATTTAACAATTGTTGCTAGTGGGCGGTACGGGCTGCTTTTTAATTACCCTTGGCTGCCGCTCGTGCTGCCTGCCGAGCTGCTATTTATGGCTGTCAGCGCACTTATATGGCGTCTGCTTATGTGGGAGCATAGAATCCAATTGAAATTCTGATAAGAAAATCAACTCAACGCGAGCGTCACGACGTTACAATTATTGCTCATTCGCCTGTGCATAAATACGAAGTGTGTTGCTAAATATTAAGTTATGTATAAATATTTTTATATTGCAATTTAATTTTGCAAGCAAAGGACCAAAGATCCAATGCGTGTTTTGGTTAGGCTCAATGAAGGAATGAATATTAAAGATAAGAGTAAGTTAGAAATATAAATAGTAATTTATTTAAACAATAATCCTTTAATTATTAATTTTTTTACTGTGTAAATGTTGTTTCTTTTATTCGTATTATTACTAAGTATAACAAATCAATTTTTAATGTATAAATGTATAAATGTATACCCCTTACAATCATAGTAAGGTTTATAGTCAGTATGGGTAAAAGACTTAGACGTCTATAAAATCAAGCTGAACAAATCTATAGATTTTCTCTATAAAGAATGCAACGCAGCTTAGAGCCAACTATGAATACAGTCAATAGGGCCTTAAACTCTAATATCATAAAAAAATATTAAAAATCACTTCAATAATATCATTGATTATTTATTAAATTTTTTCTTTTTTTTAATTGCTGTTTTTATGTGCAATCTGTTTTATACATAAAATACATAATTGTTTTAATAAAATATTTATATATATATATATATATATATATATATATATATATATATATATATATATATATATATATATATATATATATATATATATATATATATATATATTTGCTAATCACTCTGCTGCCATCTTTCATTCAATAATTCAAACTAAATATCTATTGCTTTATATTTTTTATCGATTTCTGCACATGTATTTGTGTTCACTTTGGTTCAGCTTTTCATTTGGTTTCGTATTGCTCTAGCTAATGCGTCACAGTTATTCATTCCTTTTTCATTAATGTCTTCTTGTTAATCCTATTTTGCTATCTTTCGAGGTTTTCCTCTTCCGCTTGGTTTTCTTTATTAATTAAAGAGTCGTGGCCTTAGCGTCCTCATCTACTCAGGGCGGGAAATACTTTGCTTGCGTGACATCTTGACATGGACTCAAATGACGCCTCAGTCTTGACCAATCAGCAAATGTTGGCCCTGAGCGTGTTTTTCGCCAGTGCAAGCGCTGACAAAGTAGAGAAAAGTTTTGCCTAAGATGGAGATAGCAAGGATGTTGTTGTTGACCTTTCGTAAATATCTCTTATCTAAGAATTTTATCTATTGTATTTAGCTGTAGTTTCTATGTTGCTATTCCACGGAAAGACTTTAAATTAAGCCTCCAATTGCAGCTGCTGAACCAATTTGTGGCTAAAAGCTGAATTGATGTCAGTTAAAGTATAATTTACAATATAATCAAACAATAAAAATATATATCCGATAATAAATAAATATATTTATTTATTCATATATGCAACTATATCAGTATATATATGTGCACAGTATATATATCTGCCTTTCTTAACCAGTCTTCAAGACACCATCAGTCACCGCGAGTCACTCAAATTGAAATCACTCAATCTGGAATCCCACAAATTTACATTACATTACTGATCATTTTAAGCATTGATTGTTATATATATGTATTCATTTGATCCCCTTCCACTCTAATTTTATACAACTCAGTTTAGCAAAGAGCTTTTCTTGGAATGACAATTTATAGTCGCTGCATCATAACGACCCAGTGCGAATGGTCTTAATAGCCATCTCGCTCTCACTCAGCAACTGCCATTACGTCGTTCACTAACAGCTATCTTTGTCTTTTTCTCTCTCACAGAGAGAGAGTTAGATAATCAAGCTTGCATTGTGCAGTCTGTAGCACTTGTATAACAGTTATATAACAGCTCTTTACAAGCGCTCTGCCTCACACAACGCAGAAGGCAATCACAACCAAATGTAACAGAATTGGAAAACTTAGATAACAGATTCTGTTATTAATTCTACGAAATCAGATGCCATTGTCATAGATAAAGAGTTTTTTTAAACTATTCACACAGGAGCTTGGCTCATCGAATTAACCTTAACTTATGCCTTGTTATAGGTACAAAATCACTTCTGGTAAAGTTTATTTATTAAATTGCACAACAAATATTATATGCATATTTAGATCAGTGGATAAATAGCCCAGCTGGCAATGGAGCAGAGATTGTTGCTGTTGCGGGCCATGCGAAAGTAGCCAGACTCGCCCCATTTGCCCCAGGAGTTTTTGAGTAGCCAGTAATCGTGGCCTTTATCCTTGCCGTAGCCCACGAGTAGAACGGAATGGTAGAAGGCATCGCCGCTGCAGGTTTGACTATAGACGCCAGATTGATAATGCTGCAGATGCTGAGCATCGATGGTCACTGCAACGGGTCCTTCTCCGGCAATGGCTGCCTGCAAAGCGAGCTCATCGGCATGCTTGATCTCGACGCTGCCCCTGATGGCAGCTCCAATGTGCTGCTTGCTGAAGCGACATTTGCCCTGCTTGGCTTCATAGGGATACGAGCTGCGGGTATTAATGCCTCTGTTATCCGTAACATACCTCAGAGCCTCGTGCACTGAGCCGCATTTGCAGCCCTCATTTTTGTAGGGCGGATGACTCGAGCAGTCCACCAGATTCTGTTCGGATAACTCAATCATTTTTTTCTTGGTCTTCAGAAAACGATGCGATTCGATGGCTGCCGCTGCCGCAAAGGCCCAACAGGAACCGCAGTCGCCCTGGTTCTTCACTTCGCTGACAGCTTTCTGGTTGCGCCAGTCCACACTCTCCGGCAGTTGTAGATTAGCGTCTGCCTCGTAAACATAATCTGCATGGACAGCTGTCGTATTACGGCTGCACATCAGCGATACAAACTCCTTCGACAGCAAATCCGTGAATTGATTAACGCCCATCGCGTAGCTCTCAATGCCAGCCTCGTAGCGCGCATTGTGCGTATCAATCAGCTGTTTGTTCTCCTCGAAGATTTGCTTGCGCCGCTGTTCCTCGCTCTGATCCGCATAACTCTTAGCGTACAGCTGCTTAAAGGAGTTCCACTCCTCCTCAATTACAATGCATTGCACGCCGGCAACGAGGACCAATGCCACTAAGACTGGCTGCATGCTTAAGACTCGCCTCAAAACTAATCCAAACGAACTGAATTTTGCATTTTTATAGCGCTCTAAAGTTAACTCAGATGTGCAATTTCTTATCTTCCCGCATTATAATGGAATGTGTTTAATATAAATAAATATAAAATATTAAAATAAATATTTGTATAAAATAATATAATAAATTAGTTTTTTAACAATTAAATATGAAACTTTTCCAATCAAACAAGCTGCGGGCGTCGACCAAAAAAGAGCAATAGAAAAATAAATTGCTGTAGAATAAAATCTGCTTAAGATATGAAGTGGCTTATGATTTCATTTTGAAGCTACAGCTAAGACAATATATTATGCAATAGATAATAAGACTCAGTATTGGTTGACGCGGCTCATTCGCTGCGCTGCTACTACGTCCGGCATGCTGGCCTGGCGTACTGGACGCTGGGGTCAATTAAGCATTTAGCCCAGCTTAAAGGCGTCAGACAAGCTTATTAAATATTTCAAGAGCTGGATGTCAACAGCAGCCTTAACAAATGCTGAAATATAGCTATTGAATAATAATAAAACTCTTGCTCTTGCTCTTGCCCTCTATATTGGCGCAGCGCCAAGCAGCAACATCAGAAATACGAACAAATTTGTGTATAAGGATATCTAAATAATGGCTTAATTTATGCACAATAACTCTTATTCGAATTGTCGCTTATCAACGCTCTATTCAGGCTAATTAGGTTATATAATTTGAAGTAATCAAAACTCGGTGATAAATTCGAAATATATTTCTAACGTTGACCTTTTCTATTGTATAATTTTAGCTGGATAAATGGGCCAACATGTGGATGAAAACAGCAAAACGGAACAATTTCGTGTAATAAATCTGTAGATTGCATGAAATTAATAGCGAAACACAGCCACGCACGTACACACACACAGAGACACCCGTATATATATATATAAATAGTGCATGCAACGCATTTTTTTGGGTCATATGCGCGCTGTGGTGCGGTGGTGGGTGGCGGATGGTGGATAACGGGCCATACAAATAATAATAATGCCGATGATGATGATGATGATGATGACGATGTTGTTGTTGCCGCCAATGGCGCTGTTGATGATGACCACAACACGAACATTTTCGGTATGAGAGCAAATTATATAAAATTATCATGCAGCGCAGGCAGCGGCCAAGTTGGCCACTCAAATTCAACACAAACGAGGCTAAACTTCAACTGCAAACGTGGCGCTGCGTGCGGACTGCATGACGTATACGTAATATACGTATAGCGTATACGTAATAGGCGCTAGACGCTGTGGCCAATTGCCAAAGAAAGGCGAAAAAAACTAAAAAAAATCAAAAAAGTCAACAGACAAAATCGAACAAGCAAACCACTTAACCAACAACTCAACTGAGCCGAGCGACAACTGTGACAGGAGCAAACAACAAATAACACACATCGGGAAGGAGCCTTTGCAAATGACAAAAGTTTCGAAAGCGTTGAAAATGTGTTGAGGCAGCTGCCACAAGATGACAAAATGGCGAAGTTAACACTGCACCGTCTACTGCAGCGTTTGCAGCTGACGGCGCTGCAGTTGGCTAACGACACGCCCACTTCAACGCGACAACCGCAACTCAATAATAACAATAACAACACTAACAACAACAACAACAGCAACAACAATAGAAACCGCATGGCTCTTTTAAGCTGGCTGCATTTGTGCCATGGCAATGGACACTACTACTTAACGCTGGCCATGCTCATCTATGGCTATCTGATGCTGCATGCCTCGGCATCCTCAACAACAACAACAACAACTGCAAATATGTTGCTCGAGTCGAATCTAACAGCAACAACAACAACAACAATAAGTTTAGCTATAAGCGAAAAGAAACCAAAACGCGACGTTGCCCATGTGCCTGACGATGACTACGATGCCAGTTATCCCGATGATTTAGATGATATCGATGCCTTGATTAATAATAAGTCAGGTGAGTCACAGTTATATAAGACTAACTAGCTTACAAATGATAAGTAGAGCGAGAGCAACATAGGCATAGATTGACTCAGATTAGTCAGGTGCTCAGGCCACAACTGTGATAATGATAAGGTGGCCAACATGACAAGCACATGGAATACAGTTAAATGAAAATAAGCTAAGCAGAAGAGGTACACTTTAGTTTAAAGCAATTGCCAATCTAATACGGCAGATGCATAAGATATCTGTTGAGTTCAGATTGTCTCTAGCTAGTGGAGGAAGGCAGTTGCATAACTCTTGATTAAGATAGGTAACTTTATAGAACTTTATACTAAGATTAATAGTAAATAAACAATAAGTAAATAAATAATAAGTAAATAAATAATTTGGATTAGTGTGGAAAGGATGTGGGTAACAAATAAAGACTTTTTAATAAGTTAACAGAAGTTTCTGAATGGCAGCTATTAGCACTTTCAGTTGCAGAAATTCTATTCTTGATAAGCAAATTTGACCTTAATATTATATATATATAACTTAAAAACAAATTTAGTTTTTTTTGGAAAATATATATATACTATATATAGGTAAGCATTATAATTGAGAATGACAATGCTTATAACAAGGTTTCCGCACAAGAAGTAAGCTGAATTTCTGTAAAGCCATTTCAAGAAGCTCCCGGCTCTCAATAGATATACAGACGAAGTCCTTAGCAAAGTTAATCTGTTGATGTTAGGTTATTAGACTTATAGCTATATTAGAGTTTCCGCCTTAAGAAAAGTCTAAGTTGATTCTTATTAAGGAAATTTAGTTGGCTTGTTTTATAAGCATTATAAAGTGTAAATATGTTTAGGACGGTAAAACTTGAAATAAAAGTTGTAATTCCTATTCATTCATTGCTATACCTAAATAGATGATATAGAGTAAATAAATTTGTATATATTCCGGTTTATATGCTCCCTAGCTACCTATGAGATATTGTGGACCAATACACGCAGTTCACTAACTATATATATATATATACATATATATATATACATATATATCACTTTCGTTTATGGAGCTTCGTATGACACTAGAAATATACATAATTGGATTAAAAATAAATTCAAATTTATAAAGACTAAATTATGAAATGATTACATTAATATTATATTAGTCGATAATAGCTTGGGGCAAAACATTAAATAAATAAGCTACCCAACGTTCGAGTTGACCCCTAAAATGGATCAACTAAAAGTGCGCAGATTGGACTCAAAATAAATTGAATAAGCCGCTGAATCATTGCGGCTTTGTGCGGCAAACGAATAGCCCACCTGGCCAAGAGCTGGCATAGGGACTGTCATGGCAACGAGCTGACCACGGCTCACGGTCTCATTGCGTTGTTACCAAAGCAGCTCAACAAAAGGATAGCCTAGGCTAGGCAAGGCTAGGCTAGCCTAGTCTGCAGCTGTTGTGCAATTTATGAGAATTATGATCTGTGGGGAATTAACTCGCCGACACTACTATAGCTGTGTGTGTGCTGGCCACAATCCTGGCCAGCATTTTGGCAATGCAAACTGTTTGAAAGGTCAAGGGAAAGCCGAGAGTACGTAATAAATATATTGTTAACCCCTCCATGCTGGCTGCAGATGCAGATGCAGATGCAAATAAAGCGGCATCACAAAGATAATTGAATTTCATATTACGCTTCTAATAAACATGCCTGATACCAAATTTAATCTCTCAATTACAAATTCCATTTATTATGCCATTCTACAATGACTTCCAGCATAAACTGAGTGTTATGTGTGCGGGTAGGCGCGGGGTATTTCAGTGCTACTTACAGGGTATCTGCTTATCCATGTCTTAATACACTATTATTATTATTAATGCTGCTCATAAAAATTCTAATGCTTATGTATTCCTACTAATGCCAATGACAATGACAATGACAATGACAATGACAATGACAATGACAATGACAATGACAATGACAATGACAATGACAATGACAATGACAATGACAATGACAATGACAATGACAATGACAATGACAATGACAATGACAATGACAATGACAATGACAATGACAATGACAATGACAATGACAATGACAATGACAATGACAATGACAATGACAATGACAATGACAATGACAATGACCAATGACAATGACAATGACAATGACAATGACAATGACAATGACAATGACAATGACAATGACAATGACAATGACAATGACAATGACAATGACAATGACAATGACAATGACAATGACAATGACAATGACAATGACAATGACAATGACAATGACAATGACAATGACAATGACAATGACAATGACAATGACAATGACAATGACAATGACAATGACAATGACAATGACAATGACAATGACAATGACAATGACAATGACAATGACAATGACAATGACAATGACAATGACAATGACAATGACAATGACAATGATAATGACAATGACAATGACAATGACAATGACAATGACAATGACAATGACAATGACAATGACAATGACAATGACAATGACAATGACAATGACAATGACAATGACAATGACAATGACAATGACAATGACAATGACAATGACAATGACAATGACAATGACAATGACAATGACAATGACAATGACAATGACAATGACAATGACAATGACAATGACAATGACAATGACAATGACAATGACAATGACAATGACAATGACAATGACAATGACAATGACAATGACAATGACAATGACAATGACAATGACAATGACAATGACAATGACAATGACAATGACAATGACAATGACAATGACAATGACAATGACAATGACAATGACAATGACAATGACAATGACAATGACAATGACAATGACAATGACAATGACAATGACAATGACAATGACAATGACAATGACAATGACAATGACAATGACAATGACAATGACAATGACAATGACAATGACAATGACAATGACAATGACAATGACAATGACAATGACAATGACAATGACAATGACAATGACAATGACAATGACAATGACAATGACAATGACAATGACAATGACAATGACAATGAAATGACAATGACAATGACAATGACAATGACAATGACAATGACAATGACAATGACAATGACAATGACAATGACAATGACAATGACAATGACAATGACAATGACAATGACAATGACAATGACAATGACAATGACAATGACAATGACAATGACAATGACAATGACAATGACAATGACAATGACAATGACAATGATAATGATAATAATAAAGAGAACAATTGACTTGCAGCCAAAGGTAAATACATTGGAGCGCCATGCAACGAGCTGAAATGTGATGCAAAACTGTTGCATGTTACCTGCGATAAGGAGACGCAGCTGTGCAGCTGTGAACGCAACTATCCCGTGCAGCTGGGACTGATAAAGGGTTGCGCCAAACGTGAGAGCTTATTATTGTGGGATCGTTGTGAGTGGGAAACTGTATTTAAAGCCTTCTATTTGTCATCTAGCTAAGAAACTGGGCGATCAGTGTTTCTACGACGAGACCTGCATCTACAACGATGAGAACTCCCTCTGTGTTCAGGTGCGGCACAATGCGATGTGTCAGTGCGCCAGTGGCTATCATTCGGTCAGCTATACGAAGCCAACGAGGCGGGTCTTTTGCACACCTGGTGAGATGGCACTTGGCTCTTAATCGAACCGATGAATCATTTACCTCTTCTTGGACAGATCTTAGCGAGCTGAGTTCGGATTTGCCCACGCTGCTGGGTGTTTCCTCGGGCATTGCAGTGCTGGCGGGTCTCATTTGCATGGTGTTGCATCTGTTTAGCAAGACCAAGTATCCGAGGCATCGCAATTTCGGTGATGCCAATATTCCGCCGCCCATACTCTACTCCAGCGATACAGGTGAGTGGGCGGTTTGGCGGTGGGACGGATTGGAGTTTCTATAATTGATACTGTGCTTTGTGCTCCCCCTCAGGCATACCGCTGACCGTGCACTCGGCACGTCCATCGTCGCGTTCCAGCATCCGGTCGACGGGCTCGATAGGGTCATTTGGTAATCGTCGCGCCTCGTCCGGCGGACTGACTGGCGCTGCAGGCGGCGGCGGCGGCGTCGGCCACAGCAGCGGTGGCGGCGGTGGTGGCGGCGGCGGACCCGGCGGCAGCGGTTCGAAGGGCATACTTGTGTCGACGTCTCGTACAGGTGCGGCTAGATCGGCCGCCATATTGCTCATATCGTGTCACATTACGGCCGTGTCCAAACAAAATTCACGCGCCTCATCGCGTCACACGTCTGGCGCCGGCTGCAGCCAGCATTCGCGCGACAATCTTGACGAGAACAACGGCTGCAACGGCTCCGGCTCGGGCGGGGCTGGTGGTGGTGGCAGCGATGGCGGCTGTCGCAGTTGCGAGAGCACGCTCTCAATGAACCGCCAGCTGCAGAAGCAATTGAATCATCAACGGCACCTGCTCAGCTTTGAGCTGTCGCCGGCGAAGACAAAGAATCAGGATAGATTTAGGACCCTCTTGGGCATGAATGGCATTCATAATTATGATGATGACGATGATAATAATGATGATGATGGGTTCAATAGCATAGGTGGCGGTGGCGGTGGCAGTGGCTGTGGCGTTGGCGTTGGCGTCGACTATGGCAGCGGCATTGGCGGTGGTGCCGAGCTGCATCATTTGCAAATTGGCGCCCTGCCCACGCCGGCGAGCGAAACGCCCAGATTTGCGGTAAATCAACTCATCAGTCAGCAGTCATTCAGCGTCAATCATCAACATCAACATCGACATCGACATCGACATCAATCACTAACAATCACAATTGGCCAATTTGTAGCCTTCATCCCGCATAGCAACTATGTGTTCTCTTTATAAGTTCTCTTGTTCTTCTATTGGTGTTTTGAATTCCTGCTCTCTATATACATTGTGTACCAAAACCTCTTTCATATCCAAACACCTACACGCAGTTGAGGTCATTGTGTTGAGCTCGTTCGGCAAGCAGCTGACTTATATTGTGGACTGCATCGGCTTGACTCGGAGTAGCTAATGAATCCTTTAGCTTTAGCTTGATTGTAAGCTAGATAAAATATATTTTAATTAATTTGAAATTATTTAAATTTAAAACAAAAATTAAAAAAATATTATGAAAATATATAATCGCTTGAAATATTTGTACTTTCATATTATTGTTTAGAAATATTTTTATTTCATTGCTTAAATTAAATTTTAAAAATATATATTACTAAAAACATATATATTTAATATATACAACAGCAAAAAATATATAAAAAACATATCTAAAGCTGAGTTGCCTTGCAAAGAAGACCTCAATATTGAAGTAAGCTTAATGTTTACGTATACTTAATATTCAAGCAGTTAATGTTTCACAACTGAAACCCGACAAGTCTCCACAATATAAATGCTCCTTAACACTGACCGCAACATCATCTGCTCATTGGCTCCATTGGATGTGTACATTGGCTCATTTGAAATCATCTTCTTTGCAGTATTTCCTTAAATAGTTAACAATAAAACAAAACCCGTCGAAAACTCTAAGTCTTGGTCTTATGTTCTATATGATCGATGTTTAATGTGCTTCCAAATCTCTGTTTCAAATTTAAAAGTTGTTTGTTTGGTTTTTTTCATTTACGTTACAATCAAATTTTAAAATTAAAATAAAAAAAATACAACATACAAAGACACATGAAACACACACAACTGTAGAAAAGCGCTAAAGCAAAAACAACAACGAATCAAATTATATTCCAGATCCGACATTTGATAGTCTTTTAATAAATATCTGAACACGAGTACAAAAAATACTAAATGCAGTTGAGCCGGCGCAAGTTGTAAACAATATTGAACATATTTCAGAAGCCAACTTGACTATAACGCAAATGATATATACTCTATATATATATATATATAGAGATACAACTGCAGCTTGACAATATGATATCGAAGCAATATGGCGGTGACTATGTTCCTGTTTCCAGAAATTTTTATAACACCATTATCTAATTCTTTAAAACAAAATAATGCAAATTATTATGATATCTACACGCACACGCACACACACACACATACACAAATACTTACACACACACGTACACTTAATATTCCAAATTGCATGTATTCTGTGAGCGGACCCCATTGACTAAAGCCACGCGAACTGATCCCAAGTTTTGTCTTATTCGTTATTCGCTTCTACCTGAATGAGATTGAATGCATTTTATTAAAAACAAAAGAAGAAATCTTTCTCTTATTTATATATTTAACTCATTTCTAGCATTTAATCGAGTTTTAACATACGACTTAACCTTAATATATAACATTTAACAGACTTTGTATGCAATAACAGCTGCAGTGTATACTTTTTTTGCCACCACTGTAATGCTTAGGCTTAGGCTGTGTTCTGTTCTGTTTTCTGTTGCCGCAATCACTCGATGTCCACAGGTTGTTTCATTCCAGCGTTTCACTTGCCAATTTACACAGCTTATGTTCCATTCTCGTCTATATTACTGAAATTCGTAACTACAGACAAATTGCCATGAAATATTAAATATTTTTCAGAATTAGTTTTAGCAGATTTTCAAGCAGACTCTTTCAGTATATTTTCTTTTCGATTGCCTGCTTAAGTTATGCACTTTAAAGATACATATATAGATATTTTATACTACCTGTTTAGAGCTTATAGACATAGATGCCTTGCCTGCAATGATGGCGTTTGCTTTGCCTCTTTCTCTCTCTCTCTCTCTCTCTCTCTCTCTCTCTCTCTTTGTCTCTGTGTCTCAAACTCTTTTGCTGTAACTGTTTCTATCTCTGTCTCTCTTTCTGTATTTGTCTCTCTGTTTGCTTCCGCCTCTGCTTCGATAATTAATATGCTGCTTACAGAACTAAAGAATTTCGAGTGACAAACTGATTTGATATATATAAAACTTATATCCGTTTGCAGGTTCTCGAAGACCAAGTCTAGCATCGGTGCATAGCACAAGCTCCTCGGTGCGCAGCTACAGCATGATGCGCTTTGAGAAGGAGGTGCAACAGAAGGAGATCAGGCAGGAGATGAAACTGCGCCTTGCCCGACTCCAGCAGCAGCAGCATCTCACCCAAAACAAGCCGCAGATTATCATTGGAGAGGCGCTGCTACAGCATGGAGCGCTCAGTCGTGTTACAATGGCCACGCCCAGTCCGCTGACGCCCAATTCCCTGGACGAGCTGCTGCCATCGCTAGATGAGAACCAGGAGGTATGTCCGCCTGCCAATTCCACACAGACAGACCCCAATGCAACTGCTTTACCCACTCTACTTCAGTATCCACCCCGGCTGGAGAGCACATACAAGCAGCTGGTGCAGCCAGCAGCAACTACAACAAGCCCTGGCCGTGGTCCTGGCGCAGGTATCAGCTCTGGTTCCGTGTCCGGCTCCAGTTCCGGCCGCATAAACGGCTACAACGGCCCCTGCAGCTCATCGACTGAAGCGCTCTAAACACAGATCTCGTATCGATCGTAGCTCTTAAGCAAGCCTCCCCCCTTAAAGTAATCGAAGTTAAGTTCAATGCTTAAATGTTAGTTCACTGAATTAAACGTCAAACGTGTTTAGTTATAGCCAATTAGATTATGTGTAACATAGTAAGCGTCTCCTTTCATGGGCAAGAGCTGACCTAGAGAGCATTCAATACGCGCTATCCTCCGATTGGATGCGTCCCTATATCGTATATACCGTGTTCTATATGCGTATTGTCGTCGTATTTTGTAGACAAATACAAACGTTAAAAGCAACGTTTTTCTATCACTTTCTTGGTTCTATTACAAATATTATTTTTATCAAACAAAAATTTGAAAACAGAAATCTTTTATTCTGAAAAGTAATTTAAAAATATTTATTTTTATTTATTTTATTTTTCTAATGCGAATGTTATGTTTTGTCTCTGCATATACACACATGTACCCTTAAAAATAAAAACATTAAAAATATATTGTAAGCAATATGGTATAAACAAATGGATAGTGTAAAGTTAATTGTTAATAGTGAGTTTAGGCGTGCATACCCTAAAGTTTAGTACTGATTAAATATACGCAAAAGAATTTATAAAATCGGTTTATACAATTTATACATTAAGGTATTACATGAGATACCAAGAAAAACGGATAAAACGCAAAAATTAACAATTATGTCATAATAATAGAGTATTCAATAGGCGAGCTATGAATAGCATTCGTTTGCCTACAAAACGTTTAGGTAAAAGCAAATCTATACAAGAAATTGTAATAATCCCTTGTTGATTTTATGTTTCCTATATTCGGAATTTCATATAGTTAAATGTACTGTATATACACACATACATATACATATATATGTGTTAAATGAATGAATTGAATGGCTCTTCAGCTATAGGGTCATATAGTATATCTGATTTCGATCGATTGCTGGTCTGGTAATATTATTGAAAGCTTTTGCAGTGTTTGTTGTACAAATTGTCTCTGTATTATCTACCAAGTAATTAGCGAAGACGTCAGCTATAGACAAATATAAGTGTTAACGATAAGCCTATGGCACATATGAATAGATCCGATATACCGTGAGCCAGCTGCAAATACATCTGTATAATTTATGCATTTCCTACAGAGGCGTTTCAAACTGAATACAATAACCGAAATGTACTATACCAAATACTATCCGAATACTATATCTACGCCATATATTAACTGATATGTAGTATTTACCTAAAAGGTTGTTCGAAACATTTCCTTTGACTTTGCCAACGTTCAGCTGCTTCACTTGTAGTCCCTATGTTCATAGCGCTGCTATAGCTACATTAATATATACCCTCTATATATATATGTATCTCTGTTTGGTATTGTCTCTGACAGTTGTTACATATCTGCCGAGCTTCTCTAGGAAGTGGTAACATATCCAAATTGTGCAATTACAAACTGAGTTCAGTTGGGCAACTCGCGATTCCCACAATTCCTAATCAAATATTCGATTATATTTTGGGTTCTCTTTTATTTAGAATATCTTAGACTCCGTAGCTCTAGTTTTAACTTTGTTTGCCAGTTTTCAGATCCATTTCCATTGTTTTGCGTTTCATTCCAAGATTCCTTCACTTAACTTTCGTAATGTTAAATGTTCATGGAGACAGTTAGAAGTCCCCTAGCATTCATATAGCACGTGAAACGGCGGGCAGACTCCGTAATATTGTGAAATAGTTAATAAGTTTGAAAATAAAATCTATTAAAAGACATGTTTATACACAAATTGTCTAATTTATGAACATTTTCCTTGTATGTTCGGAATGAGAAGAAAATTATTTCGAAGAAATTTTATTTTTATTTTTAAATAATTTTTCAATATTTTTAACATTTCTAATTTTTATTTCCAATAACTTTTTCGACAGAGTTTGTTATTTTCGATTTATAAATTTATTTTTATTTCCAATATTTCCACATTTACTCTATAATTTGGATAAGGCTAACGAAGAGATTGCAACATGCGGCAAGGCGCTCGATTGTCATTTCAGTCGACTTCTTCGATGGTTGGACCGCCTAATCCGCCGGCGCCACTGCCTCCACCGCTGGTGCTTTGGGCAGGAGGCGGCTGCACGCCTGCGCTCTGATAGAGCCTGGTCAAAATGGGATTGCAGATGCGTTCCAGCTCGTGTTGCTTGTGCTCGAACTCGGGCTTCTCGGCCAGCTGGTTGGCGTCCAGCCAGCTGATGGTCTCATCGCACTTCTGGACAATCGTCTGTCGATCGGCATCGCTGATGCGACTGCGCAGCTGCTCATCATCCAGCGTGGATCTGATGTGGAAGCAGTAGGACTCCAGCTGGTTCTTGGCATCAATGCGCTGGCGCTGCTCATCGTCCGCCTGGCGATACGATTCGGCTTCATTGACCATACGCTCGATATCCTCCTTGGACAGTCGTCCCTTGTCATTCGTGATGGTTATGCGATTCTCCTTGCCCGTCGACTTCTCAGCCGCGGTCACGTTGAGTATGCCATTGGCATCGATGTCGAAGGTAACCTCGATTTGGGGCACGCCTCGCGGTGCGGGCGGTATGGCCGACAGCTCGAATTTGCCGAGAATGTTATTGTCCTTGGTCAAGGCTCGCTCGCCCTCGAACACCTGTATCAGAACGCCCGGCTGATTGTCCGCATAGGTGGTGAAGGTCTGCGTCTGCTTGGTGGGTATGGTGGAGTTGCGCTTGATCAGCGCTGTCATCACCCCGCCAGCTGTCTCGATACCCAGCGAGAGTGGCGTGACATCGAGCAGCAGCAGATCTTGCACGGCCGCGGATGTGTCACCGTGCAGTATGGCTGCTTGGACGGCCGCGCCATAGGCCACAGCCTCGTCCGGATTTATAGACTTGTTCAGTTCTTTGCCATTGAAGAAGTCCTGCAGCAGGCGCTGCACCTTGGGTATCCGCGTGGAGCCGCCCACTAGCACAATGTCATGTATCTGACCCTTGTCCATTTTGGCATCCCGCAGCGCCTTGGCCACCGGCTCCATGGTGCTTCGAAACAGATCTCCGTTCAGCTCCTCGAAGCGGGCACGCGTCACGGATGTATAGAAGTCAATGCCCTCGAAGAGTGAGTCGATCTCGATGTTGGCCTGCGTGGAGGAGGAGAGTGTGCGCTTGGCCCGCTCACAAGCCGTACGCAGGCGGCGTAGAGCACGCTTATTCGGGCCAAGATCTCGCTTGTGCTTGCGCTGAAACTCCTGCACAAAATGATTGACCATGCGATTATCGATATCCTCGCCACCCAAGTGGGTGTCGCCCGCCGTGGCCTTCACCTCAAAGATGCCATCCTCGATGGTCAGCACGGAGACATCGAAGGTGCCGCCGCCCAGATCAAAGATGAGCACATTGCGCTCACCGTCGCCCTGCTTGTCCAGGCCGTAGGCAATGGCTGCCGCCGTTGGCTCATTGATGATGCGCAGCACATTGAGTCCGGCTATGACTCCCGCATCCTTGGTGGCCTGCCTCTGCGAATCATTGAAATAGGCCGGCACAGTGACCACTGCATCGGTCAGCGTGCCACCCAGGTACGACTCGGCGGTCTCTCGCATCTTTGTTAGCACCATGGAGGACACCTCCTCCGGATAGAAGCTCTTCTTCTCTCCCTTGTACTCCACTCGAATGCGAGGCTTGCCATTGTCCGAGATGACCTCGAAGGGCCAATGCTTCATGTCGCTCTGCACCGTTGCGTCGTCGAATTTGCGTCCAATCAGCCGCTTGGCATCTGTAAGAGAATCCCAGGCAGAGTAGTAAGTGGACGCACATCACAATTGGGGTCCTTTCTTTATCTTTATTAACTAACGAACAAATTATCTGAGGACGGGACTTTTACAAATTATACTAAGCGTATAGTAAATAGATTCGTAACTAGGCGCAGGTCTAGGCTTAGGCTAGGCGGGTTTTCGGGGCAAGGCAGATTTATGTGGACTCTGAGACTGAAATGAAAGTACAAAAAAGAAAACATGTCTTGCATTAGACCCGCACAAAATCTAATGGCAGAGCTGACAAAAGAAATTAAGTTTTTAACAGCTGAGCAGAGAAAATGGCTGAGACTGAGCTCTAATTGACACTGAAGAATGCTTAAATCAAGAGACAGAGTTTGGGTGGAGCGCAATGAGAGTCGAGACTATGAATGATTAGAAAAATTCCATAACCAAGCTCTAGCACTGAACATACTAAGTTTATAATAAATATTCTATAGTTCTACAATCTTTCTATATACCAAATAACTTACAAATATGGCAAGCAAAGCGAGTAGGGAATGAGACTCTTAAATAAGAGAATATTCACAGTAGATACACTCAGTATATAGGAAGCACCACATACATATATGAGCAAGCAGCTGTAAGCCACTCTAAAGATGGCAAGGATTCAAGATCATTTCTTAAGTTACTTAGGCAGATGAATATTCAGTCTAGTTATTAATTAGAATTTTAACTCTTGAAGACATATATTTCTAGCTAGTTTTTAAGATCATTATGGCAACAGAAAAGTGTGATTGCTGTCAATATAAAGATGAAGGCTAAGATCCATGCAAACACAACACGATTAGAGTATGGCAATTAATATCCAATCTATATCCAATTGGATTTCTGCTATCTGAGGCGACTTCTAGCTAGCAAGAAGTAAAATATCTGGGAAGCTAAAGGTCCAAGTAAATCGTCAAGGCATAACACGAAGTGTGTTTCTCTCATGAGCTATTGAAATGCGTTGGCCTAGTTAAGAGCTAATATACGGCCAGAGCAAAGTCAATTTGTAAATATTGTCATATAAATAATATATGTTTGTAAATGATTTTGTGTTGGCTCACAGTTGTGTTGGAACCATGAAATGCGCTGACACAGATTATGCTAATAAACATTTTGGCAGCGGGCGGTGGCATGCAACGCGGCGAGTGAGCAGACACCACAAGTGCATGCGACTCATTAAATGAAAGGGAGAGCACGACGCGCAGGAGGTCGAGCGAAAAGTGCAAAAATACATTTTGGGCAACTGCTCTTAGCTGGCTGCAAGCTAGAGCGGCCAAGAATGAGCCATGTACTATATGTATATATACATATATCTCATATATATGTACAAGGTGTCCCAAAATAAAATCCGCAAAGAATTAGAAGAGCCTCAATTTGCGGGTGGTTTTCATTCATGAATTAGTAAGTTGGACTCACCGAAGATTGTGTTATTTGGATTCATGGCCACCTGGTTTTTGGCTGCATCGCCAATGAGACGCTCCGACTCCGTAAAGGCCACGTAGCTGGGCGTGGTCCGATTGCCCTGATCGTTGGCAATGATCTCCACTTTGCCATGCTGAAAGACCCCGACACACGAATAGGTTGTACCAAGATCAATGCCAACTGCTGGTAATTTGGGCATATTTGCTGCGTCTTTAATTAGACCACAAAACCCACAAAGTAGACGACGTCAAGGTCGCCCAGCCAGAGCGTGTGAGCGAGAGCGAGAGAGGAGAGCGTAACGAATTTGAAAATGATATTTAAATCAAGGTAATATATTACACAATCGAAAAATCGTTTAGAAACTTACCCAAAATAAAAAAAATAAAAATCTAGAGCAGTTACTGGCTTAAAATGCAAAACGATATAGATATAGGGATATGATTAAAAACAAAAGAACGAATGTCAAAATTCGCAGGAATTCGAGTGTTTTATCTCTTTGCAGCTCCACTGCGTCTGCTGTTTATAATCACGTTGCCAGAATGAGAATCTAGTACGTTCATCGAACCGTTCGAAACTATATGTTAAAAGCGAATTCCACACGATTTTCAAAGATGCAACCGACGCAGCTGCCACAAATAAACTGACAGCAACAAATTTGCACTGAAAAGTGCAATCAATGTTGTTTAACAGCCACATAACATGTTTATGTAAAACATAACATAGGCCCCACACATAGAGTAGCCCAGAAAGCCAAGATTACAAAGCGAAAGGTGTAAATGTACACGCTGTTAATATACATTTAACATAGCCTACACACACACACATAACATAGTGTTTGGAAAGAGAACTGTTATACAGAAGGAACAATGTGATCATGTTAACTTTAACATGAGCTGCATACACAGAGACATTCTAACGGAGCCAAGGTAACATGCTTTATACATTATATGTCGAAGAGCATCTAACTGTTGTTTATTTTTAACACGAGTCCTATACAAAAAAGGCATTATTCTAGAAATATCAGAGGAAACACTTTGTGATAGATCGTTATATATAGCTTTATTATAGAACATTACCAAAAAGCAAACACAAATCAAATGTATTCAGAGCCTTAAAAATAGTATCAGTGATTGTTGGGTTAGTAATTAGTAAGGAGGCTTGTCTATGCCGCATTCATCGGGTTTCTTGAACACCAGTGCGTAGGTGAGCACGGGATGGACATTGACATCAGTAGATGCTGTCGACAGCAGCGAATGAGTGGACGGGCTTTCCATGAACAGCGATTCAGCATCAAACTTGCTCCAACGTCCGCGTTTCAGCTGCTCATTTACGTACTTCAGTTGCGTGTTTATCTAAATTGATAGTTAAGTTTTGTCAGAATTGGGCGGGCAAAGGGCTCAGTACGAATGCAACTCACCATGGGCACCAGCAATGGTGTACGACGGCAGTTGAAGAAGTCACCTATACACTCTCGAACATTATCGGGATTTTCGTTGATGACATGGTGCAATATAACACGTATAATGGCGCGTATCTGACAAATTAGGTACAGTGCCAATTAAATTTGGAAAAATACTTATTACTTAAGAGTCTTACCTCGGGATGTTCCTGTATGTAATTCCAGTTTCCCCTGCGCAACTGCTTCCGAATGCGTGGCAAGGAGCTGTAGTGTCTAATTTTATTCGACTCCCATTTGCCCATATCGACGATCTTGGGTACAAGGCAACCATAATTAGTATTCATATTTTTTTGTTTTGTATCTTTTCTGTACACTGAAATTTTGTTAATGTGAACAAATCGGAAGGAATTACGGAGAATTTATTGTATTTTGATATATAAAGAATTTAAGGTCAAAATAAAATTGTAAATTTAAAAAATATTACATACTTTTAGGCTACCCAAATAGCACACATTCAAGTTTTCTGTTATATACACAAAACATGTACTTATATATATTATATAGAAAATTGTTGTATTATATATAAACAGGACATTGAAGCGAGTAAGACGCTTGCTCAAGACAGTCAACAACAAATAAATCTCTAAGATTAGAAATAAATTACGATTTAAGATATCCATCAATGCTAGAGTACCCATATTCTTGTTGAATAGCCTGATTACAGCTACACCTGCGACACATCTTTTGAGAACAACTGCCTCACCTGCCACAACAACTAAACCATCAGAATTGAAACGCTGCTGGAAAGGCAACAGCTGGTACAACTAACCTAACTCAAGCAGTAACACTTTGTCACCTTAGTTACCTTGTCTAACTATCTCCATGGCGTTTGGGTGGATATAGACATTGTGAGCACAGTTGACTTTTTATAAATTGAAGTTATCGAAACCAAACATCAAAATTCAGACAACTTTAATTATGCCAGTTTACTGCAATTATTTATAATTTTAAAATAATTCTATGAAGTTACACTTATAACAAATTTTGCCTTAAGCATATATTTTACTTAAAAACTATACACATTTTGTACATATATGTTATATATATGTAAAAAATAAAACACCTATTGTGTTTAACGGAAGAGCAATACTCGTTTATCAAAGGATTAGTGTAACTTCCTCCTCCGAATCGCTTTGATCTGCAAATTACAAATAATTGAACTCTAGATTGATCGATTTATACAAATTCTTCTTACCTTGTTTCCTTTGTGTCAGCTGTTGCTTTTTGCTAGCCTTATTTTTGCCCCGATTGGGCTTAGACTTGCTCGTTGTGGCAGTAATTGGCGTTGACTCCTTTAAGCTTTGTGGTACATCTTCCACCAATTGCTCCTGCTGCAAATTTTGCTCCGACGGCAGCCAGCTGCTTTCATCCATTGGCGTCTCTGATATGGGAAAATGTTGCATATTTCAATAACGTAGTCCATAATAATCTCCAATACTCTTACCAGCTATTTCTGTGACCTTATGCAACTGTTCATGAGCAACTGTTTCCTTTGGCTGGATGGGTTCTTCACAACTAGATTGCTGTACAACTTCCATCTGCATTTCCTGCTCCATTAAATGCTTGAAACTCAACATGGGTGCAGTATCGTTTAAGAGATCCACTAAGCCCGCCACTCGGTTGGGCTGCAATCGACGCTCCGCATCCAGCTCCAATGCCTTGCGTATGAATTGCACCACGGCCTTCGATCGATTTGCTGCGCTGCGTGCACATTGCATGATGGTGCGTACGTTTGTTGGTGCGGTGCCGCCAGCGTTCAGCGTGCATAGCTCTTGGTAAGAATTGAAGCTCAGTACAATGATCGAATCTGCGGCATTCTCTTCCAGCAGCGTTGGATCGACCAATGGATGCGAACTGCTCTTGTAAACGCAATATGTTACGCTCACAGGATAGTGCAAAAATAACAGAGGCATCAATTCGCGTTCCCTTTCGCTGAACGTGTGTATTTCCCCTTCCGCATAGGAGACCTCCGGTCGACGAAAGTGCATGAGTGCTGCAAGCGCGGCAATCGTACTTGCATCTGTAAAAAAAACTCTTTAGGTAAAATTTGTATCCCATTAGTAACTTATTACACACCATATAAATTTCCATCATGGTTAAGCACATTTATGTCAACGCGCACGCACCATACATGCTGCTCGACAGCGATGCACAGGGACTCAAGATCTAGGCAGCGAGAGCTCCTAAATGTGCGTTCCAGCAACGAGTTGAGTGTTAAGAAGCGTTGATCGTGTGTCGACTGGATTTCATCAAGAAATGCCACACCCTTGATGTCCACGTTCAGATACAGTGTACCCTCGTTGGCTCGTGCACTGGACGGTGTGCCAATGTCACAGCTGACCTGTGCCAGTACCTTTGTATCACCCATAGACACGGCCACCGTACCCCAGTCGGAACCGAAGGTTAATTTTACATCACGGAATTCGTTTGATTTACGGCCATCGAAGCGCGTATTTTGTTTTACTGCACTCTGTATGAAGCTGCGCTCGGACTTTGACTTGCCCGGTTCGAAAAGATTTGCATTCAGGAACATTATTTGTCTTTATTAATCTTCACTTTTGTTTTGTGCCGGCATTCAAAAACGTGCATCAACGAGGGCTACATATGCAATGTTAGTATATCGATATGTGTTGTATGAATATCGATAGCACCAGCACTTGCTGTTATTTCAACATCTTTAAAAAAATCAAGCAGTGGAAAGCAGTTCAAACTCAACGAACTAGATACAACTACTATAAGTTCATTTGACGTGAGTTGTTCGATCCAAATAGTTCCGAGTGCTTCTGTAAAACTAAAGCATATTCTCATTTACTTCTTTTAATTAGGAAACATGAATTAATTAAAACATCAATTAACACACATTGCTTCATGACCCAATACCAGACACGACATTTAACACATCGTGGCAAAAAATCATGGTAAGAAAGAATCCCAAATGTCAATTCAGCGTGCCCGGATAAATGGAATGTGCATAATAATTGACCAAAAATAGAATTGACCCAAAAATAGTTATAGATGACAGAAATGTTGGTTGTTGTAAATTCTAATGAAATGAAAATGTGATTTTAGGCCATATTAGGCGCTCAATTGGTTATTACGCTGGTTATGGTCAGTGTTATCCAAAAGCTGAGTCCCCACTACTCATTTGCCAAGTGGATACTCTGCCGGACTGGGCTGTTCCGTTATCTGCATCCAACGGACGATGAACTACGCACGAAGGGAGGCGTGCCAAAAGATCGTGGGGGCAAGGGCAAGCATAAACAGCAGAATGGGTTGAGCAACGGCGCCTCCTCGCAACAGTTTCACATACCACGCAGCATCGAGATTGAGCTGGAGACATTGCCAGTGGTGGAGCGGGATGTTATCCATTTACGTTACTTTACCGAATACCAATGGCTCTTGGATTTCAGCATATATGCTGGAATTGTGTATGTCATCTCTGAGCTATTTCACTACTTCTATCCTCTCAAGCAGGAGATCAATCTGAGCATGGTTTGGTGTCTTTTGGTCATATTCTTTGCCATCAAGCTGCTGTCTTCCCTAACTGTGATGTACTTCCAAAGCGAGGAATCAATGGGAGAGCGCTCCATGGTGATTGTCGCCTGTCTGGTCTATTTACTAATTGCCATGATTGTGCTTATCATTGATGAGCGCATTCTGGAAACGGGTCTAGAGGATGCATATACAAGTTTCAATGCCAGCGCATCAAAGTTTCTTACCGAACAGGGTCTGCCTTCTTCGTGAGTTTAACACTATGTTCATTAAGTTATTTATATTCGCTAATGTGTTTATATTCCAGTGGACCAGCCTCTAAGATTGTTGTCAAATTCTTTGTTGCCTTGAGCTGCGGTCTTCTGGGCTCCCTGTTCACATTTCCGGGCTTGCGTATGGCCAAAATGCATTGGGATTCTTTAAAATATTGTCGAGGCAATCGCCTTCTGCAGATTACGCTCAACGTGAGCTTCGTAATGCCCTTTATACTAGTCATATTGTGGATACGACCCATTAGTCGAGACTACTTGACAGTGCGAGTTTTCGAGGGCATGCAACATCCACTGTAAGTTAGAAAATCGTTTGGAATTGATTGATTGATTGATATATTATATTTTTTATCTACTAGTCTAAAGCCTCATGTTTTTGAAACACTGCGCCTTCTACTTGTTGTCTTTGTGGTCGTAATGCGCTTTGCACTGATGCCCATCTATTTGCAATCGTATCTCAACTTGGCCTATGACAAAATTGTTGATCTTCGTAAGGAGGCTGGACGCATCACCAACGTCGAATTTCAAAAGAAGGCAGGCATCAGCAAGTTATAAATAATTCAGAAATCATTAACGTTTTGTTGCCCTGTAGATCTCGTCAATATTCTACTATCTGTGTGTTGTGACCCTGCAGTTTGCTGCGCCGTTAATTCTGTGTCTCTATCTGACGCTAATGTACAAAAGTCTTGGTGGTTTTAGCTGGACGGGCATATTTAAGGAAACGGTTGTCCTGCAACACGAATGTGCCGCTGATGCAGAATTGGCAACAATTCCAATTGAGAACAATGTTGAAACCGAATTTAATATTTTGGAATCTGCGCAGTCATTACAGGCCTCGTTCGCTAGTTTGAAAAATGTATAATTTCTCCTCATATTACAGTTAACGTTTATCTAATATTTAATATTAATTTGAACTATTTTAGGTGTTCTCTACAGAAGTGTACAAAGGCTTTCTAGGATTTGCCACTTGGTGGAGCTACTTTACGCTGTTTGCAACTTCATCATTGGGCATTGTCTATCAGTCCTATTTTAACAAGACCTAACGGAAGAACTTACCAAAGTTTTTGTACCACCAAACAAACTATATGCTAATCTAGAAATGATAATTTTTCTAAACTCGTTGATATTGTTTTATAGTCATGCCATAGATCGAAATTGAATTAAATTAAATTGAATTGAAATCTGTCATGTATTGTAAATATTACTAATTTATATATGTGTCATTGTTTACGATAAACTTTAGAAGCAAATTTTAAACCAATAAAATGTTCATACTAGTGTAAACAATTGTAATTCTCAAACCAAATGCTCAGCAGGTGTTAAAAGTGAGTCGAGGTAACTAACAGTTGTAGTTGGTTTAGATAAAAAGAATGCCTGGATCAAGTTTAATTTGATAACCCCATTTATTTTCTTCAAGTTTATTATATAGCAATTACTACATTAAGGAAAATCTCTTTTTATGCTTGTATACATCCAATAGAAAGTTCAAACCGAAATTATATTCCATTCGTAAGACTAAATTCCACATAAGCATATGTCTATTTATATGTGCATTTTATTGAAATGCTCTACATGTGTTTATATTTTCGCAATACCAATTACACCGCATCCAATGCGAGCACCAGCGTTTCCAGTTGTCTTGCTAAGCTCATGGCCACCTTTGCCGAGGTCATCGGGATCAGCGTGCACCACAACAGTGCGTCCGATAATGCTATTGGCTCCAAATAATGTTATTTTGCAATCACATATGTCAACCGGAGTGGGACCATCGCCACTGGCGATTATGTTGCCCAGGTCACCCAAATGACGATTCTCATCATTCGGAGCGCCGTGTTCCTTCTGGTATGGATTAAAATGCGGTCCAGAGGACATGCAACCGTTGGTGTTGTCGCCAAACTCATGCACATGGAAGCCATGCTGACCCTTCGCTAAGCCGGTTACTTCTCCGGTAACTTTCACCGGGCAACCGTCCGACTATTAAACGAGAATTAGAAACAGATATGAGAAGCGTAAAACAAAATTTGTTGAAGCAATGATAATGCTGTCCCAAGCTGATAAGCACCACCAAATTGTGCCCCATCATAGTGATAAAGTATTTAAATGGAAGCAACAGTAACAGTAACAGCGTGTAACATCATTGAAAATGTTAGCCAAGAGTATAATCATATCAAATGCATCTAAGAGTGATAACATAATATAAAATGTAAACCAAAACTACCAAACTAAATTAAAAATTATTGAAGATTGAAGCGTAGAGTATTAACTGCTTGAATACAAGTTATAGCAACAAAATTAAACTATGATAATTGAAGTGCTATGATAATACTAGTGCATTCAATATGTGCAGATATGTGCGCAGTGTTGTGCTTATATAATAACGCATTTGCCAAATGACACAGCACAATATCATGCAATTAAAATTCAAGTAGCTTCACAAAAACTTTGCACAATTCCATATGCACATACACATAGTTATTGTATGCACATACACATGTACATATGTATATACACAAGTACATATGTATATATAAGGTTTCATTAATTTACAAGCATATACATATGTAGGAGAGGCGCGGTGCGGCCGGCTAATTGACCTTCGTATTTTATAGCTGTCGTATTTGTCTTCTTTAAAAATACACGTTCTTACCTCCTGTTCGAAGAAAACTGTACCCTTGGCGTCGCCATTGATAACGCATACAGCTTTGACTACCATTTTTGGATGTTTTATAGCTTAAAAGCGTAAATGTAAGTAATTTAATTACAAGTGTCGCAGACCGAACTCGTCAACCGAGCAGCAAGCAAGCAAATGGCTAGTGTGACTAAAAAGTTATCGTTTATGTATCGATGAAAACAAATTTTAAACTCCCACCATTATGAAATTTAAATTTTATTAGTAACACAATTTTTATTACTATTATAAATCATTTAATTATTTTATTATTATATTTAATAATCTTGTTTTTATTATTAGTATTAATATTATTCATTGTATCCATTTTTGTATAGTTTGCTATACAAATCTGATGTTAACATTATATTTTAGCTTATCGGCGATTGAGCAACACGAACTTATAATAATATATCGATACATTTAATGTTAGCTTCTAGAAGCTCAGTTTAAAGCTATATCTGCGCTTTAACTTAAGACACATTTTGCGTCAATACTTAATTAGAAGTTTTAATACCGGTTCTTCCTTCTGTTACAGCTTGATTGAACTATTATGTTTGTGAATCAAACTCGTATTTCATGATATGAAATATGCATGCGCGATGAACAATCCTTCGTTTTTAACAGAGCTATATATGCATGCGCACTGTTAAAAGTATCAGTAGTTTACCCAAGAAGCAGTTTCGTTACTTTTAATCTCATCTGAATGTTTGGTTATGGGGTTAGACTCCGGCTCCGGCTTTGTTATCCCATCTGAAGTTGACGGTTTGTCAGATTCTCAATATAACCATAGAAAGCCGTAGCTACAGTTATGTTGATTAAAGGGAATCTATTAATAATTTTCAATATTGTTAAATGTTGAAATTTAATTTGTTCTGAGAGTGATTATGGGACATAAATGGATTATTTAACGAATTATTAATGAAGTGTTACGAATTCGGTAATCAACGGATTGTGACATCAATAACTGAAAAATGTTTGCTGTTTTATGGGAAACACGATTTTTTTACGTATCGATTTAAATATGAAGCTATCAAAAAAATTTGTAAAAAATGGAATATACGCTACTCAGAAAAAGCAGCCACAACAACAATAAATAATTCTTTTGAATAAAATAAAATTATTTACATTATAAACCATAAGTAAGTCGAGTTATAATACTCAACTCTTATTTCTATAGATGCCCCACTAATTTGGATTGTTAGCAAAAACTGTTTCATTTCACAAATATTTAAGTGAATATGAGTTATTTTGAAAAACTCTGGACAGTTATGAATAGATGAGGAAATATTTGCTAGACAGACATTTTATTGTTATATAGTTAATACATATTTTTGTAAAAAACAAAAAATATAATAATTTTCAGTATATATTTCATTGAAGCGTGGCACTAAATTGTTTTAGAAATGTTTTGTATTTCATATTTCAATCAACTTGATTCATAGCAATTGCTGTGAAATTTATGCCCTCAAGTAATGATACGGCAAATTCAGCATAAAGCTTCTCATTTTTGTTTAGCTTAGCCTCGTTCTTAGTGCCCACTTTAATTATCTCCTCTGCCTCATTAGAATCGTTTGATGCACTGTTCTCAGCCATTTAGCCATATTTACAAGCGATATTAATTATTTGTAGATGAATTGAAAATCGATTTTAATTAGAAGATAAATACTTGAAAAAGAAAGACATTTTTAATAGTTATATACTTGAAAAAAAAATTAATTTTTAGATGAAAATCGTACACATGGATTGTAATCCTACACATATTTTGTAGCATTCAATTGAAGTTTAATTGGCTTACCTGAGGGTATATTGTAACCGTCAATATTAGCTTAATGATTTACTAACCAGATCCCACGACACTTCAGACGTCTTTGCTACTTAAACTTTCGATTGTGTTTTTAGTTCTTGGAGCGATCAAAATAATCATCGATAAGTTACTGTAATCTGGCGATTATTATTGATAGCAACTTTACTAAATAATGTGAGTATCAGTCTCTTGAATAGGTGACAGATATGCATGGTACAAAAGGTAAGCTGGATTGATTATAATAAAAAAAAAATAAAAAACAAATATAATTCTTAAACTTACTGCCTGTAGACAAACTATATCTATGTGACAGCTATTAATAATGATCCGAATAGTGATGCTAACGACATCACATCCGATCCGAGTGATACAGTTCCGAATAGTGATGCCAGCAAATCAGACAATTGTGACAAGCCTAAGATGAGATATCATATTAAATCTAAAAGTGAGGCGAAGTCAAAAGAATATGAAAAACTTCAAGCTGAATATGCCAAATCTTTGCTGGCAGCCATAGATTATACGAAAATGTCTGGCTCTGAATTTTACGAAGGCCCCGGAAGATCGAAGTTTCTTGAATATGAGTTTAAATTTGAGATGATTTACAAAATTTTGGCACCAAAATAATATTTTGCTCAGTAGAAAATAACTCGGGTGGACAACAAGCAGCAGGTGTTCTGCGTTATATTAATCAAATATATTGTATTGCTAAAAATATATTAATAAATATATATTAAAATATATAAGCCATTCATTCCTAATACTTCGAATGGGAAAAAGAAATTGCAAGTGAATAAAAAATATTTTATATATCGCCTCGAATATTGGTCTCAGTTATTCCAAAATATTTGATCTGTTTTCGTAGACTATGGGCGAAGGAATCCATAGGAGAACCCATAATCAGCCAGATTATTGAGCCGGAATATTTAATTTTTTTGTCGTTTTGGCAAATCTTTTTGGGAATAAAAATAATAAATGGACCGGCGGCAGCTTGGACATTGTAGAAAGCCAATATACTCTATTAATTTCATAGAGGAGTATACAAGTGTGCTTTTCCAGCCAGTTGGAATAGGCTTAACTCGTTACTAACGCCAATTGCATATCGGATTTTACCAACAAACGTTAGGTCAGCCGATAGTTTCATCTGTGTTTTGTGTTTACGTAATGTAAATAGCGACTAAAAACTGATCGCTTAAGTATCGATAAAAATGAACTTGAAGCTATCATCATTATCGTCAAACTATAATATTAATTCATCATAATTGTTGATATTGATATTGATTGAATTATGATTTTTAAGATTACATTTTTATTATTATTAATCTATTATTATTAATTATTAAAAATACTATTTATCGGTTGATTGCAATCACTTATCGATGTATTACTAGTTCAAAAAAAGTTTAAGTTACCGTTTACTTATTGTTAAACTTGATGGTACAATTTTACGCTCATCTAAATTAATTAAATTTAAATTGAATGCTGATCTCACCCTTTATGTTTCTTTTAACTAATCAAAATCGACTTTCAAATCATCCGCATCTGTACGCATTCGGGAATCAATGGATTGTGCCATCAATAACTCAAGAATGTTTGCAGTTGTTATTCGATCGTGCCAAATTTATGAGAGTCGCAGAACTTAGTGAGATGTCTGAATTTGCCTATAATTTTGAAATCAAGTCTCTTATTGACCTCATTACTTCGCTATTAAGGAGATTTCCAAATCAGTTGGATAATTACCGAGCTATTCTCTTTGATTCAACTTATTATAATTAGAAAATTTTTAGAAATTAATGGATTTCGAAACGATATCAAATTTAAAGAAAACTCGCTGGCACTAAAAATCTGAAAATATCAGAAAACAACAATGAGATGTTGGACAGTGATAATGAAAAGTAGACAAAAGTGAGAGTAATATAAAAGGACGTGGTACGCTTATGGTTGATTTTGTGAAATCTTTACCTGAAAACATAGATTACACAAATATGTGCAGCACCGAACTTTATGCAGGCAATTTAAACATGAAACTATGTTGAAATTTTTTTTAATCGCTGTTTTTATTTGTAGTCTGTCTTATACTAGACAATAAACAAATTTGTTAATAATAATATTACGTAATCGGATGGCTTGTTGAAAATTGAAAAAAAAACAACAGGATAGACTAGAAACTAAATATTAATGTATTTATAATTTGTTACAATTATGTAATACTAAATATTACAAATATCAGTTATTTATAACGAACGCAAGCTATTCAAAAATAACAGCCGACATATTATCTATCGATAACTTTAAGTATTTTTTGTTTTATTTTTCAACACTGTGTCAATAAGAAAAAAACTAGCTGGAAAGAGAAAAACTGTAATACTTGATGGCAATATAACTTATGATTAGCCAATTACCAACAGCGATTGCTTATCAACTACAAGTACATATTTGACTGTACGTGCAGCGAACGTTCATAGTGCAAGAAGTGTGGGCATGAAAATGAAAGCCACTACCCAAAAATTGGCAAAGCTTCGGGAGCTGATGCAATGTGCAAGTACGCCGGAAGTAACTGGAATCAGCGCCTATGTGGTTCCATCTGATGATGCACACCAGAGCGAATATCAGTGTGCGCACGATGAGAGACGCGCATTTATAAGCGGCTTTACTGGGTCGGCCGGCACTGCAGTTATAACGAATGACAATGCGTTGTTGTGGACAGACGGTCGGTATTATCAGCAGGCGGAGAAGGAGCTCGATGCGAATTGGACATTGGTTAAGGATGGACTGGCAGCCACGCCATCGATTGGCACTTGGTTGGGCAAGAATTTGCCCAAAGGCAGTGCCGTTGGCGTTGATCCACGCCTATTTTCGCTACGCGCAGCGAAAACAATTGAGAAGGATCTGAATGCATCTGATTGCAGCTTAGTGGGCATCGAACAAAATCTAATCGATCAGGTTTGGACTGAAGATCGACCACCGCGACCCTCCAACGTTTTGATAACATTGAAATTGAACTTTGCCGGCGAGACAATTGCCAAGAAGTGGGAACGCACTCGGCAGCAAATGAAGCAACATAATACGAATGCTTTAATCGTTAGTGCTCTGGATGAGATTGCCTGGTTCCTAAATATGCGCGGCTCGGATATTGCATACAATCCTGTATTCTTTGCATTTATGATCGTAACACACGATGATATTGTTTTGTTTATCGATTCGTCAAAACTTCCAGTCAACTTTGAAGATCATCTTCAGGAAAATGGTATCAAAATATCAATACGTCCCTATGAATCGATTGGCGATGGAGTTCGTCAAGTGACTTCCGATGTCAACGATAAGGTATGGATATCGCCCACGAGCAGTTTGTATTTAAATTGCCTAGTACCGAAGTCATCACGACATCAAGATATCACACCAATTGCTTTACTCAAAGCGATTAAAAACGATCAGGAAATCGAGGGCTTTGTGAATAGCCACATACGAGATGGCGTCGCTTTGTGCCAGTATTTCGCTTGGCTGGAGTCAGCTGTGGAACGAGGTGAGGCAGTTGATGAAATATCTGGTGCGGAGAAGTTGGAAGCATTTCGTAAAACTAAGGACCACTACATGGGCCTCAGCTTTACAACGATAAGCTCGTCAGGGCCAAATGGTTCGGTTATCCACTATCATCCAGCGCAGGAGACAAATCGCCCCATCAACGACAAGGAAGTCTATCTATGTGATTCAGGTGCTCAATATTTAGATGGCACAACTGATGTGACCAGAACTTTTCATTTTGGCAATCCCACCGAATTGCAAAAGGAAACTTATACTCGTGTTCTTAAGGGTCAACTAACAATCGGATCGACAGTATTTCCATCAAAGACAAAGGGGCAAGTTTTGGATGTGCTGGCCAGAAAATCTCTCTGGGATATAGGTCTAGACTATGGCCATGGCACTGGGCATGGCATTGGACATTTCTTGAACGTTCACGAAGGTCCGATGGGCGTTGGCTTTCGCCCAATGCCCGATGATCCTGGACTACAACCAAATATGTTCATTTCGAATGAACCCGGATTCTATAAAGATGGAGAATTTGGCATACGCATCGAGGACATTGTCCAAATTGTGCCGGCACAATCAAAATATAATTTTTCAAATCGTGGCGCTCTTACGTTCAAAACCATCACAATGTGCCCGAAGCAGACGAAAATGGTTATCAAGGAAATGTTAACCAAAGATGAAATTAAACAGCTTAACGATTATCATAAGTTGGTTTGGGAAACGCTTTCTCCACTTTTATCCGATGACTCTTTCACCTTGGCTTGGCTTAAAAAAGAAACCAATGCCATATGAATAATGTTAACTAACCCTGTGTTTTTCATCAAAACAAAAATTATTATCCTTTTTAATATTTCTTTAAATAAATGCTTTTTGGTTTATTAATATAAATGAAATTGAATTGAAAATTGATTAATTAGCAGAGATGTCCCAATTTCTAGTTACGCTTAGTTAACCTGATTAACGAATTACTATTTGGCGAATGCCTATCGCATTCAAGTCCTGGCCTTTGACAACATTTAACTGCCGTAAGCTGATCCTGTCGCACAGAAACAATCATCGAACTGTTTGTCTGCGGAAATTGTTGTCGATCATCTAGGACTGCCTCATCATATTGACTTGAAGATATTTCGATTGCGTCAAAATATAAATATAAAATATAAATCGAACATTATATGATTTCTAAGTTTTAGGCATTGATTGGTTTTGCGAATGAAAACGCAACGCAGGATTCAGCCCAGGATTCAGTTTACATTTGATTTCGAAATAAATATTTAAAGAAAGTAGTAATGTAATCGCTGGAAAAAGATGCTCGATGACATTGATTTCAATTTTACGCTGCCATAAAAATTTTTCTAAAATGGACGAGCTGAAATGGGTACGAAGTTCCTTAGTGATCGAAATAGGTGCGAAAAATGAATTTTTGTAAAAAATTCATTAGTCGCCTAATTGTTCTATTAAATCGACAACGACCAATATGAATATCTAACTAAATTCAAAGTATCGTAACCCCCAGACGTCTTATCGCTAAATAAAATTGCACAAAAATAAAGTAACTAATCAGGAAATTATCTTGAGATTGTAAATTTTAGATTTAGCGATAAGCTTAAGGAGGAAGCCATATTTTAAATCAAATAAAATTAGTTAAATAAAAGCTAAGTTAGTTAAATTAAAGAAATAAAACAAATTAATTTTGACATTTTGTTTTTTTTTTTTTGTTTTTAATACACAATTTGTCCAAACACTTAAATGGGATTTTCTTCATTATTAAGAAATAAAGTGCAATTGTTTTTAGATTTGCTTTTGTTTTTGTTTTTTTTTTATACTTAGATGGTTTATGTATTATTATGTATTTGTATCCGTAAATTTGTAGATATTTATCATTTCGTTTAGTTTTAATATTTTGTATATACTTTATATATATATATATATATATATATATATATATATATATATATATATATATATATATATATATATATGTATATATAATATATATATTGATATATATATATATTTTTTAATCGATATAGGTAAAGGTATGTAGATAGGTAATAATATTCATTCGCCTGTTTGTTTGCTTGTTTGTTACTTGTGTGGTTGGTTGCTAGGTTTTACCCCTATTTTCTCTCATTTCGGTCACATAGCTATAACATCTTAAACATCATTACAATAATCAATCGTATATAATTATATATATATATATTTGTAGTATTTATATATATATATATATACATATATATATAAATATATATGCATATATATATTAATTTTTTCTTTTTTGTATTATTTGCATTACTTCGATTTAAATCTTAATATTTATGTACTTAGAGAGTAGCGTCATCGAGCATATTGAATTCGTCAGAGCTAAGGGTTAAATCGTAAATATTGGGCTTTTTTCTTTTTGAAAAGTGTTTTGCACGCCGTTTAACCGTTGTACGGTAAACACCTTAAAACACAATCTCACAGTTCTATTTATAAACATTTCCGTATCAATTTTGTTGTGTTGTTTTTCTTTGCTTCCGCCTGGGTTTTGCTTTGCTATTTGGGTTTGGCAAATTCAATATACAAGATGGAGATACTATTTCCTTTCTTTCTTCCTTTTTTTTCTTGTTTTGTTTTTTAATTTTGTGTTGTTTTGCTTTTGCTTTTGTTTGTAAAGTGGGCTTTGTTGTTGCATTCAGCTTGCTTCCTAACGTTTCTGAGTTTCGTCATCGCTCTCCGTCGCAGATACATTTGCATGCGCAGCTTAAACAGCTACGATTGTTTCTCTGCGAACTACTATTTGCCTTTGTTTTGTTTCTGGTTCTGTATGCGTACGCATCAGAGCACCTCGGAGACGTATTTGGGACGCTTGGCCGCTGTGGCATCGGCAGTGACACACTCCTCTTCGCCCGCCTCCATGTGACCACTATAATCGGTTGGCAGCTCTTCGTAAATAATCTCAGGATGCTGTTGCTGTTGCTGCTGCTGATGCAGTTGCGTTGGCTGCGCCGGATGCGACACGGCCATTACGTGATTTCGCTTGAGCGCAATCAAAGCGCCCACGCCACCGGCACCGCCACCACCGTCCACATGCGCTTGCTGTACAGTGACGCTGGCATTTTGATTAGTTACATAGTACGGACTGCCGCTGCTGAAAAATACATATAAATAAACAAATATAATTGAAATCGAGAATTCATATTAACATAAAAAAATAGAAGAAAAACTAACTTGAATTGATTGGAATTGTTTGCCAATGTCTGTGGCGGCTGTTGTTGTTGTTGCTGCTGCTGTTGTTGTTGCTGCTGGTGCGCTGTTTGAGAGTTGTAGATTATTTCTGCAAGTGATGATATAGATAATATTATTAATAATCCTAGTCTTCACTGTATACAGTTATGATAGAGGAGCATTAGCGCTGTTAAGGTCTATAGGTTATTTAATACCAAGTTAACTAATGTACGGGCATTTATGTTGTCTACCTATCATAATTTTCTTCTAATGTATCATTTTTAGAATTATTCAGAAATAATGACAGTTGTCTGTGATTATCTTGATAAGAACTAGCTTTACGGTATACATCAAGAAGTGCAACTACATCAGAAAGCATTGCTTGCTTATGCAACTAACTATGCCAGGTGTAAATTCGGTTTACCTGCATCGGCGGCGCGCTGTTCGAGCGACATGCCCGGTGAGCCAGGGGCTGATTGCAGCACAATATCCTGCAATGGCGAGCTCTCGCGTGAGTTATCTGTAATCAAACAAAGTTGTATTTTAATTTCATGGCCTTTCAAGATTACTACTGGCATACCCATATGACTGGGCGAGACGGGCGCCGAGCGTGGCATGCCATAGGGCGGACGGAAGCCCTGACTGCTGCGCTGGCGACGTTTCTTGTAACTGTGATCGATCAGCTTGGCGCCGCTATCCGGATCGATGCGCCAGAAGGAGCCTTTGCCTGGCTCATCTTGCGAGCGCGCCACCTTGATGAAATACCTATAATAGTAAACGTGTGATTAAATCTGTAAATTAAGACTTTAATTTAAACCTTTAACAAACCTATTTAAACTGAGATTATGACGTATGGAATTTTGCCAACCCTTGTTGGTCTCCTTGCGGTAGTAGGGATAATGCTTGACAATAAACGAATAAATGCCAGAGAGTGTCAGCTGCTTGTCTGGAGCAGCAGAAATGGCTTGGACAATCAACTGAGCGTAACTATACGGCGGCTTCTCATTGTGATTGTAACTGGCTGTCGACGGCGTCTGGAATAATTCCTGCTGTAAATGCAAATGCAGCTCATTAATACATATATTGCTTAAATTATTGTTGTTTAATGTTTACCGTATTGTTGTTGCTATAATTGTTATAGCTATTGGCCTGGTTCTGATGAAAACCCTGGCGAGGACTAGCAGGACAACTGTTGGCAGCGCTTATTGTACCTGTACAAAAAAAAATAAAATAAAAAGAAGAGTTGCCAATTAAGGTAAGGATTGACAGGTGATAATATATCAAATCATCATATAGAGAACATATAAAACTGTATATCGTTTATTAAACAAACTAACATTTTGCCTTTGGTAATTTACCTTTCATCTACATTTTCAAATTAAGTCATATTTATGCAGTATACGTTAATATAAGATAAATAAGATTACAATTGAAAGAATCCATTATCGTGATATTTTAAATCTTTAGTCCGAACCCTTATGTGGCTTGATTCTTTCCAAATGCCAGTCTGATTTGGCGCTCAGTTATTGTTATTGCAAATATGAGCTTAAGGCTTTCGGGTTTCTGACTAACAAATCTTGCTCGAAAGAGAAGTATAAAATATCTTATTTGCACAGCTTGTGCAGATGAAAATTAAAAACTGAAACAAAAAACCTACTGTTGCGCAAACACTGACTCAGATCGAAAACTGTGCGAGTTGGTCTGCACACTCGATCTAATTGGAACGGAGTCTAATTTGAATATGTTTGTTTTCTAGACTGGTGTGAATTCCTCTTACCAGTTGGTGACAGATAGGGACTCTTTTGCTCCTTTTTGGGTATTGAAATTTTGAGCGGTGCATAGATGGCAGCTCCATCGCCTCCGGTGGTTAACAGCTGTGATGCTGCAGGCTGTGCTCCAGGCAGCCGCGGCTGCTGCTGTTGCTGCAGGGATGTGTGGTGAAGCGGGTGGTGTGGTGTGTTTGGGAGTGGGGGGTGTGGCGGCAGCTGTTGTTGCTGTTGTTGTTGCTGCTGCTGCTGCGGCTGCTGCAAGTGATGCGCTGGTTGTTGCTGTTGGCTGTGATGATGCGACGTCTGCATCGAATGCAGCTCATCGCGTGGAGGCGGTGTTATAATAACATGAGCACCTGCTGTACCTGCTACTGGAGGACTGCTCAACACTGGAGTCACATCCGAGGCAATGTCCGCAGGCGCAGATACGAAACTCTCGAACTCAATGCGTATCTCGGTGCTCGGAAATCGAAAGAAACAGCTGCAAAACGCAAACATCTTTAGTTAAGTAATAAACAGGTAATAACCCATAATTTGATATATTTACCGTTGAGGCAGTCGAAGTGGATCCACATTGCGTCGCTGCAGAAAGTCATCAACGAATATACCATTCTTGCTGAGGCACTGCACAAAGAAGGCGCGGTGCTCTTGGTCGTAGAGCACCTGGAAATGTTTGCGAGAGACCAAATTGTTCTCGGCTACGTTAAAGTGCACCAGCGATGTGGATGAATTGCGTCCAATGACGGTCACTTCGTCCGTTATATGGAGCAGATCCTCATTAAAGCGCAATACACCATACGCATTCGCCGGCGGGGAACTTGAGGATACGACTACATGGGCAGGTGGGTGGTTTGCTGAGTTGTTGTTATTATTGTTACTATTTTGATTATTGTTAGACAATTCGGCGCTGCTATTATTATTGGTATTATTATTGTTATTGTTATTTAACGCTGCAGCGGCGCCATGATGAAGCTGCAGCATGTCCTTAGCTGCGGCAACAGTTGCCGCGTCTGCAGAGCTCGCTGCTGCTGCGGAGGTGGGTGTGTTCAAAACGGTGTGTACCGTTACAATGTGATTGTTGTTGTTGCTGTGTATGCTGCTGGGATTGCTATGGATATTGCTATTATTGCTGCTGCCGTTGTTATTGTTGTTGTTGCTTATATTGATGGTTGTTGCTAATAGTGTAGTTGTTGTTGTAGTGGCAGCCATTGAGAGGTATCCACTTGCACACTGACTGCTGTTGTTGCTTTTCCTGTTGTTGTTGTTGCTGTAGTTAAACTGAAAATTTCATTTATTACTATTATTGTTCTTCCGTTTAAGTAATTAGTGCAAATAAACAAGAAAATATTGCTCACACACACACACACACTGAGACTCACACTAGCAGCGCATTGTTTTTGTTTATTTTCTTTTCTTTTTGTCTTTCGTTTTCTTTTGCTGTCGGTTTTTTCTGTATGCGGCGCGCTTTAAAGTGTTGTAAATAAAACTGGCAGAGCGCGTGTTGCACACCGACCGAATATTATTTACTTGTGCAGCTTTCCACGCGTGTTTTTCTGACTTATTTTATGTTCAAGGTTTTTCGTCAGCCATAGTCAAAAACACACGTAAAATATATTTCCCAAATATACACGCGCACATATATATATATATATATATATATATATATATATATATATATATATATATAAATATATATATATATATAACAAGCACTCTTTAGGCAGTTTGTCTCAGTCTCCTACTTCGCAGAGAGCGCGACAAAAAAACAAGTACTTATTTTTCATTTCTTTTTACTTTTTGCTTTGGTTATGTTTTGCTACCATAGCCGTTCACATGTATGCACACAAACAGACTCTCAGTTATACATACATACATATTAAACCGACTCGCACTCGGTAACAAGCAAAAACAAAAACAACTCGGCAAAACAATAAAAACAATAACACTACTACTACTACGTTGCGGCACTACGTGAGTAAACGAACACATACACACATGCAACCATACGAATTGAGTACATACTGCTTATAGCAAAACACAATGCGTTGGGAGACGTAATGTACGCGCGTGCGCTCACTCTTTATGCGGTATCGGCTTGCCCGGGCAGCAACTAGAGAGTGGTAGAGCGAAAGAGAACACGAAGTCCCCAAATAGCTCTCAATTGGAGCAGCTGCCGGTTGCAGAACTACAAATAAATAAAGCTCGACCAGCAACTGGGCTTGAAGATAATATTAATTATTTTCTATGGAGGAACGCGCGCGCAATGCGCTCAATCTAGCATCATTCTGTTTACGACTGACGACTTCTCAAGTCTCGCTCTTTGCGTTTTCTTCTGCGCCAGTGTTGCCAAATGTGCAAAAATAATGAAAACGTGCTTATATTTTGCACACACACATAACACACAGTTTCACACAAATACAAATATCTAAAATAAACATGCATCGTTTCTTATAAGCCCATCGTATGGATTCATAAACCTATCATTGTTATTGAATCCATTAAATAATGGCAATTGCAGAAATCTTGTATTTATAAGTTTAAAAAAAAATGTAATGTTTAAGCAATTAACAGATCAAAGGTCTTAAACATCAATATTCAATTGATGAATTGGCAACTCTACTTGACAGTTACATTTTTGTAAATAAGCTTATGGACCTCAGTTGGCAACACTAGCCTGTAGCGTGTCTCGAATGGACAATCATTATATATGTATGTGTATAGCTCAGATATGAATGAATGTATTTAATTATGTAGGTACATGCATGATAAAATTAATATATTATACATATTTACATACATATATTTGTCAAGCAGCACAGCTAAGCCCTCACATGGCTCCCATTCAATCGATCGAGCTTGCATGCGCCAACATGCAAAATGAAACCAAAATAAAATTAACGAAAACAACGTAAATAAAATGCTATAAAATAAATACAACAAAGCAAACACCTATACACATGCACAGACAAGCACACACACAATTAAAAACACAAACATACATACGTCGTTAGGTCACTGCTACGCCGCTGCTGGCTCGCATCAGCAAAACAGAAACACAATAAATAAATAAAAACACCAAAATATACACAGGCACACACACACATAAAGCGCAAGAGCGCGCGCATATACATACATAGATAAACAAGCCCTCACACATACTTATGTATATAGGCATATTGAAAATGCGTAAAAATGCCGCTCGTTGATTTTTCAGCTAGCAACGGAACCGAAAAACAAAAAAAAAATCAAAAACAAACGACGTCGGCGCGACTCCACCTGCTTGAGTATACGTACATTTGTGAATACATAGGTACATATCTCTGTATGTATGCATGTGAAAAATGTAAATATGTATGCATGTGTCTTGTTTGTCTCTCACTTATTGCGGCGACTGCGGACAAAAGGACGGGCGAAAAGCGTAAACATACAAAAAGCACACTTTTCACAACTGTGTGTATGTACATCAAACCTACATACACATAAATAAATATATATATATATATTTATATATATAAATATGTTTGTTGCTTCATTCGTTGGTTGGCGATTGCGTAAACTTGCCGCCCGCTTTTTTTTCCACCTAACACCAAAATATGTACACACAGTTAAGGGTACACACGCACAAACACATATATGCAAGATGTATGTACATCACTTGAACATGTTCCAAAATAACAAATACATTTTATTTATATTTTACGGATTCTGCTTGTACTGTTCTTTTCTTATTAATTAATACATACTATTGTTTGTTTTTGTTACATTCGCCTTACGATAGATTATCAAACTCAACTGTTTTTGTTTTTTGCTTTTTATTATTATTTCGCTTTAGCTACTTTTTGTTTTTGCGTTTTCTATTTTTTGCACAGAAAATTTAGCACACAACACGTTTTTCGTGCAGTTCGTTCGCCACTAAGCGTGTGTGCGTGTGAGATTGTGTGCGTGAGTGTGTATCAACAGCATGTTTGTGTGTGTATCTTATTTTTCTTTCTATCGGCTCGTTCGCCTTGTTTATTATTATTTTTTCGTACCTTTTTTACTGCCGTTTGCGCTGTGTATTTTATGCAAATTTTATAACAAATTGAATTTACACCTTATATATAAGCTTACTTTTAACTTAATTTGTGCACTTTTCACAATTTTAATGCGGTTTTTCAATTCTTATTTGCTAGCAGCGCGCTCCGCAGCAGCTGCCCACACGACGTGACGATAAAGAAGAAGCAGACATTCACTGTAGCCCTGATTCCGACCTTTTTTAACCAAATAATACCAACGAATAACGATAAATGGTCACATTTGGTTCACAGCTGTTGTTAACAGTATGCTAAAAGTCTGTTAATAGTTATGTTTTGTAACAAACTTGCATGAGTTTTAATTAAAAGGAATTTTCTGTGAAAATGCAAAGTATAACTCGCCTGCTTAGCACATGCACTTTAACTCTGCAGCCGCACCACCGCGGTGCATTGTCTGTGCTTCAACAGCTGCGTACCAAGACGAAAGTGGTTGAAAAACCCAAACCAGGCGCTGGCCAACAATTCCGGCGTACAGTTCACTTTCCGAATGAATATACCGTAGCACCTTTGAAAATAACACATTTGGCTGGTCGTGATCCCGTCAGCGGTCGCATGGTTGCCAAGGGAATTGGCGGCGGCATTAAACAGCAATATCGTTGGATCAAATGGGTGCGCGACGGCCCCAGCGAAGGAGCCCCACAGGAGGAGATCGTTGTGGAGCTGCTTAACGACGGTTGCCGCACTGCAAAGGTGGCGCTAGTTGCTGTCGGAGACGAGTTAAAGTACATACTGGCCACAGAGAATATGCGAGAGGGTGATATACTGAAAACGTCGCGAGTGATTCCGCGTATACCAGGTGAGTCGACGAAGTTAACTGTTCCCAGAGCAAGTTATTCACAATCTTGACATTGTAGTGCGTCCTAACGACGGCGATGCATACCCTTTAGGCGCACTGCCCGTCGGCACACGCATTCACTGCCTGGAAAAGAATCCCGGTCAGCCCTGCCATTTGATTCATGCTGCCGGTACCTTTGGCACTATTCTGCGCAAGTTTGACGACAAAGTGGTGGTGCAGTTGCCCTCCAAGCGGGAATTCGCCTTCGATCGCACCTGTATGGCCACCGTGGGACGGCTGTCGAACGTGGAACATAACAAGGAGCATGTGGGCAGCGCCCAACGCATGAGAGAGTTGGGCAATCGGCCAAGGTCGGGTCTGTGGAAGCGGAAGGAGGGCAAACATGGCAGAAAGATACGTCGATTGCCCCCCATGACAACAATAGCGCCGCCACCATTGCCCAAGGAGCAGGAAATCAAGCTGACGCTCAATTTGTAGAATACTTTGGATGCTTGTTGTGAAAATTTCATTTCTTACTTTTGCTATTTGCTATGTGTGCCATGTGCAACATACGATTAAACAACTATGTGAGAAGCAGTTACATACTATTTGCGCGTTTTCTTCATTGAGAAACCGGTGCCATGGAAACTGTCTGCATCAGTGCCAGCTGCCTCGCCAGTTGCCTCCGCATTCTCCTGGCCGCGATCGCTAATGGGCTTAATGTTGCGATCGAAACGCAGCAAACCAAATTGAAAATCGTAATCGGGCACACCGCGTGGCAAGACCTTTTTTTGCACCGGCGTCTCCAGTTGGCTGTCCTTTTTCTTCTTGCCATCCAGGCGCACGCCGGAGCCCTTAAAGGTCTCAACCAGCTCCTCGTGCACGGTGCCACCCGCAGCTGCTTCATTGGCCCCGACTGAGTGGCCGCCTGCCTGCGTAGCCGGCTGTTGTTCACTATGCTCCTTATAGCCAACCGGAGCTTCGAATTCCACATTCATATCACACTCAATGATGCTGACAGCATTGCCAGGTCGAGTCTCCAGCACGCATAGCTCGTACACCTTCTTGTTGTATTTGATGGCAATGACGTCGCCCTTAGTCAAGCAGGCGAAGTTACGCAAAGCATTCTCCAGCACAGCCTTTGGATTTGTTATATCCAAGAAGTCGGTGCTATGTGGTTGAAATTTTGAGAATGTGGCCACTTGCAACGAGACGCTTTCGATGCTCAGTATGTCGCCCTCTTCCAGCAGCAGATTGTCCATCATCCAATAGGGCAAATAGCATTTTCCCTCGTCCGCAACAAATTCCAAAACGCCAGCGTGAGAGGAACGCGATTTCTTCTTGTTAGTCAGCTTGAAGAGCATGGGGTATTCCACATTTAAGCGAGTCAGTGAATCCAATGCAGATGGCGGCATTATAACTGCAGGCAATAGCTTTGAATGGTATATCAATCATTATATATATTTAGTTTTATTTACTTTTTCCGCCCTTTTCCACGTCGGAGCGCTCATTGCCTGGTAGCATGGAGACTGAGAAGCATTTGTAGGTAACTTGAAAGCTGCGTCCGCCGTCTGGGAACATCATATTGAAGCCACTAAAGTGGAACATTGCGACTTTGTTGGCAACCAAATGTTTAATTTGTTGTTTCGGAATTTCCAAAGTTTTTTGTAATGTCACGATTTGTTTTTGTTGTGCTTGAAGAAAAACAAAGTGAGACAAATATGTTATTTAACATAACAGTGGCAATAACAGCTAGTAGCTAGTCACAATTTTTAGCAGCGGACAAAGGGGTTGAAGTGGCATTAAGGACTTGTGTGCAAAAGCTTTGCCAGCCATGGACTGAATGTGCTTTTAAAAGTTGTGTTAATGTCCAGCTTTATTAATTTAAGTAAGTTTTCTGTTAAGTATATGGCTATCGGCTGTTAAGTTGGACAACTTTCTCATCGATGATGTCAAGATATCGATAACAAGGAACTATCGTAATTTTTTAGCAAGCCGGTGCTCGCAGTTGTGCGCGCGCGTTCATCACGCTTCAATTTCTCGTCAAATAAATTGTGATTTCAAAAAGTGTTGCTATTTAAGTGAGTAATAACCAGATTCATTAACAACATGCTAAGCATACGTAGCAGGCAAGCTGTGAAAATAGTTTGCCAATAGAATGAATGAACTGCAGAGCAGCAAAACTGCTGTGTTCAATAAGTGTGTGTATATATATAAGTGGGTGTATGTATATGGTCTCCTGCGTATCCTTGCGTAGTCCTGCTGGCGCCGCGAGTCTATATTTTTCTGCTCTTTTATCATTCCGCGTGGGCCGTGTCTGTATGTGCGTAAATTTCTGTGCTTGTGTGCGTGTGTGTATGTGTATATATACATATATTATTTAGATTAGCAAAAACCTTCTTTTCTCTAACATCAAATTGCTTTAAACATTTTTATCGGAAAAATCAATAAATGAATTGAAAATTTAAGGGCTGAAAGAAACAACATGTTTTGCTTAATAGTTTGCCTTTGATCTTGTATTCGTGCAAATTAAATGTACTTTTCTCAAATCTTTTATTTGTTATCTTTTGGGTACAGTTATTGTCCTTGCTGAGAGCGTGTACGAAAATATTACAGTTCGGCATGCGCTGTTGCCATGTGCAGCTGTTTTCAAGTTTGTTGTTGTTGTTGATGTCGCTTCGCAGCTGCTACGGTTACTGCCGCTGCTGCTGCGGCAAGCACAACACAACGCAACCCAACGATATCATTCTATCTTTTTCTAGCACTTTCAAGTTTCCACATTCCAATCCGACGAATTTCATATGTCTGCAAAATAATTGGTCATCCCTTTGTAAAGCTTTAATCCTTCACCCCATTACCCAACACTATGGCGTATGATTCACGCGCGCAGAACTAAAAAAGTTGACAGTCTTATTGGCATCTTATTGGAAATCCGGACGGACTGAACAGAAGCGAATCGAAGCTTTTATTCAGTACAGTTTAATGTCGGCGAACATTTTAAAAATAATAGTCATCTAAAAAAGTGATTAATGCTTTTAAACTGGCAACAGACAACATGCGGGGGCTAAACAAACTGCGTGCCGCATGCTGCTTAAGCAGTGGTTGTAAAACTGTGTCTATTGGCAGCTGTATTACAAAGCAAGACACACACACCCATGGGCACATGCATATATTACAGAGGAAATATTTCATATAACTTTCTTAAGCTTACGTCAAACAGGAATACACGCGTGTTCTCTGCACATACATACATGTATATATGTACACACATATAATATTTTGAGTAAACAAAGTGATTGGCAGCAGTCGCAGCAGCCGCGACAGCAACAACCCCAACAAGGTCGCAGACCATAGCACGGGCAGATGGACAGGCTATAATTCAATTTTTCTATTGCAGTTCAAACTGTTGACAAAGTACAGTTAACATTTGATATGCTCTTTACCCATCTATCTCTCTGCCTGTCTTCTCTGCCTCTCTTTGAGCACTTTGCACCTAACGGATATTGCTTGGATCTATCTGGATATGGCTGGCTTTCATCAATAAAGTTTAGCTTATTTTGCATTGGTTTTCGTTTAATTCTTTTCGCTTCTTCTGCTCTATTCCACCTACGCTTTCGCTGATGTCTCTGTGTGTGTGGGTAGCAATTCGCTGGCATATAAATGTCCAATAAGAATTTTAAAATGTCGCTCGCGTCGCTGCCTCATTTTTTTTGCGCGACGCCAAAACTTCTTTTTGTTGTTGTCGTTGCCTTCTCTTGTTTCGCACGCGTTTTTATATCAGGCGATAAACTCGTGTATTTGCTGTACTCAAAACAGAACAACAAAGTATAACAAAAAAAACATATTTAAATCAATCATTTGTATGTGTGTGTGTATGTGTGCAGCAGCAAAATGAAAGGAAGAGATAAAAAGAATTAGAAAAAACTTTTGTTAGATACCCAAATACAACGAAATCCCACAAGTCTTAATTGAATTTATGAGAATTAAGTAGAAGGGCACACGTACATCAATGTGCAGACATTCATACTTATATACTTACATTTCATACATCATACATATGTACATTAGTCTGTATATTCGAGGGTTGGCAGAAAATAGAGCATATAAAAATCCATAAAATAATCTGATAAGAATCGCAGAGCAGGGTTTGAATTGCAATATCAAAGAGTATGTCTCATCGCAGGCTTTAAAATATTACTAGGTATACAGTCGAGGAGTAAGTGTGAGAATCACATAGCAGGGCGGGCGACATTTGAAAACGGCAGATGAAGCAAAGTATATATTGATATATTTCCACTTTTATTGGATTTTACAAAATTGATTTATTTAACAAGCCCAGACTTAAGGCTTTGAACTTCAATGCGAGCTGCAGGCCGGTAAAAGTTTCCACTTAATTGATTCGAGACCTTCGGCCGCTGTTGCACTTTATGTTTGCACGTGCTTGTTAATTACTTATAGACAGTTAAGGTTCAGCGAGGCATAGATGAAAGCATTTCCCATTCCATATTATTGATTTGCATGGAAAACGGTGACGCTTCACTGGCCACAGTTTGAGAGTCACAGTTAATGTTTTCATTAAAAGAAAAATAAATAAAATGGAAAGGTTTCTCATGACCTTGAACTTGACTAACAACAGAAGCAGAAAAAAGTAGAAACCACCCTAAAATCCAGTGTTGAGGGCGGTCTGTTCCATTGGGGGTAGTCCCTTTTTGCTTGTGCCCTCTGGATATGCAGAGATTCGTCCTTGCTCGAATGCGGTAAATTAAATCAATATCCTGTATAAACGAATTAAATGCCATTCTTAGTTGGCAATATCGAGGCGACCGGTGCAACGGTGTAGCAATGCCACGCCCCATGTCCAACCCCCCCCCTTGAGAGGAAGATTTAATGCGCTGGCCGCGTCTTGCTGAAAGCCCACAAACTATTTTATAGCCAACCATTTTAATAGCTCATAATCTGTAATTTATTTATTCACACAGTGGGACAATTGTGCGAAATGTATGGCAAAAACAATTCGATCGGGTCAATAAAAATTGTAAACTGCGTAGAAAGCTATTTATATAATTATAGCTTAAATATTTGGACAGTTCGTAAATTTTACTACTACAGTGAAAAAATGGTGTTTTTTTTTAATTTTAATTTTAATTTATATTGACTTTATTGATTTAAATAATAACAATAAAGTTAATGTGAATAAATTATTAAAATTTAAATAATAAATAATTATTTCAATAATCATTTATAAAATAATATTTAATAAAATTAGTGATAAATAAATATAATTATTTTCTGCATATATAACAGATCTTTTTCTATATTTTTAATTTTTATTTTTAATATTCTACTTAATAAAAAATATAAATAATATAATTTTAAAATAAAATAATGGAGTTAATTGTTGATAATCTTACATCGCTTAACTATATCAAAAATTTCGTAATGTTGTCATAATCCATTTAATTCCATATCGCTTTAAGATTTTGTCACACTGTGCGAAAACACTTTATTCGTGTTTATTGGATCGTTGAACAACCCAGCGTTCGCATCAATAACCTAGCTATATACTCTGTAATTGGCAATACTCTATGGACTTTCCATGCAAAATGAAAAATAGGCGAAACTGAATTATTTCACGAGCAGTAATAAATGTGACGTCATGCGCCGGAGGTGGGTTTTGGCTGCACTGCAGTGCTGCTCAAACCTCTGTGGCGTGCAGTGTAGTATTTATTTATAGCCAAACGATTCAAAATATGCCATCAATTGCCAACTACGATTGTGAGAAGTACGGTTCTATCAGTGCTTATGGAGGTTGTGGAGGGCGTTACTTATGGAAGCATTGCGAGCATATGTCAACGTGTCGACCTTGGCCAGCAGGCAGGCAGTCAGGCAGGCAATGTCCTGATCCTGCCCCTTGCCCCTTTGACCTTTGCGTTCCCTTTGTGGCACTCTTTTGTTTGCAACACGCTATTGTTTAAATAGTTTTAGTCTGTCCTATGGGAGGCATCCATTGTGCATGGCTTAATTAATTCTTGAACTGTAAGTCGTAGCATCTCTCTTACATATCGCACAACTGGCCAGTGGCCACAGTAGCTATATTAGCCAACATCAATAAAGAAAGGGCATGCTTTCAATTGCCCATTAGAATTGTTGTGAAATTACTCGCATGCAGCTCGACTGGCGGCCCATTCCAGTTAAAAGTGCTTGTGGGACACGTGCTCAGTGGGGCGCGACCTGAGTCTACAACTAAATTGCGCCAATTTAAGCAATATGCAATTTTTCCTCTATTCATTTTTCCAATTGAAAAGCGCTTGAGAGCAGAGCTCGACAATTTCTAAATTATTTTCAAACTTTTCGCTATTTAATTCTCAAGCTATTTTCAATTTATTTGGTTTTCAATGAGTCGCTGCTACATTAAGGGTAGTCTGTATGGAAAAAGAATAGTTTTTGATTGATTTGAAATTTATAAACAAGACGATCAATTTTAAACTTCCACTGATCTAACGATATTTTATTTACCTAAATTAAAAAAAAAAGAAATCGATAAAAGCAAAGTTTCAAATGCAATTATATCTAATATTTATAATTCTCAATTTGTTATTGCAGACATGGTGAATAACCCTTTGACGTGGAAACAAATTTGCTGTCCCAAACGTCAGGTGAGTGACAAAGTGAGCTGTAAATTTTGACATGAAGTTTTCATACTCTCAGTTTTGCAGTTAACCAAGGCGACTACCATCAGCTCCTGTTCAACATAACAAGAAACTTCTTTGCAACAACAACAACAATACTAACTTCACTCAATCAACAACAGCAACAACAGAACAGAAGAACAACCGCAGCAGCTGAAAGAAAAAACTCAAAGTTTTTTATTCGATTCCAATTAGAGCTTTGGAATTTCATCAACTGTTAGAGTTAGTTATAGAGAACGAGGCAGAGGGCGAGGGAGAGGTTGAATATATGTTTATTAACTTATTCTTAATATAATCTATTCTAATCTGTATTTAGTGTCCAGTATTTGAAACACTTAGTTTTGTGTTTAGGTTAACCTAATTTATTGCATACTTTTAGGCAGGTCGAGCTGAGCATAGAGCTTCAGCTTGAGAGGGAGGCTCAAAGGAAACGTCCGGCATTTTAGTCAGCTTCCTCGTCATCTAGAATTCGGTGTGCTGCACGCTTCTACTTCAGTTTTTCATTATGAAAATAACAACAATGAAGTCTAAGCGCAAATATGGCTGTTTAGAGAATATTTGAAAAGAGTTTTTCAATTATTAATAATTACGATTATTTTTCCGTATATCATTTATTATTGTAGTATTGTATTTTATAGTTTTCCCAAGAACACGTTTTTCTTTGCACAAAATTCTTAATACTTCATTTCCTCTACACACAACACAACAATAATTTCTATTTGATCAATTTTAAATTCTGAACACTAGTTAAAGAGTTCGTCGAACAGACAGACAGACAGGTTAGACAGGACAGACGGTTAGGCAGTGTGAATAGGGGCAAGAGTTGAGTTTTTGTTTTTCCTTCTGAAAAGTGAGTTCATTGTAAACATGGAGAGTTATTCAGCGGATCTGCTATGGATGGTCATTATTGGCTTTCTCATTGCGTTCGTTTTGGCCTTTGGCATTGGCGCCAATGATGTGGCCAACTCCTTCGGCACCAGCGTCGGCTCTGGCGTTTTGACCATACGACAGGCTTGCGTCTTGGCCACGGTCTGTGAAATTTCGGGCGCTGTTTTAATTGGTAAGCAGAAAATATTAATTCGAGTCTTAACAGTAGTCTATAATATAATAGAAGCTTTTAAAGTGCAAGTTACTTTACTAGCGATAAAGCTTTTAAATATATGTCAAAAAGCTTGAATCGCAAGATTTAAGTTAATTAAAGCTAACTTGAAAGCTTTGCTGTACAATTTTAGAAAATATAATCGAGGTGAGAGCTTTAAGCTGTTCATTTGAGCTTTAAATTAATACGTTATTTAAGTTGTATTTAATCATAAAGAATTATATTAAATCTTAAAACTCCTTTATTTTTAAGAGTTAAAAGCTTTAACTTGAAATTTTATATGCGTTAATAATTAATAAAAATATAAGCTTAAGCTGAGTTAATTACCTAAAAGCGCCTGTTTGTTAAGCTTAAGTTTAGAAACCCTAAAATATCAAGTTAAAATTAAAGCTCACTCAAGTCGGGCTATGTCAAAGTTAAAGCTCAGAGAAAGCTTATCATGCTTTGCTATAAGTTTAAGCTTAGAAGCTTTAAAGCTTATGTAAGTAGTAAATTAATACCTGCTATACAAATATTCAGTTTGTATTTAGATTTTTCCTCATTCCTATGTGAATTTTAGTCTTAATTGAAATAATTTATTTTGTCTACTTTGCTACAGGCTACAAGGTATCGGATACGATGCGAAAAGGCATCCTTGAGGTGAGCCTGTACGAGGGCGCCGAGGAGGTGCTCATGTTGGGCTGCATGTCGGCATTGGCAAGCAGCGCCATCTGGCTGCTGGTAGCGACATTTTTGAAGCTGCCCATTTCGGGAACACACAGCATTGTTGGCTCCACCATTGGCTTCTCGCTGGTGGCACGTGGCCTGCAGGGCTTGAAGTGGTCGACTCTGTGCACGATCGTTGGCTCGTGGTTCATTTCACCGGTGATGAGCGGCTTAGTCAGCATTTTACTCTTTTTGGCCATACGCCGCTTCATATTGTGCGCTCAGGAGCCACTCAAGGCGGGCTTTCGCTCGCTGCCCATTTTCTACGGCGTTACGTTCTTCATCAATGTCATCAGCGTGGTGCTGGATGGGCCCAAGTGTAAGTGCAGCAGAAGACGAAGAAGAAGAAGGCAATAGTTGAGATAGTTAATGCATCATGCGTTTGTATGCTTCGTCTTTAGTGCTCTATATGGATAACATTCCCACTTGGATAGCGTTGAGCGTCAGCGTTGCTCTTTCGCTGCTGGTGGCGCTCTTGACGCAGCTGGTGGTGGTGCCACTGCAGCGACGCTCAATTGCCAAGAAGCTGCGCGCCCAGAATCCGGTCAAGTTCAATTTCGAGGACTCCGTGGGTAAGTGGAGAGCCGACTAAGCAGCAGCAGCAGCATTTACTCAGCTTTCGATTTTACGTAGAATCATCGCCGTCCGGCAGTCCGAAGAAGCAGCGCCGTCCGCTTTCGCTTGTTAGCGAGGGTAAACCACTGCCGGCTATTGCCGAAATCACCGAGCTGGTCTCGCTCAGCGACAATTCGCCGAAGACCTTTAAGCTAGCGCCTTATGGCCTCGCGGCCAAGAATAACAATGCAACTGCCGAGGACTACAAGATCGATCCAGAGATAATACGCAAGGCTGAGGATCTGCTGGGCAAGGCCAGTCTGGACAATCCCGATCTGACTGTCACCAGCTTAAACTACATCGACGAGCAGCAGCAATTGCAGCACCAGCAAAACGGACGCAAACTTCAGGAGTGCTTTAAGCGTGTCCAGTCGCCCAAGGAGGAGCGCAAGACGGAGCCTAATTTGCTTACAAGCGGAGCACCAGACAACGCTAATCCCAATGCCAATGCCAACGGCAATGCCAGTGCAAGCACAGCTGCCAATGTAACCAACAACAATTTGCAAGTGGTGCAGAGTGCCGGCAGCTTGGATCTGATGATCAGCACCACATTATCGCCAAACTCTAGCAAAGTGCCGCTCATCGAGAGCAAGGAGGCGCTCAATGAGCAGGAGGAGGAGTTTAAGCGTGCAGCGGGTCGACGTGTCAGCAGCAGTCAGGAAACACAGGAGGTGTCCATGCTCTTCTCATTCTTGCAAATCTTGACAGCCACCTTTGGCAGCTTTGCGCATGGCGGCAACGATGTTAGCAACGCCATTGGACCACTCATCGCTCTCTATATGATCTATCGCGAGGGCTCCGTAATGCAGAAGGCAGAAAGTCCCATTTATATATTGATCTACGGTGGCATTGGCATCTCCGTGGGTCTCTGGCTGTGGGGACGCAGGGTCATCGAAACCATTGGCAATGACCTAACAAAGATCACCTCATCAACGTACGTACGCGAGTGTGCATAGAGTAAAGAAGATACGTTTTGAAAGCAAGAAAGAGTATTGGGCATAAGAGAATAAGAGGGAAGTGGTAGTGGGCAATAATGTGGTATTAGAGATTAGAGAGAGGGGAGGGCGGGCATGAGAATGAGACAGATGAGACAGAGAGACAGAGAAAGTAAGAGAGACTCTGAGAGAGTAAGAGAGAGTGAGAAAGAGAAAAGAGAGAGAGAGAGAAAGAGACTAAGCCAATAGTTGATATAGGAGAATGAAAGAATAAAATTTCCTTAAGTTAAATATTTTTACAGTAATTAAGTAGGTAAGGAAAAGATAAGTAAAAGGAGAAAATGAGAATTTTTATTACATATAGATAGACCAGTGTTTTCAAATTAATCTTAAGAGATCAACAAAATTAAAATTTATTGCTTTTGTTATTGGTGTTTATGTTATTATATAACTAGAGAACTGAGCATAGCAGCTGAGAGAATGTAAAGTATAAGGATGGTATCATAAGTATATTTGGTTTTTTATGCAATTTGCATATGTATTTTGCAGGTTTATTTTATATTTCAATTACTTTTCGTTGGGAGTTTTTAATTGATTCTGTGTTTATCTGTTTGCAGTGGCTTCACAATTGAAATAGGCGCCGCTATCACCGTACTGCTGGCCAGCAAAATTGGTTTGCCCATTTCGACGACACACTGCAAAGTGGGTTCGGTGGTTTTTGTGGGTCACGTGAGCGCCGCGGGTCGCAAGCGCGAACGGCAGCAGCACGAAAAGCAGCCGGGCGGGCCATTGGAGGAGCAGCAGGGAGGAGCACAACCCACTGGAGAGGCAATGGAGGACGGCAGCGTCGATTGGCATCTGTTCCGGAACATCGCCTACGCCTGGATAGTTACGGTGCCGGTGACTGCACTGCTCAGCGCTGCAATGATGTACGTGCTCTGCGCTCTGGTCGTGAATGATGTGGATCCAGTTTAAAGAGGCTAACCTTAATAAGCGTCGTCATTCAATTATTAATTGTAAACGTATATTAATGTTTCGTAATTGTACCAGTTGATAAAAGCAAAAAAAGTACGAAAAAACAAATCTAAACAAAACCAACAACTACAAATTAAAACTTTAACCAAATTACTCACCTAACTAAGCAAAAAACAAAAAGCAAAAGTAATGAAAACGGTAAAGAAAAGCAAAGCATTTTACTTAACGTCTGAACATAACTGATATTGGTATTGATATTGTTTATATATATTCATACGCTAATGTTAACACTTAGACAGAACACTAATTCTTACTTTCTTTCTTTTGTATACTCAAACATTTGTTTTCTGTTTTTTGTACTTAGCCCCAATAAGTAATGTCCAGTGCAATTGTTTAATGCATTCCAACGAACACGAAATTATTTGAAATCCATTTTTTTTGGACAGCTTTAAGAGTATTTTACATTTTATAAATTTCAAAGCAATAGAGCAGAACTTATGAATAAAATACAAACTACTACAAATTTAAAGAGAACTAAGTTTATTTTACCTAAGTTAAGTTGAGTCAATATCAAGAGGAAGAGCTTTAAATTGCCTCTAAAGACAGCTTTTCTCTTTGCTCTTAAAGCTCAAGAAGCTGAATGAAGTTGAAACGAAAACTATTTGCATTGCAAATTAATGCTTAAAACTTGTTTTAACTAACAAAAGCTCTCGCTCCCTCTCTCTCTCTTGCACACGCATGCAAATGATGCTTGGAGAGCTTTGCTTTTGTGGCGCAACTTTTGAGTGCCGCTTGGAGAAGTCGTCGTAAAAGCTGCCGGCAGTTGAGTTTCGAGCTTCGATGCGTTCGGTTGTGTCACTTAAATCGCTATCGTTGGGGCAAGTTCTGCGCCCGTTTTCTTAATATTGCACTGAAAGTCGTAACGCCTGCGCGTGTTTTATGCATTTTGAAACGGTTGCCAATCGAGCTAAATACAAAACACAAATTGATTAAATTCACATACTAATAGATATGCAACAGGTGTAAAAGTGTGCACAGGTGTCTCAAATCTTTCAACTCTTTTACATTTGGATTTACGCAATAGCCAGCAGCTGCTAAGGAACTTTAAGGTAAGTTTGGGTAATTACAAAAATAAATAAATATAAAAATATTGAAAAATATAAAATTATAATAAAATAAATATAAATTAAAATAATAAAGATAGATATAAAAATAGGTAAAATAATAAGACTAAAATTTAGAATAATTTAAATACATTTTGACAAAAAATAAAATAAAAACATAATCAAAATAAAACAGTAAGATATAAAAAAGTAAAACAGAATACGAATTTAATATTAATAAAATGACAAAATTATAATAAGAAAAACATTATAAATTAATAAATACAATATAATATAAATAATGAAAGTGAATTATGAAAAAAGTTTGAAATACAATAATAAAAATTATAAAAATTAAAAAATAATTTAAATCAAATGTAATAAAAATATGACATAAAATATTTAAAATACATAAAAAGTAAATAATAAATAAAAAGTTTACCAAGTTTAGTTTTTTTTTTCGCACAAAATGTTTCCTAAATTAAATATGCTTTGAGGTATATTGACCTACAATTAACAACTTTATAATTCTTCTAAAAGAATAACATAAAATGGGTGCAGAATATTAATATTACTCCAGTAAATATATTTATTATTGTATTTTTTAAAATAATTTTCACATGTTTTAACCGCTTTTAAAAGAAATAGTTCTTGTCTCAGTTCTGGCTAAACAATCCTTTTCTTAAGACGTTCATTGAGTATAATATTTATACTTAAATACTTAAGAGACTCGAATTTTGCTTAAGTGGAATTGCCAGCTTAATTTCAAATTCTTTTAAGCACTTCTTGTCTGCCATTGAACATGATATTTTAGCCCATACTTATGGCTTGTTCTGCTTCCTGTCTGTACTTCCTGACATTCTAACGCCCATTGAGGTTCAATTTCCAGCTTGATTTCGTTCGATTTTGTTTTACGTTTCCATTTCCACGTCCATTTCCATTTACATTTCTCCATTGGCAGCTTTTCTCTCACATGTGGCTGTCTATCTATCCACGAATCTATGTGCACGGTGTATTACTTAATTTCTTTGCTTAATCCGATTTGCGTGCATTGAACTCTTCATTTCTACCTGTCTTGGGCATTTTAAAGGTGTGTTTTGCCGCTCAAATTCTCCGATTCTCCAACTTGTTGTTGATTGTTTTATATATATATATATATATATATATATATATATATATATATATATATATATATATATTTATATATATATATATGTTTTTGTGCTTTTTCTTTATTGCTGTTGGACAAAGCGGCTTGTTCTTATTTTGTGGCACTTATTTTATGTGTAATGCCTTAGTTTGCTCGCTCAGAGAGTGAAAAGAGTTTATTGGAATTCTCAGAATTAAGTATTCACTTTCAGGTGAAGTTCCTCAATTAGGCACCTAAAAATATTCCTAAGTGTCACTTTGAATCAATTACGCTGCGTTGCTTGGGCGAGTATTACGCAGTCAGTTGCATTCGCATGCAGCTTTATTACTTTTTTCATTTTTGTGCTCTGCATAAGACGAGTTCGGTGAGTTTGTTAATGTGTTATTTGATTTGTACGATCCGAATTGTTGTCAATGGCTGCTGTTCAAATTTATTACAATTTAAGTGTAATTAAATAATGTAATCAGACAACTGAAATGCCTTTGCCAATTGCCACAAAATGATTTTTTAATTCAATAATATTTATTCTTAGAATTTATTGCTAAAAGTCACAAATGTCATTTTATTGTTTGATATTATATAAATATTGAAACATTAAAAATGGAAATTTGGATTTTCAAATTTGTTTTATTTATTTATTAGAATTGAAATATTTTTAATAATTTATTTTTATATATTTTAAAAAATAAATTTTAGCTTCAAGCTTTACCGATATAAGTATTTATTGTTATATTTACTTTTTAAAACTTATTATAAAAAAATTCAGTTTTTTTATATTAAAATTTTTTCATGCAATTTGTTTCGATTTTCTTTTCAATTTCTAAAACTCGGCTTTAAGACTTTCATTTGGTTTCTATTGTCTATGTAGAGATTTAAATCTTCAATTGTGTTTAAATTGAATTTCTTTAAGAATTTCGTATCGAAGCTAATTAATTTAAGAGGCTGTTAGCCAAACTCGCCATGTGGCTTATGGCAAATGGCAAATGGCATATGGCTGGTGTGACACCTGACCCATTTAGGGAGCTCTCTGAGCAGGTATTTTATTTTATTTAATTTTGTTTTTTTCCATAGCTAGCTGTACTTCATTATGTGCCAGGTCTAGCGGATTTTCTATTTCTTTTTTTAAATCTGCAAACAAATAAAACGCAAAATCTTAAAGCCAATCCACAGGCAGAACAAAAGCCCGGTCGAAAGCCATTAGCTTGGCCATAGCAAATGGCCAAAAGTCATTAAAGACGCAAAAAAATCTATTGAAATCAGCTAGTAAAACACGCCTTAAAATATTTTCAGCAGCGCTGCGCACCAGGTGCAGCAGGTGAGAAAGGCGAGTGGGAGAGGGAGGGGAGGGCGAGGGGCCAATGGAAACTGGTTACTAAGGCAGTTAATTATGCGCTTATCAGTTCATTACTAGCTGCTCCTGCTGCTGCTATTGCTGCTAGAAGTCCACTTGGTAATTACATACCTGCCACAGTTTCTGCCACTCACCTGGACTGCCTGGCCGTTGCAATTAATCAGAGCTCACAGCCATTAGATACAATTTCGAGTGTGTAGCACACATAGAGCGAGAAATACTCGCTTGGCTAACAACATGTTATTACCAGATTCTGATCCAGATCCACTTTTGCATATGTATATATACTAGCTATGTGTGTGTGTGTGTGTTGGCCAAGATAAGCCTTACCGTGCCATCCTCTCAGCGCACAACTTTGCGCACTTTCTCTGCCAGCTCCTGGGACCTGGCCTGTTACTGATTGCGGCTTGAGAAGTGGTCCAAAGACACTCCCACAATATACACACATCTGATTGGACTATTTAGCAGATGAACTGGAAAAGATAGTGCCTATTATTAGATCAGGTTTAATACTCCAATTAATTATTATTGACTGTGTAGTTTATCTAGTTCAAATTTAAAGCCTAGCTGCATATGGTGTAAGGCTTTCAGAATGTCTATAATGGCTAAAGTAAAATATTTAATTGTTATAAATATATTTAATATATAAAATTTTACTGTATTTCAGAAATATTTAAATTATAAATTCTCATACAATATGTTGCTTTAATAAAAATTTTAATTTAAATGAAAATATTTATATTTATTTATTTATATTTAATATTTTTAAATCGATCTTTCAGAAGCTAAATTTAATTTTTGTTAAATATGAAAAGTGTAAAAAATAAATTTTCTCTCTACAAAAGCATAAAATATATATTAAAAATTGTTAATATTAATATAAAAAAAATATTTATATAAAATAAAAAAACTGCTTAGCAGCTATTCAAATAGTTTTCCTCTAGTAATTTTTGGCATCAACTTTCTAATGTGTGTGATTCGCTTCCTGCTTAATGGATTTTCCTTGAATTTCCTTTATCAGCTTGCAGACGCTGTTGCACCTCGGCCCACCCCTTGCCCTGCCATTGAAGTGTGGTGTCGTTGCCGCTGGTCGATGGTCGATGGTCGATGGCTGCATTTCCCCCTCGGGACCACATTTCATAAAGTTTATTAAACTTTAGCCAAATTGTTAAGGCGACAAACCGCTGCCCACCCTCTGGCCGCGCGCCTCTCCCATTGGCCCCTGCCCCATTCACTTTTCGCGCTGGCCGCTGTAGGCGCCGCAAACAAGTTCATCAGCATTTGGTCAGGTTTGGAGTAGGCTTCAGCTTCGAGTTTCGGCTCGAGCAGGCCAAAACAAACTGCCAGCAACTCGTCTGGTTAGTTAATGTTGATGGCAATGGAAATGCAATTGTAATTGCAAATGGAAATGGAAATGGAAATGAAAATGGTTTGAGCCGGCATTGCCTTTGCCTGTGCCTTTGCCTTTGCGTCGACAAACGTCTACAAATATTTATTAAAAAAACACTCACTGTCATTCACGCATTTACAACGCAAATTAATTGTTCAATGCAAATCTGATTAGGCACACTTCATAGACGCGGCTGAGATAGACCAAACGCCTTTTGGAGAAACTAAAATGAAATTTATGCCACGTTATGCAAGTTGTAAAACCTAATCGATTTTCTTTTTCAATTTGAAGTTAATGCTCAAGGCAAGATTATGGGCATGCCACTGAGACATGTGGAGATGTGGACATATAAAGAGTGAGAGAGGCAATTTTATCTACTTTCTTACCAAATGATAGCAGCAGTTGATATCAGTTCAGAAATCAAATGCATCGAACTATTTAAGAAATCTTAAATAAATGATAAAACGATTTTTTAGTTTTGTTACGTCTTCTTTGTTTAATTTAAGTCAAATCAAATTAAAAATTTTTTTAAACTATTTTAAAAAAAATTTATAAAGCGCTTCAATTGAAGACTATATTTATCAGGAATATAAAAGGTTTTAAAAATAGTCAACTAATTTCTTCGCGACTCTAAATCAACTTTATTTGTTGCATATTTAACTGAACTGAACAGCCCGGACAGAAAATTATAATTCAATATATTTTAATTAAATTTATTTATTTATTATATTAAAATTTTTATTATTTATAATTATTTATATTTTTAAGAATATAAATATATATTATAATAATAATAAATAATTAAGAAACTATTCTTTTATAAACTGCTTCAACAGCTTCTTTAATCTCATTTTGTTCAACACAAATTAAATTCAAGGTAAAAACCTATTGATAATTCCCGTTCACCTGCACAAATTCCGCTATAAACGAAAACATTTGCAACATAAATAAATAACTAAATACTAAACATTATGGAAACAAATTGAAATAAAATATGGACTTCATTAAGAAAATGCTCAAGTGCATAAGTTACCTTAACCAACAGCAACAGCAGCAGCAGCAGCAGCAGCAACAACAACAACAACCACATTTTTTCCATCTGTCAGTCAAGCAGA